AAGATCGTTTTCATCGATGACTCGCTGATAGGAATGACGAGGATACTTCTTAACATGACGGATTATACGTCTCTTCGCAGTATTAGATAGTTTTTCAGGTCTGCTAGGGCGTTGGTGGCTCTAGGACTTAAGATGATTGAGAATATACTGTATGGAACTGCGAGGTATTTGAACGATCTCGGCGATTTCCCGCTGGGATTTCCCAGCTAAATGAAGCCTATGAATCGTGCCACGTACAAATTCAGAATATTCATTACTTTTTGTCATTATAACGGCAATTACAGAGTGATTAAGCGAGCGTGGTTGAAGCAATTTACAAAACGAGTGGTTGGTGGTTGGAAATCAAGTGGATGGAAAATTGGTGGGGTGGACGGATATTTTTGCTAGGGTGCTGTACAACTGCTCGGAGCTCAGGTGCGACCAACCATGGACGTGCCGCTTTCATAACGACTTGCCCTCCCTCTCACCTTCGCACTCACCCCTTAGTATCGTGAAGTCCCTTTTTGAGGTGTGACTATGCAGTTACAGTATGAGCCTCGGTTTAGGGCTTTCTGAGGCGCGTCCAGAGTATCGGGTAGGTACACGCGGCACTTCTTATAAATGTACAACGGCCGGCTAGACGTCGACGTCGCCCTTCGTCTCTTGTGCCGGTCTTGCGGGGATTCCGCTCATTGCCCGGCCGGAAATTGGGCCCTTACTAGCAACCGGGGGCCCCCATGGTCCTCAAATCGACAGCGGTTACTCTCAGACCGATTCTTGCGCAAGCAGCTGGGGGTCGATGATTTCAGCCGTAGTGTCTGCATTGCCTACTAAGCTCCTGCGCTTTTCCTGGGATTCGCTCATCCTCGATGAACGTTGCGAATGCCGTCGGCGCCAGAGTCGTGCGAAAGTCAGAGCTTTCAGAATCAGAATCCTCCAAGACAAGAAACTCCTCGAGGTAATCTATTCGTTGATTGTCAAGTAATCTTTCGAGGTTGATATCCATCTCATCTCTTGGGGAAGTCGGAATTTGCTTACAGCTGGGAAACTCTTGGATTAGAGACATTTGCTTCCATGACCTATTGTCAAGCGTAGCTAAGCATTCAAGGATAAAGATATCTCTCATATCCGATGCGGCCCAGCGTTACCACTGGAGCTCCTATAGGGAACTAGGACTAGCCAACTCTTACATTATCTCTAGCATAAGGCTAAAACTCGTAGTCCAATTGTGAGACACAGGTGATCGCTCACTCGGCTCTCGCGACCCAAGGTGAACTGGGGGTGAGCAGAAGGCGGCGTCACCTCCGTTCGCGTCTGAGTTGAGGCGCGAGCAGATGTTCCTCGCCCTGACGGTGATAGCGGCAAAGGATTTTGCTCGGAGCTCGAGTGCGACTCCGCCTTCATCTCGTTCACCTTTACTTACCCTTCGTCCTGAACATATTCCACCGTATGCAGCGCCGGCCAGGACCCAAAGTTGGCGGCGTGTCGCCCGCTCTCTCTTCGATGCCTGTTCGACTTTGAACTACTTTCGCGTCCCCCTCTCTTGTTCGGACAGAGACTCTCCATCCCTGCCAATGGAGTACAAAGCCCCCTGCCAGCCCTTCCGGGCTACCGGCTTTCCTCCTCGTACCTAGGCGCTCTTTGGCCCCCGACATCAGCCCACAATTTAAATCGCCGCATGAGTCAGCAACCATCTTTGGCATGGCCACTTGCACTGGCCTCTCCCAGAAATAGCGACGGTAGCCTCGATTTGGTTAGATGATTGGCAGACAGCACAAACTTGAACTGAAGCGCTCACGATAGCATCTAAACATCTCTCCCAATCGATCAATGGTACTTTGGTTCTGACCACTCGTTCATTCGGGACCCTACACTGGACCGAAAAATTTACCACAGCTCTTGACTCCTGAGATGGTTTATTGTGGGAGACCATCCAAGGCTTGCGCGCTGTGTCGAACGAAGAGAATAACCGTAAAGACCTCCGCTTCCCACCCCTTGGCCGTGACTGCTGATCTCATGCCAGTGCGATCAACTCAGACCCTGGTGCACGCAGTGTCGAAACGCTGCCAGGGTTTGCCCTGGTTATCGAAACGAACTAGATCTCGTTTTCCGTAACGAGAACGAAAGGATCAAGGAAAAGTACAAAGTGAAAAGGGAAAGCATAGGTCCTGGCGAACCGGCAACCGCCGGTCGAGCCAGATCTACTCCGGCATTATCTACCTCGAACTCAGACTACCTGAAACAGCCACTCCGCGACCTTGCAACCCAGTTCTTTCTCGCGAAATACGTGCGCGGGGGAAATTTTGATTGGCTTCCCGTTTTGTACACAACGAGCCAGAGCTCACCGGTTCTGGTTCCAATGTGTCAAGCCGTGTCCCTGGCCAGTCTATCCAATGACATGCAACGACCCGACATCATGGTCGATGCTAGGCACCACTACTCAATCGCCATTAAGCACATCAACCTAGCATTACAATCCAAGGAACGTCTTCTCCACGATGATACCCTGGCCGCCATTCTGCTCCTGGCTCAGTTTGAAACCTTTTCCGCCGACAAAAGCACCCAGTCGAATTCCTGGGGAAGCCATATACACGGAGCCTTGACATTGCTTGGGCTTCGCCCCCGGCAACAGTTTGAAAGCCCAGTAGGCATGAAGCTCTTCCGGCATATCAGCAGCAGCATATACGTCGATGCCATACAACACAGACGCCGATTACCTCCTCAATTCCTCGATCTGCGCGCAGTGGCTGCCCCCTTCCAACCGCGTAGTGATCCTCTTGTCCGCTTGGCCGAGATCATGAATGACTTCATTGACCTGCGGGCTACGATAGCCGAGCGTGGAGGCACAACTTCGGCTTCAGCGAATGCATGGAGCTGGATCGAGCGCGCTCAGGCTATTGAGCAGCAGGAGTGTGCCTTCTTGGCAGATCTACCACCTACTTGGCGGTTCAAAGTCGTGACTCGCGGGGCACCAAAAACTTGTTTCAGCGACGAACATCATTCCAGCTACAATAACGTCGACCACATCTATCACGGCACGTATCACCTTTATGGAGATCCTCGTATTTTGCAGGCTTGGAATATTGTTCGTATGACTCGCTTGGTTTTGAACGAGATCGTATACAAGTGTATCTGCGCAATGAAAGGTCTGAGCCGCAGGAGCAATCCGGTCTCAAGCTGGGATAGTAGACCATTCTTCGACTGGGCAGGGCTTGAACTAGAGTCAGCCAACGTCGTCAATGAGCTCGCTTCCGACATTTGCTATAGCGTGCCCCAGTTTGTGCAAATGCCGCCTTCTGGGTCAGCTGCAACTTCTTCTCAATACTCTCCCGTCAGCACAAATTCGGACAACACAACGAGTCTTGCAGCCTGCTACTTCCTTATCTGGCCGCTTTACGTTGCAGCAAGCTCACCGGTCGTCTCCGCCTCTACTGACGACGTGAGGCGTTACGCAATCGACCGTCTTCGGTACATGGAGGCGCGGATGAAGATCCCACAAGCGGGAATAGTCGCACAAAAGCTCGAGCAGGGAGATCTGCGTGAAGATTGGTAAGTATAGTCATCCCTAGTCCTATTTCCTACACAGGGAGATGTATCAAACACCAACGCCGCGCCCTGTTGTCCTCCTTGACCCAATCTTCCCTTGCCAGCTACCGATGAATAGGGGAGTGTGTGCCACAGGTGCAAATCTCAAGTTAACTGTCACCGCAGGATTCCATCGTGTAGTCAGGTCTGATACCTTGTAGGATTGGCACTTGGAAATTATGTTTCACTGTAACTGCAGTGTTCAAGAAAGGGTCACCTCACAATCACACTACGAAAATCCGACATACGCTGCGGACACGGAGAAATAAATACCACCTTATCCAATAAATGTTCTTCGAAGCACATTCCCGAGTCAGCTTCTTAGCAGGATTCGTAGTCCACCACCCGGACTGAGTATCTGCTAACTCAGTGTGCGACCACTGACCCCGTCTTTGGCCTCCTATTACCATACGGGAAAAGGTGGGATTCGGTCCACGGCCATTGTCGCAATGAAGCCAGCAACAGTCGTCTTTGCCACAGTTGACCTGCATGGGGATGTCAGCACTATTTACGATGTTGAGGCTACCATGTGCAATGGAGCTCCCCGGATCAGAGAAGGACCGTCGTCTGGCATGCCTGGTTTGATAATTCCTGAGTAATGGTGCCTGGTTAGAACTAGGGTCTAAGCTGTCAGACTGGAGGCTCTGCCCGTCCTTTTGTAAATTGGGGCAACAGCGTCGACGAAATGGTAAAAAGGGAAGCAAAGCCCGTCTCACGGTGATGAAACTGTAGGAAATACTAAGGTCCAGCGCTGAAGGGTCCAGCGGAAAACAGAAACCATTCAGCCGCTGAATGGTGGCCTAAACAACGGCCCACAAAGCCTAGCCCGTGACCCACATGGTGCCGAGCTGCATACCTCATTCGGTATCAGATTAATACCCATCTCAACTCCCTTATTCGTGGTTTAGCCCTTTTCTGTGGGCCCCACATCCGATTCGAATTGTTTGAAGCTGTATAGACTCAGATCGTTGCCACGGCTTGGTCGGTCGAAATTTGATCCATGTAGATCTGATCCCAAATATCGTAACATATGTGCCATTACACGGGCTGCACTCTCCTCAGCCCACGATAAGTTGTGAGACTGGTGGGCTGCGCCAGAAAATGGTCCCAATTTCCCACCCAGAAAGCGTCGGCACGGCAAACGAGATCAGTTTATCTCCTGGAAATAGTAGAAACCGCGAGGCTGCTTACAGGAACTGCGCCGTTCTGGAAGACACTGCCCTGCACAGCAAGGAGTAGTGGGGGCCCGACGTTTGCAGATCGTCTCAAAGAACGAAAGAAGGTGCCGAGTGTTTCTTCCTCTAGCAAGGAGCATCTTCAGAAGTAACATATATAACGCGTCGACCTTCTGCCAAGGGAAGCAGGAAACAGAAATACAAAACAAAGTATACGCATCAACCCATAATAATTTGATTGACACATCATCGCAATTTCAGCAATAATATGCATATCGATTCACGCGGATGGCTCTCCGTGGCCGAAATAGTCATCTTCTCACCTTGCATTCTTGTCTCCTTCATCCTCTGCAGTCGACATGGATTCGGACGCAGTTCAGGATGGTTTTACACCTTGCTTCTTTGCGTCGTGCGCGTGGTTGGAGCTGGATGCCAACTGTATACGTACCATGAGCACTCAGCGGGGCTGTTGAAGACAACAATCATCCTCGACACTGTCGGTCTCTCACCACTCCTTCTGGCTGCCCTGGGTCTCCTGTCAAGACTTGTGGATTCCATCAACCGCAGTGGCAGAGGCTTGCTGGGCGTCCGCCATTTTAGACTGCTTCAGACCGTCATTGGCGTTGCTATGATCTTGTCCATCATCGGCGGCGTTAGTGCCAAGAGTGACGGAGCCAGCATCAAACCCCCAACCATGTCGAAGGTGGGCGCACTACTGTTCATCCCTGGGTTCATCGGCATTCTCTTCTTCTGTGCCAGAGCTTGCACAAACACCTCCTATGCTGAAACGGGAGAACGGCGCCTGGGCTTGGCCGTCGCCATAGCCCTGCCGTTCATCCTGGTCCGGCTGGCCTACACCGAGCTGACGACATTTCTGCACAACAAGGACTTCAACTCCGTAGACGGGAAGCTACTTTTCACCGTCATCTTGTCTGTGCTTCCTGAGCTTGTTGTGGTCCTCAACTTCCTGGTCGTTGGCTTCACTATTCCGATACTGGGGGCAGACCTGCAAGGACCCATCCTTGGTCGCGGGCGAAAAGAGTCAAACAGACGAGGAGCAACAGCGGAGGAGCAGCATTCCCTCTACCAATATCAATATCTCGCTCACGCCGAAAATCCTAACCCATCTGGGCGTTACTGAAATGCCAAAGTAGGACACACCGTTACCTGCCTTGGCAACGACCGCCGAAACCATATCACTCACCAACCGAGGTCGAGAAAGAAAAGGGACATAGTGAGGCAAAAAAGAGACTGAACTGCCTACGACCGAGTGTGCCGCGGTATCTTGCCCTCAAAACAGCCGCCGCATGCTGCAATCATTAGAACTTGGTGGTTAGGCCAGTCCCTTGAGCTCATCAGAATATGAGATTAGTCTGGAAACACTTTGACAGGTTGCATCTGCAGGGTATATGAGAGGCCATTACAAGGCGTTGCGGCGTTATTCTTTCTAGTTTACTCGAGGTCTGGATTGTGCACAATCAGGGATTCCCCACTATCTCCAACTACTTACAAATTGAAGTTCCTCCATAGCACTTTTCCAGCATGTTACAGTGCTTCTCCTACATTGCTGTCTTTTTGCGCAACGCATTCAGAACCAATGCCACCTTAACAGCCTGGGTATCCAGCACCGACCCCATTTTGTCTCTGAGCATCTTGAACTGGCAATTATGACAAAATATGAACCACGAATTTCCCAGTACCCTTTCCGTCAAATATCTCCTGGCATCCCTGTCGGACTCCTTCGATATCTGAGAATTTCACTGTCCGTCCCACCACCGGCCGAATTTTGCCATCCTGGACCCAGGAAGCAATCTGCTGAAGTTGCGTGCCGTCAGGAGACATTATGTAGTAGCTGTAGCTGACGCCAGCCAGAGCAGCTCCTAGGCGGTAGTACCGATCTACCCAGTTCAGCGCCATGCGGAGAGCAAATGGGATGCCCGACACGGCGCTCGCCTGCTCCTCACCAGAGGGTACCATACTGATGCTGATAATGACTCCGCCTCTCTTCATGACTGTGAGGCACTACAGAGACTGGCCCGTTGTGTCAAACATGTAATCCAAAGCGCGACTTCTGGGATACTGGAAGCTTCAATGAAGTTCAGATTCATGGGCTTTTGGCCAGGTGTGAATCCCTCGTGACAACGTACTCTGCGACTGTGCCGCGATGGGCCTGGCCGACTCTTATGTAAACCTCTTCACCGATCTGGGGCATATGACACCCTCCCCTTTGGCCACGATGATACCCGCAGCATCAAGACCAATTTGGTATGGAAACTGCACAAATAGTGCGTTAGCTTGGGTACTGCCGGACAAATTCGCAAGCCAAGGGTTTTAGATGTGTTTAGATTTGCAATGGCTCTTGAGTGCGGCATTTTGGTGAAGATAGGAACCTTCATTACCAAGAGTCGGAGAGGTAGGAACCCTTGCCGGCGTCATAGTGAAGCAGCTTCGGCGATGGAATACGGTCTCGTTGAGTGCTATGTTAGTCATGATCAGGCGTTCTGTACGCACCAAAGACGGTAAAGAGGGCCTAGGACAACAAGGCACTAGAGCCTGTTTCGGAAATACAGTAGGTCTAGTTATCTTTGCGGCTTTCAGGTGGGCCGACATCCGTTTCTTAGCTGGCGGATTCGGGGCAAACAGCTACACGACGGCGAGACTCCGCAAGGTGCGACAGGTATTGCGCCACACGGTGATATCCTCCCCCTTACACTGCGCTGACGAAGCGAGCTACGGAGAGACCGAAGCCATCGCTTCAGTCATTGTATCATGCCGGTGGCATTCGCAAGCTCTTCGTCTTGCCAAGACATGTTCGCCTTCGGTCTCTCACCTTTGCCCAACCTCTGCTGCACTTTTGGTGCTGGCGACTTCGGGATCCCGATTGCCGCACCTTCCCTTAAAAGAAACTCACGACCTCGTCACCGGAAGAAGTTTGAACCACGCTGCTGGTTACAGGAGCAAGAGCTGGACTTATATTGCCCCTGCGATTGCAACTGGATACATCTAAGACCACCCAGATTTGTTGTTGACGGATTGGTGAGGACCGCCCTTGCCGAAGCGACCCATTTTCTGTTCTGCTTTCTTCTTTGGTTTGCGAGGAGAATTGTCGAGCCTCTCTTCCCGAATCGTTGCCTTCGATTGCCTGCAATTTCCTTGGAAATAGAGGAAGAAAGAGTATGAGCACAGCAGGATACAGAACCAGACGGCAGATGAGTCTCAGTTCCCAACCTCAACCCATGGTGTTTACACGGTGGGCTGGATTTGTGCATGGCCGAAGGATCAGACGGCGGCGACGTCCATGCTAGACAAGTCCCACGCAAAGCTGCAGAAACCACTACATGATCAGAACACGTACATATCAAGATCCGTTGGGAAGCACAATATCAGCATTGTGTATCTGCCGAAAGGCCAGTACGCCACCATTCTAGCGGCCAAAACGACGACGTGGACGGCCGGCACCGTTCAGTCCATTCACGTCTGGCTAATGGTGGGCATGGAGACGGCAGTCCACCCAAGGTGGGGTGATACGACTTTGATTTAGCGTCTGACTGAAATACAAGCGCCCAGTTTTGCTGCGCTGATATACATACCCTGCAGTAGAACAATATATAAAATCGAAGCACACCGGTAGACCCCGAAGTGTGCTCTATGTCGATTTCCTTGTCTGCTCTTCTTGCTTGATCCGTCTCTCCACGACATCTAGGCCCACTAATTTCTTGATTTTGGAGTCCATCCACCCAATGGGGACGAAGGTTGCGACGAACCACAGTAAAGAAGCGCCGCCACCGCGCCAGACCTGATGAGGCGGTGAATGCTTCGACAAATCGCGCAGCACTCTTTTAGCCCAGGCATCTGCTTCCACAAAGTGACCCTCGGGGCCTTTGGCCATATATTCTTCAATTTTGTCCTTAGCCGCTGCATAGACGCTGTCATTTGGAACTGACGTATGCGACGTCAATGCCGATGTGTTTTCGAAGAACTTGGACCTCACAGCACCAGTCTTTAGATCAATCACTTTTATGCCAAAGGGTTGCAGCTCAAGGCGAAGCGTCTCGGTGAAGCTGGCTATCGCGGCTTTAGAGGCGTTATAAGGTCCTTGCCAGGGAAGACCGACGACTGAGTTGACGCTGGTGTTGTTGACAAGCATCTTCGAATTGGAATTGCGAATCAGTGGGAAAAATAGCTGGGATGTTCGTAAAACGGCCCAAACATTAAGCTCGAATTGCTTCTGGATCTCTGGAATCGAGGCGTCCAGCATGGGCATAGTGTACCCTGCTCCGGCGTTGTTGATTAAGATGTCCAGTGAACCACTTGTCATTGAGGAGACCTTTTCCACACATGCCTTGATGGATTCTTCCGACAAAACATCCAGCTGCAGTGTCTCAATCCCGAGCGCTGTCAGGGAGGCCATTTTGCGAGGGTCCCGGGCTGTTGCAAAGACGCGGTCACCGTTTTCATGGAATGCTTTTGCGAGCGCAGCGCCGAGGCCGCCGTCGGAGCAGCCAGTAATGAGCACGGTACGACCCATAGCTCCTATTCGCTAGTCACCAGGGCTGTATGCCGTCGAGATTCGTGTCGAACTTGGAGGAGGTGAAAGACTGCGCTTACTGTTGGGAATGGAGAACGAGTGTCAAAGCTTCGACTTGTCGAAATAATATATGTAGAACTCTTCATAAGTCCCCAGATAACGCTATATATATCAGCCAAGTGGAAGGGAGGCAACCAGCATGCGAGCCATTTCGTCCCTGAGAAGATCAATGGACCTTGAACACGTAAGGGGTTTAGGAATCGCCGCTGATCGCTTCATCGGCCCAAATATTGACAGAATGCCGCGCTGGTGACGCACTAGTTGGGTGTTACCTAATCATTCCTTATGCAATAAGCCTCGCCCTATAACTGTTTCGGCTCTGGTGCCGAGCTCCTCGCCTTGATCACTGCAAAGCTCAAACGCTGGATGCACCGCTAATCTTGTAAACACTAGGCTTACGGAGGAAAACTTGTAACAAACCATCTTCACCTGTGGTAATTCTCAAAATTACTCAGCTTGGTCAGAAGAGAAAGAGGTGGTCGGTCGACATATCGTTGTCTTGATGCAGCTTTTGTGCTAGCGGAGGAATGTGTGCTCCGCCGGGACATCAACGGGCGCCGTTCTCGACCAGCGGCAAACGTCCGCGGAAAACTGCATCTGCCGACCCCGAGGCTCACCTTCTTCTCCCTCGCCAATCTAACACTTTCGACTTCCATCATAGTTTGAACCGTCAACGCATTTGGTGTCTTTGCCCATACAAGTTGGCAGATGTGACACTGAAAGTGATGATGCAACAGGTATACATATTAATAAGTATCACCTAGCACTCCCGTGGGAGATGCACAGTTCCTCTCTAGCTCTGATATCTCGCAAGGCCGTGTAGATAATGACATCTGTCTCTCTGTTATGATGGCTAAGAGGGAGAAGAGCCACAAGAGGGCAACTGTGCCAAGGGCGTACCGTCACGTCATACCTTCCGCAACATCGTAGAACCAGTGCTGTGGGGTACCGGTCACATCTGCTGACAAGCGCAAGCCCTGAAGTCCCATGGTCCTATCTGGCAAATTCCAAGATTTTCGTTGACATCCGATTCCTCCTTGGAGATCCTGGTACACCCGCACCCACCGATATCAGGGGATCACCGAGGGAGCTTGCTGAAAGCGATATGCTCCACCCTGGGAGAAAGAAAGGAGTGGGATAAGGAACGAGAGTAGATCGTATGGCGGTTTGTCAAGGTCATTGGACCACTCCGCAGGAAGCATCTTGGGACGCCAAAACCGAGCGTTAGCGGAAGTGGAAATCTGGGCGACACTCGCAGCTTGGCCCGTCTTGACTTAGGCGGTGTCCCAAGATGATGACGAGGCTCCCGCCAGCAAGTCCAACAAGGGTGTCATAGTGCTCAATAGCTACTTCCAAATAGTCAAGTGAATGACAAAAGCAGTGTAACGTAGACAATAAAGTAAATAGCGTTAACGGTGAACTGCCACTCCTTACGCTCACTCGCATTCGGGAGGGGTTCGCCTGGCCTAGCATTAACCTTCTCACTACTGATCTATATCCCCATAGACTACAAGGAATACTCCAGCATAAGATTCGCCACGGAGCACGCTCGCGCAGCTAGCATCATCTTCTTGAGAGCTTCAGATAGGAGCAAGTCAAGCAGGAGCCACTCGCTGTTATGGCAGAAACAGAGGGAAACAAAGGAAAAGCGTGTCATACCGTTGATCTGTCCTATCTAAGCTCCTGGCAAGATATAAACAAGCCAGGTCAAGCCTATACCCAGTAAGGTAAGGTGTCTGCCAAGAAGCACCGTACCCAACAGGGTTAGGCTTATAAATGGCACTGCCATCCATTTCCTCAATATATACACAACGTAGATCTAAGGATAATGAAGACAGAAAAGGAGAAAAGGAAGAAAGAATAAAATAGATAGAGAATCTTTTAGTATTATTAGAGACAAGTCTAGGTTGGAATCTCTACTAAAATAATAATATACTAAGGAAGGAGTCTTAGCGCGAAGTCCTGTCTATCTATCCGCTTCCCTTACACCTCCGTCCACTTGCGCCCAACGCAGGCAGGAGGACGACTGAAGTGGCGCTCTGTAAGGGCGTGCTAAGGGAGAGTGGCTGCCGGTACCCCCGCCAAAGTGGTCGGTTCAAATTGCTGACTTGCTGACACTTCTCGAACCCTCTGCGGGTACCAAAGACATATAGGTAGAATCTTCTCAATAGATGCTCTGACGGCATCGCACGATTTCTCAATAGGTGGCGAACTAGGCTGGATGAAGTCTGCACACCTAGATACCATCCCCGCATGTCTCTTGTCTCTGTGAGCTCATCAAATGCCCGGTTTTCAGTGCCCGAAAACAAGGAATTAGGGCCATCTCTGATTGGTCAATAGACTCTTGCCTAGCTGCAGGGCAGATGCTATACTTATCTCGCAGCCGTGCTCGTCGTAAGGCTGGACCACGGAAATGTCTTGTGTACCTGCATTAGGCGTGGCGAAACTCACCGATTGGCCGTCTGCCAGTTCTGGTTTTGAGGCTGCTCCGGCAACAGAAATATGTACGTGAATGTATACTCTGCTGTCTGGGCATTTGTTTCCTAGGATGCCATGGTGACAGAGGACACGTATGATGGAAAGCCACGTAAATGGTAGGCGTCAGTCGCGTAGAGGGACTCTTCTATATCGCCTCATGGACTTGGGCAGAGTTTGCAGTTTGGTGGCATAATGAAGCCCGTATAGCTGTGGATGTCGACTAGGTGGGTGGTAAACAAGGCAAAGAAGCGTGATGGTCTGCTCCGGAAAGAGCCCAGAACGTTCGATTTGAGGGCTGCGATAGTTGTGGTTGTTTCTTCGGCGCACAAATATAACGGTTTGTGGGACAGATCGACCTGCAGCATCCCGTCCTGTCCGTCCTACTCTTGCATCTTGTTTCTCGAAATGCAAGACTAGCGGCCACGTTGCACAGGATCGAACGGAGAATTTGCTGCAAACGGGTTTGCTCGTGGAGAAACCTGGTTTACTGATGTGCAATTTTCAGGTCATGCTGGCCAAGGACGAGGGGTTGAGGGGTTGGAAGTCGGTTCCGAGACACTGCGAAGATCAATGAACCTGGGAAAGCGAATTTTCCTCGTTGAAGATCGACGAGGTGGGCGTGGCCTGCGTGACCTTCTCCCTTCATCTCGCACATGGCGAATCAGCGTAGAGATAACCCCGAGAAAATCATTTCGGTCAAGGTTGTATCCCCTTAAAAAGGGTGTTTGGGTATGATGAGCCCCTTTTATTCCACGCCCTTTTTCTTTTGTGTTATCGTCCAATCTCTAACAGCGGACTATGAGCCTATCGGTGAGCGGGGCCACCATGAGGCTTGATTGCAGCCATAAATTGACGCGTATCGGGAAGCGCGATTCAGGCAGATGAAGGTGGAGCAGCCGCCTCACACCGTCCGGCATGGCGTTATCATCGTTGGTCGGACTGTTACTGCGTCCTTGTACAATGAAGAGCGGTCGAGGAGAACCAAGCAGGGCGTCATCGTCTCGTAATCATATTTTGTCCCCCACGACCTGAACATGCCTAAGCTGGTTGAAGAGATGATTGACGCGTCGAGACTCGGGGCGCAGTGCGTGCAGGGGCGAGTGGAAGAGCTGAACGCACCAAGGCAGCTGAAGATCCGGGAATACGAGCACGGCATTCTGTCGATACCGATGATAGAGGGGTCCTTAGCCGGAGAGGCAAACGGTATCAGAGCCGTTTGTGAAGGTAATGCGACTCCTGGCTTTAGGTTTGTCTGTAGGTAATAATCATTAATTGTGTGAGACGAATGAAATAAACTGAGGATTGAGGAAAGGTGGACAGTGGACATGAGCGAACATGGATGAGGCTCCAAAGAAATGCAGTGACGGGGCGCGGGCTGCAGCGAAAATCCTAGTGGCCCCCAGTAAGAAGCCAGGGTTACCAGGGTAGTGGCTGTTAGTAGGCGGCGTGGCTAGGAAAGCTAGGCTCCTTTGCTGGTAGGCTCCTTATTTTCTTAGGGCATGCTCCTAGGCGCAGGTGTCTAAAATGTCATCTGCAGGTGCATGTGGTGCGCCCGTAACATGCTTTTAGCGGTGCCCGTCTCCCCCAGTTTTTGCGGAAGTCCAAAGTTGCCCTGTGCTCCCCTTTTGCCAGCCTGGCCCAGCGCCTGCCCTCCCTGCGCCTTTTGCCGTGTGCCTGCGATCCTGCGAACCTGCAAAATACTCACCACCTTTGTTCCTCGACCTTTCAATCCTCAATCAACTAATCTTGACACCTCTCGTTGATTATTTCCTCGCTATCTGGCTTGCACGAACCGCACTGGACTGCATACTTCGTGTAACAGACCGCTTCCATCTCCATTGTTTTGATCTCGCCCAATTCCGTTGTCAACACGGGGAATTCTTCTTTGTTTGCGGCCGGCAACAAACCACCAAAACCACTTCTCGGTTGCCCTTTGTCTTGACCACACCAACCACCAGACCCAGAAACCCTCGCTCAACTCAACCCATGTTAATGTCCTAATCAACTAGAACCCATTCAACCGTCAAAGTGGCAACGACTACCCTGACAGTTTCGCCAGTCATGGCAAACTCGTGCGTCTCCCTCCCTAATCCCAGTCTGCCCGTTCTGACCCCCCCCAGTTTCGCTACGGCATGGCGCTCCTTTTGGCATACCATGACCTCCAACGACCGCCATGCCTCCCACGACTCTCCTTACCGAACAGGTCAACATGTCCCCGTCGGACAGAGTCGACATGCTCCCCTGACTTCCGTCGCAACCAGTGCCATTGAGTCGCAGCAAGATCTCTCCCACACGTACCACGATGAATCCAAACGACCCTCAGTCTCCTCAACTCAATTGGTTCAGTCACCTGCCAGACCATACTCGCCGGGTATGCGCTCCATATCATCTCCTAAGCGTGCTGGAACAACCGAGGAAGTGGCCTCTCCTGGTGAGATTCAAATGCAGAGCTTTGCCGACGGTGCACCTCCTCCCCCGCCAGTGTCTCATTCCTGGAAGAAAATCGACCGCTGGGCTGAGAAGAACTATCCAGAGCTCTGGGATCAGCTGGGCGAAGGATGTACGCAGAATGACATTAATGAGCTGGAGCATGAGCTGAACATGTCGTTACCGCAAGACGTCCGCGAGTCCCTCGTCATTCATGACGGTCAAGAACGCGGTGGCAGACCAACTGGGATCATTTTTGGCTGCATGCTGCTCGACTGCGAAGAAATCGTCCAGGAATGGAAGAACTGGCAGACTGTCAATGAGGAGTATCTGAGCGGTGCCCGGAAGCCCTCCTACAGCTCCAAGGGTCTCAGCAACGGCGCTTCCTCGTCAAGTCAGGCCAATGGCAATCGCTTCTGGAGGCAAGAATTGCTGGACAGACAAGAGTCACAACCTCCAAATGCCATCCAGAAAGCTTATGCTCATCCCAGTTGGATTGCTTTAGCCCGAGATTGGGGCGGCAACAATATTGCCATCGATCTGGCGCCGGGCCCGATGGGTAAATGGGGCCAAGTTATTCTTTTTGGGAGAGACTATGATTGTAAATATGTCGTCGCGCGATCGTGGGCACACTTTTTGGCCACAGTGGCAGACGACTTGAGCACCGAGAAAGTCTTTGTCGAAGAGGAAACCGGCGAGCTGAAACTGAAAGAATTCAAGACAGAGTCTGTCGAACCTGCTTACATGGATATTTTGCGTTGGCGAGCAGATCAGAAATATGGACGGAGAGGACCGAAACGGAGATCCCAGCCCCCAGGATTGAACAACAATTCAGTGGCCCAGAACGGCCGGCACTCTCCCTACAACAGTCCAGTCGTGGGAGAAGATAGAGGTCGGTCGCCTCACCGTTTTTCGCGAGGAGCTACGGGTAGCCCCAGACATACAGTCAGCAGTCCCCTTGCACGGGTTCAAGAAGAAATTGCCCAACCGCAAGCCATCCGCCCAGGTGGAGATGTGGTCCGAGACTTTGCTGAAGCTGCAGAAGATTCTGTTAGCGAAGGCAAGAAACGAGCAGCCCCTGCGCCCATAGATTCCCAGGTGGCAACTACCAAGCAAGCTGGAGATAAACTCGTCGATGTCTCGACACCTGCGTCGTTGAAGAGCGCAGATTCGAAGGACTTCCCCGCTACTCGACTCGCCCGAGTCTTGACAGCCGGCAACAACGAACCCCAGGACGACAAACCGAAGGACCCGGAACCCGAAGTCAAGGGCTTGGGTGTTAACGGCATCGAGGGAGAAATGAAGACGGTGGCGATTTGATAACCCTATCTTGCATTTTCGTTTCTGATAACGGCCAAAGTCGGTATAAATGACCTCGAACATTGCCTGGATATGGCGTGCTGGGGCACATTGAGCATTGTATGCAAGCATCAACAAGAATTAGTTATCATGGAAGGCGCGCTTTTACTACACAGCCCTGGCGTCTTTGACTTTGTTGTCGAAAGCTATCCCTTTTTGGCAAACTCTCTGGGCTGGATCAGGTGAAGGGATATATGGCTTGTTGTATGGGTAGAGTTGGTATTCCAATTGGCGGCAACCGGTATTGTGTGCGGGCGAGTTAGCAGGAAGCTCGATGCCTCCTCCAGAGAGAACACGGCGCCGTGCGGCGACCATTAAACATACCATGTGGAAAAGAACAGGGCGAATATCCTGTCGTCTGGAAGGGCAAAGAGAGGAGCACGTTCCCCAAGAGAAGTGTACCGAGTACGTGGGAAGGACTGGAAACGGACAAGACTAGAAGGCAATCCAAACAGACTCCATTGCATTCCCTTTATCTATGGCTTCTCCTGCGTTTTCCCTGGACGCCAGATTCATTCTAAGACTCCAGGTCGCCGTCATCATTATCCAGCACAATACAAAAATTATTCCTCCCGCCTCCGGGGTTGATCTCCCTTTTGCGGAATACCGTGTCGCCGCCGCTCTCGAGCCAATTTTGTCTCGCACTGGAGCCATCGAAGCGCCAGAGGCTGTAGTGCAACTTGCGTGTGGTCTTTGTGTGCAGGTGTACATAGCCCAGCGAGTTGAGGATGGCGGCGAGTTGCTGCGGCGTGAGGTAGCGGCTGTTGTGCAGGCAGGGCGAGGGCAGGACGAGGAACAGGCATGGAAGAAGTTGGGGAGGGGTGTTGATGGGACTGGGTTCTCCCTGGTCGTCAGTTCTCCTATCACGGTGTGATCTAGAGTGTGATGGCGATTGTGGCGCAAAGAACAACGTCGTCCGCTTCAGCATCGCTCCCCGCTGCCTCGGGTCGGGCACGTAGTTCAACACCAGGCTGAGACTGAGCACGTCGTAGTACCCTTCGCTTCCTCTTTCTCCTTGTCCCGGCTTGCCTTTGCCGCCCTCGGGGGGTTCAACATCGCCGGATGGAAGTGGGAGGTGCATGAAATCCACCTCCTCGATCCCCTCCTCCGAGCTACGCAGATCGATCCGCCTCACGCGCGTGACGGCGGGGACGTTGAGGGCGTTCTGTGTGCTCAGCGCCCCGATCTCGAGGATTCTGATCGGGGTCCGGAGCACGCCTGGCGTTGACGCGGGTTTCATGGTCCCAGCAGTAGCTTGTTCATCACCACCACCATCATCATCATCATCGTGATCCTGGACGAGAGAACCACGCCGACGATGCATCGCAGCCTTGCGAGCCCCAATCTCCCCCTCCAACCATCTCACCAGCACGCGACTAGAATCGCCGCCGCGCTCGGCGCTCTGGCCCTTGCGACTGGCGAGCTGGTACGACTTCAACCCGCCCTGCGCGGCGATTTGGGCCTCGATCTCGCGGACCGCGTCGACGTCAGTCGTGGAGCGCGCGTGGGCGAGGCGCTTTTGCAGCAGGTGGTGCGTGTTGATCAGTGCGCGAGTGTGTTTTGACGAGAGCGATGACGACGATGGAGGAGCGGACGAGGACGGGGCTGATGGACCTGGACCTGGACCTGGACCTGTCTTTGCCGTCGCCTTCTTCGCCTTCGCCTGGGCCTTGGAGGAGCCAGCGACGATGAGAGGCGGACGCGTCGATTTCAGGGATCTTTTTGCCTTGTTGCGCCGTGGAGCCTTGCCCTTCTTCTTGACCTTGACCGAGGATGGCGGGGACGGGATTGCCATGATGCTGGATCAAGCATGATTTTTGATGCGTGTCGCCACAGCACAGGGGGGCCTCAAATGCACGGTGATATGGGAGGAGGGACCTCAGGGAAGTGATTTTCTCTCCTGTGTTTGGGCGGCTCTATTCGGCGCTCCCCATGGGCATGGCTGCCATTTTGAAAGTTCATGAACTTTTCAAGTTTGAAGAAGCGAAAGCTGTGGCGACCAATCACCTCTATAGTTATACGGAGGTAGCACCGTCATATTAGGAAGACTCTTGGATTCTCTAGAGGTCCGCCTACAGTATTTCTCCTGACAAGGCTCATAAAAATGAGTGAGTATCAGTAACATTTTCCAGCCATGACAAGTCTGCGAGCTATTATATTAAGAGGCTATCGATCCTTGTCGTAGTGTCTCTCTCCTTGAGCATTGCAAAGCCTGGTAGACTAAAGTCCCTTCCATGGATCGAGCAAAGCCTTGAACTTCCAGTATTCTAGTCATACACATTTTAAGTCATAAATCGTGATGATCCGTATCTGAATCTCAAGCCCAATCTCCACTCCATCCTCCGTCAAACCCGCTGCTTTTTGAACACATTTCCACCATGAACACCATTAGCCTCCCGCTGCCGTTTCCGCTCGATCTCTTCTTTCATGATCCTCTCCGCCTCGCTCATCGGTCTTTGCTGAGCAGAACCGGTTGATTTCTTTGTAGCACCCAATGGGTTCTTTTTGAAAGATGCAGCGAACACATTCTTCGGTTTGGTTGACGAGCCGCCAAAGGACATGGATATAGGCTGCTTTGCAGTTGCCTGCACTGCTTTCGGGTCGTCGGACGCAGGAGGTGAGGTTATTGGGGTTCTGGTGTCCTCTTTTTCCTTGTCAGATGATGATTCATCTTTCTCTGAGAGAGGAGGCGTCGGTGGTTTGGCCGTCTCGGGTGTGGGTTTCTTTGCTCCAAAGTTGAGCACAATTTTCTCTCCCTCCTTTCGCTTGATACCCTCGCCGCCTACAGCCTCCGAGTCGTCCTCCTGCTCCTCTTCATCTTCTACAGTGTCTGACAGTCCCTGCCGCTTTGCTTTTCGAATCTGTTCCTGAATCATTCGTTGTTCACGTTCTTCATCGCCACGGTCTTGTCTTTCCTTCTTTCGGATCGCCTCTTGCCGCCGCAGTGCCTCAGGACTATTGTCAATCCAACTAATTGTGAGCCCACTCGCGCCAGTGCGGCTTTCATTCTTCTCATCCTCGTCCACACGGCATATGCCTTCTCTGCCCAGGTACTTTGCAAACTCGGTCAAACTGCTCCATTTGGTCGAATTCATATGAATATGTTGTTTATTTGAAATATACTCTTGATAGAAGTGGTTGACGTTAACCCTTTTCTCGCCGTGTCCCGTACGCAGGAGTTGTATGAAATCTCGGAGGAACTGGTTAGAATAGTCGTTGATGGCCTTCCGAGGGTCTTCGCCGATCAGCTGCATTTGACGGACGTGGGATTCCGAGGCAACATGGCATTTGAAGCCGTTCTCGTCGCGCATTTGCCGTTGACATGCTTGACAGTACCACCGCAACCGTTGAAGCCCTTTCGACTTCATCTGGTTGGCGATGTACTTGGTTGATCCCACTTCTGCTCGAGGCATGGCTGCGGTGGTATACGACAGGTTAGAGACAATGGTTAAGAGGCGTAAACGAGTAGGTGGGCGTCGTATCGTCAAAAGGCCGTGGTAATGGCAAGGTTGTCGAGTAATGCTTGGACCGCGGTGGTAAAGTGCCAGTGAGTGGCGAGAAAGTGCCAAGCCAGCCTTGTCACGTGATTCAACTGCCCAGCCATTCTGCTGACTAATATCACGAGGCTGAGAACGACAGCACTCATATCCCGCCCATAAACAACACGCTAGATAGAAATGCCAACAATCCATACAGAAGGTCCTCCAATGTGTTTCGCGACGCTCAAAGACATTGTCCCTCGGCAAATGTCTATTAGAGAACCATACAAACTTGAAATCGCATGTGGTGACTGACAAATACAACTTGTCAAGAACCAATCACGGGTCAGTGACTGCGGCATTCGACAGAGTCCAGATTGCTTTATCGTCGTCTGTTGGCGTTAAAGTGCAACAAATATGCAAGAGCGTGGGCATTTGTACCGTCGATGCGCACATTGAGCGAATAGCATGGACGGAGACGAATATGGCGACATTTGGAGAAACGTTGACACAATCAAGTTCGCTTCACTGCTTCCAACATCTGATAAGAACTGCTGCTGGTAATGTATAGGTATATTCGGACTCAACGCCCACCTAATTCCTACCTACGGAACTCGAGCTTGTAACTTCGTCTCACACTGATAATACCTGAAGCAAGCCCTCAATATTGATATCAATCATGTCTGCTACCATCACTGATACCCAGTCTCCAGCAGCTGCCAATGGAGTCCAGGATCCCCAGCAGTATGACTACAGCCGTCTCAAGCCCTATGTGCACCCGCCGGTAACAAAGGCGGAGCTCCCCTGGGCTGAACTCGTCACCCTCGACCTCGAGGAGCTGAGCCGCCCGGGAGGCAAAGAGCGTCTGGCAAGCCAGTTGGAACACGCCGTCCACCACGTCGGCTTCTTCTACGTCAAGAACTTTGGCCTATCCCAGGAAGAAGTGGACCGGCAATTCACACTCGCCCAAAACTTCTTCGAGCTGCCGGTGGCAGAGAAGAAAAAGTACGAAGTCCGCTACGCCGAGGCCGACTACAACGGCTGGAGACGGCCCGGCCGGTCGCTGCAGGCCACTGCCAGGGACAACGTGGAGATGCTCAACTTTCCCAAATTCACAAAGGACTTTGTCGGGAAATACGACTATCCCGATCTGATCAAGGCACACATCGGTGAGATCGAGGCCTTTCAGCGCGCCCTCCATGCCAACGTGGTGCTTCCCTTGCTGCGTCTCTTCGCGGTCGTCCTGCAACTTCCCGACGAGGAATACTTGGTCAAACAGCACACGTACGACAAGAAGAGCGAGGACCATTTCCGATACATGCTCTACCACCCGCGCACCGAGGAACAGTGGGCGGCCAGCGACTACGGGAGACGCGGTGGCCACACCGACTTGGGGACCGTCACGCTCTTGTTCCGTCAGCCCGTGGCCGGTCTGCAGATCCTGGGTGAAGATGGGAATTGGACGTACGTGTCGGCGCAACCCGGCACAATCACCGTGAACCTGGCAGACACTATCTCGCATCTGACCGGCGGGTGGCTCAAGAGCTCGGTGCACCGCGTCGTCGCCCCTCCGGAAGACCAGCGCCAGTACAAACGCACAGGACTGCTGTACTTTGCCCGGCCGCACAACGACACAGTGCTGGTTCCCATCACCGACTCGCCCGTGTTGGAAAAGGCAGGTGTCCAACCCAGGTTCGACAAGCTGGTCACCATGGAGCAGTGGGTCAAGGCAAAACAGACACTGCAGCTGAATCCGGATATTGCGGCCAAGAAGTGGGCGGAACGCGGAGATGGGACTGTCGAGGTCCTCGCTGGGTTCCGGGACCAAAAGTACAAGTCATAGGCTCGTGCCCGGCTATCTCCCCAATAACAACTATGTTCACTTGTCGAGACACGAGTAAAGAATCGACAAGACGTAAGAAGCTGGATGGCTCTTGAGAATATCATCTGCGATTTAGACTAACTCATAAACTATAAGCTACAAACTCTATGCACAACTCTATCCCAAGTCAGATAACATGTCAAGAGATCAATATATCAATCCCCACTGCTGTACTGACATAACTCAAAACTCTCTAACAATGAGTAACGACTGTCCTGTAGAAGCGAATTGTCGTCGCCCCACAGAAACAGCACATCGTGCCAGACAGAAAGACCACCACAGAGCTAGACATAAATCTACCAAAGAAACCAAACAACGTCCACATCGAAAAAGCATATAAAACAGCATAGCAAGAGTGGCACTTTCTCTCCTCGTGTTCTAGATAGCCCGGAGTCGTCTTGCAAGAAGCAAACTCAGCACGACAAACACGCCGATCCCTCCGATGATGCCAAAGAACCAGTACAAGCCTTCGGTATTTTTGCCAGGGACATTGACGTTCATGCCGAACAGACCAGTGATCAGGTTCAAGGGCACGAGAATTGTCGCCAAGACTGTAATCTTTGCCAGGTTCTTGTTGGTGTGGTTACCCTTCAAGATGTTGTCCACATTGAGCTGGGCCAGGTAGTTTGCGTGCGAGCGTGAGAGCATCTTCTCCACGTGGCCCAAGTTCGACATCATCGTCACAACGTGATCTTGGATATCGCCGAGGTACAATCCAATGTCACCACGAGGGGTCATCTGGTACTGGTCGTTGCAGCGCTTTGCAAAACCCTTGATGACGTCCGCTTTGCCGCCCAGCAGCCGCATCATGTTAAGAACACGCTTGCGGCATTCGCCAATCTGCCTCAGCAGAGCCAAGAAGTCGTCCTCGCGGGCAATGAACACTTGGTCCTCGATGTTCTCGGATTCTTGCTCAGCATCGCGAATGATAGGCGCGAAAGAATCGACGATATCGTCGATCATGGCGTAACAGATGTAATCCGGACCAAGAGAAAGGAAATCACCTAGCTTCGCGATACGCTTGCGCACGTTCTTCGGATGTGGGTTCCGGTTGTAACTGAAGCTCAGCACTCCATCAGCACAGACGACAATATAGACGTGGATCGGATCGAGAAAGTCTTCGTGGCCTTTGTCCATGTTGAATGACCTGAAACAGACAAAGTAGTATTGCGAAAATAATTCTACTTTTTCGCGAGCCTCTTGTGTCTCGATATCTTCTTGGGTGAGGCGATGGATCTTGAAAGCCCTGCAAAGGACAGCAAGCTCGGCCTTGGTGGGGTTGAGGACGTCAAGCCACCATACACCACCGTCAGGTCCGACGTCGAATAGATCGCGGAATGTGGTGCCATCGGCAACAAAGTCGCCCAGCTTCTTGGCCCGCTGACCTTGAGTCAGTTCAGACGAAAACAGGAAGAATCTGTCAACGGGCTCCGGCGCAGGACGATTTGATCGGATCATAACCTCCTCTTCCGACGAGGAAGGCTGACCATTGTTTGAATCATGGTGCGTAACGGGTTTCTCATAAAAACATTCCCCATTGAGAGCTGCATTGGGTTCCTCGGCGTGGCCAACATGGTGTTTTCGAAGATCAACAAATGCCCGGCTGTCATTTGAGACTTCGGTAGTCTGGTCATCGGGAATTTTGCCCTGTGCACATAGAGCAACGAATTCCTCGAGCTCCTCGAAATCAATCTTGTATGTCTTCCCAGGCTCCTCGTCCGTAGGGAAGGTCACGTCCTCAGTGGCATCCTTGTCCGTGCGCTGGGTCAGAGCAGGGGGGACGCTAATATTACTCAGCGTCGGGCGTCTTTGGCTGGTGCCGTTGGAGTAGGTGCGATTTCGGAAAGTCTCCAGGAGTGAGGACGCATGGCTTTCGGCAGTGTTGGCGCGTTGTCGACGACGTGGCTCGGCGAAGGCTTCAATGGAGTTGGCTGGGGAAGTTGATCGGGAAGACGAGCTCTCTCGTGAACGATCATTCCGCGGGAGACGGGTACGACCCTCGCGGTTATTCGTAAATCTCCTAGCATGAAGAGACGGACGTCTGATACTGGTGTGCGGTCCGTCAATTTCCATGTCGCTTTTGTCGTCATCTTCGATGGCACTCTCAAAGTCGCGAGCGATTGGATTTCTCTCTTGATCCCGTGCCTTCAGTAACGCGTTGTCCACAGACGCCAGGTCTCGTTCTTCTATAGCGCTCGATCTCGGAGTGGGAACTTGTAGTTCGACCGCGGGCACAGTCAAAGTAACGTGGGCGGGATGGACACCCAAAGTGTTTCGGTGATCGTCCAGCTCAGGGGCTGGGGTACTATAGCGGCTGTCCATCTTTTCTTCCGGCGAAGACCCCGACAACGACATGTTGGGCAAAAGATTCCGTCTCATACAGACTCAAATAGCCCTGGTGGCACTGTAACCAGTGCTGCCCATGCGCTGATTATGCCACTTTGTAAGCTGCGACGACGAATGAGCCGCCAGGTAGGGAATAAAGTGTCTCAAAGGTATCCAAACAGCCAGAGCGGTCTCTTTTTCAGATAATCAATAGCGGTGGTTTCCCAGGCCAGGGTCGGCCAGGGACAGGCTTGAAGCTCCAAAGGGCCAGTTACGGGGGTCGAGTTGTAGCGCCGGTGAAGACCATGCAGGAGGTGCCCAGCAGAGGGCGAATGAAGGAGGAGAAGACTGTAGAGCCCGCCAACTTGAAGGCCGTAGGGAAGTCAACGTCGCTGTCGAGCGCCAGGGTGGAAGGTTCGAAAACAGAGATAGGAAAGACTGCGAACCAGTCTTCCTATACCTTTTGCTGCTCGAGGTATGGGAATTCTGGGTAGTTAGAGAGACCGAGACTCTGAACAGACAAGTTGGCCAGTCCAAGGAGTCAGTGTTGGGTAGATGGGTGGATGGAATAGAACCGGAGGAGTAGAACCGGAGGTGTGAGAGAAGGGGTTATGTAACAGCGCGGATTTCTGCAGTATACAGCCAGGGGTTGAGAATGTGTCCAACGGAAGTCCAAGGCGATATAAAAGGCCAGGAAGAAAGAAAAAAGGTGCGCAAAAAAGGTGGAGAGAGGTTTGAGTTGCTATTATGCAACTTCGATGTCACTGGGGAAAGTGGTGAGGAGAGAAAAAAGACGCCGGCAGCCTAAGGGAAGGAAAAATTTGTGAGGGAACCATCCAGCAGGTCCCTGTAGCCTGCAAGCCTGGAGCAGGCTTGGGCAGAGCCGAGGGGTTGATGGATAGACGGAACCAGCACGCTCACCAACCAAAAGGCCCTGAAACTCAGCAGATGTGTAACGATTAGTGGGCACTGCAGTGTGGCCCCCTCTTTAGCGAGAGGCATTTTCTCAAGCCCATGGCGCCGGCAAGGCATTGTGTTCGGATTCGCCCGTGGCCCCCAGAACAGCCACTCAGAACCAGAATTCCTTCGCGGTCAATCGCCGAGATCTTGGTCCCCTGTCACCCATGCTGTACCCCCGAGTTCCCCTTTCCTTAACCAGAACTAGCCAAGGTCGTGTCTGGTTTAGGCTTGGAGAACCTAGAAGGCCACCCGTGAGGGGTCAATAAGCATCGATGGTGTCGCTGCTCCGGAGCTTGTTTTGAAGTCCAGTATCACGACTCGAGGCCACTTTGGTCTTTACCTTGAGCTCACACCACAACAACGAAATAATATCCCGTGCTTGCCTAGGTACCGGAAGCATCGATCAAAGCAAGAAAGTTCCAATCATTGAATCTAATCGCACATCGCTCGAGAAGACCACAGCCATCACCAATGGACGCCGTAATTTCTCAGCTGCAAGACTTCTTCGAAGGTCAAATAGTATGTCCGAACACAATAATCAGCCTATACACCTTCCCATCCCCTCTTCTCAGCTCATCTAAAACCGCGTTGCCCCGTTCTGACTCGTTGCAACCAGGATTTTGACGGTCAGCGTCTCGCAGAGCGAATCTCCTATGCCGTCCTAACCATCGCGTCTGTAAGGCTACCTCCCATTCTGGAACCCTGTTGGGACTGGGTGTCACCTTCTGTTGGCGGCTGATTAAGACACGTGCAGATTCTTGCTCTGGTTATGGGCTTCATTGACCAAGACATCTATTTGACTATGTGGATTGGATTGGCGGGCGCCCTGCTTGCAATGGTTCTTGTCGTTCCTCCTTGGCCAGCCTACAATCAACATCCTCAACCCTGGCTTGGTTCCAAAACTGTATTGCCGCCAGGCGGCATCGTGGTGGAAACAAAGGCAAAATGAGCATATGTGTGGATATTTCATGGACGAATCTAGCGGGTCACAGTGTCTTCAGGTCTTTATTTGCCTGATGCTCTCGCCTGATGCCTATGCTTGAAACCCCCGTGGTCATCGGTTCCTCGGTCTTTGGTCGTCAATGCATTCGGCCATCAAAAGTCATCGAAATTGTGACCTGGTAAGAGCCACCTGAACATTCAAGGCACCATACGCCGGCTCTCATCCGCCTCCCTGAACCTATCGCCTCTTGCGGCTGTGCGCGGCGCCGCACTGACCCTGCTCGGTGCTGCATTGTTCTTCAATCAAAGCTATGATTCTTCTTCTCAAGAATCCGGGAGGGGTTTGGAATTTTGCTCAGTTCATCATTTATCGGCCGTACTTCTGGAATTCCCAGTCTCGGTTGTCCAACGGGCAGACTTGTCGAGTCTTCAGCCAGCGGGAGATGCAGTGGAAGTGGAAGGCGTGCTAAATCCCAGCGTCAGTGGTTTGATCAAATGATCATGGCTGCTCTCCTCACATTGCAGATTCCCCATGCAACCGTACATTCCTCTGTTGTAGCTGCGCCCTGATTTGCCTGGCATTCAATGCCTGGGGTATTATTAGCCAAGGGGGCCGATGAATCTGAGGTCAGAGCCATAGCTTACAGAGATCCATAATGTGGTTTCTGCAGATGGCACAGTTGTCAACGACAATGTCCCAAGCCCATAGGGCCACCGCATTCCACTGCAATACATCAATACATGGGTCGAGGCAATTCGTGTGATGCAACCCACCTTCTTGACTTCAAATCTCTTCTTGGTGTCACCACCCTCAGTGGCACCCGATTTTGAGGCTTTGACGGGGGCTTTGGTCTTGGAATCAGAAGGCGCAGCAGCATCGGCCATCTCAACGTCCGCCATTTGAGTGTGTGGGAGTGTGGTCGCTTCTTGGACAGTAGGGTGGAAAGTGCGGGGCGACTAGTGAGGATGAACTGAAGGTTCAAGGTGGTTATGGGTTATAGTGTCAAGTTTTCTGGTTGAGTCGAGTGTGGATATGCAGAACTGACGGTGGCTCAAAGGAAGATGAAGGACAAGACCAGATGAAGTGGAAGTCAAAAGGTCCTCCGGGTCAAACTGCGGAGTTGATGGATGAGCAAGACACAAGGCTGAAGCGAATGAATAATGGCTGAGGATGAGTCTCAAACCAGGATTGGTCAGAGCGGCGCCGCCTCGCAGCCTGGTCAGTGGTCACCCACTGGTTGACTGGCATAGCTGGCTGGTTGGGGTGGCGAACCCCCTATGAGCCTCTGGCACGCCCGTGACGCCCATCGCCGCCCAGCCCAGCCCTGCCCCAAGCACCGCCCGCCCTGGAGGTGCCGCCACCCTTTCACACTCTTATTTGTTGTCCTTCCCTCATCTTGTCGCAGGCTCCTGCGTCACCCCCGAATCCATTCGCTTGCTCTGTCCCTTCACCATTTCACCTTCGCGGTTCACCGACCTGGTTCAACAATATCTTCATTTCTATCAATACGACTGTTATATCTCGGACCAATCCTCTGTCTTTGGGATAGACTTGGTCGTTCGCGCATCAGAAACCACAGTACATTCAGACAATGAACACTTACACTTCAACCTTGAACCGCAGCTCACATCAACCACGACGACCTACTCCGAGACCCTACGCTTCGCCACACCGTAAACGCTCAAGATAGACGCCCACCAGTACTCTCGGCCGGTCTCTTTGTCCTCTTGTGCGATTCAGTGCCTATTCGTATATCTCTGAGCGTTCTGCATTTCATTATTCCTTGTCTACTCAGGCCCTGGGCTGCCGATTTTATCAGGCCCATCACCCCTCTCAAACACAATGTCTGCGGTGGCTGCGACTCCGTTACATCAAGGCCCTCGAGGTCCTCGCCGTTCAGGAAGAAAGCCCCGACCATCAGACGCTCTTGACAGTGACAGCACTACGGCTCCTGCTGCACCGGCTGCAGAGCCTCAGCGAAACCCCTCCCCCGCCATGGGAAATACAACAAAGAACAACATCAAAGCTCAACATCGCAAACCTCCACAAGGCAATCACAAGTCACAAACAGAAGGAAAGCATGGCAACAACCAGCAGGCGAAGGTCAAGGCGACACCGACGCCCGTGAAACCAGCCGCGTACGCCGGATCTGCTTTCCAACAATCCCCAGCCCCTTCGGCTCTTCCTCTCCCAAGCTTCTACTCCAAGTCTCTACCCACCACGAGCTCCATGCCACAACAACCTCCCACCTCAGAGGACACCAGCTCCCACGACTCTTCAGTCACACCGGGCGATGAATCACCTAGCAAGCGAGAATCAACTCCCTGTGACTTCCTCTTTGAAGCCGCCCGACAAGCAAGAGCTACTCCTCGGGGTGAGAGCCCTGCCACACGCTCGGGCAATCTCTCTGTTGCGAACGGAAGCCCTGCTTCACAGTCACCAGCTCCCCGAGAGGGAGACCCCATGTTCCCCTTTGAGCTTGAAGGCGGCAATCCGGGAGAAGATGGATTGGCGTTCGCTACCCCTTACAAAGATCGCATTGAAGCTCTGCGATCCACGAAGTCGACGTCTACAGGAGGCAGAGGCATGGACGAGAACGAACGCAGGGCGAAATCGGAGGCATTGAAGAAGTTGCTTATGAAATCGAGCGGTCGAGAAAGCGGCATCGACAATGATACCGTCGCCGATACTAATCCATTCAATGCCAAGGCCCCATATTCGGCGGGTGCTCCCCTTCCCCATGGCCAGCCTCGCTCCAGCTCGAACCCTGGCACACCGGTGTACACGCAAGAGAATTCTGCATATCATTCTCCGCAAAACTTCATCCCGGTAGGATATCCATTCCCAGGCCCTCAGATGTATACTCCAAGGCGCACGAACTCTTCTCGGCTTAGGCATGTTTATGGAGCACAAAGCGAGCCCGAGTATGCCGAGTTGTCGTCCGATAGCGCGATAACACCGCCGACGGCGTCGCGAAAACACACCTCTCGTCCACAAGCCCAATATACTACGGCGTCATCCACAAGCCAACCGCAGATGCCGACTCATCGATCTAAGCCTAGTGCGCAACAACTTGAGGATGATTTGAGAAGGGTACTGAAACTGGACCTCACGTCTCGAGGATGACTCATTCTGAGCGGAGCTTTACATGACATCTAGGCGAAACTAGAACAGGACAGAGGGTGGATCAATGTACGAAAACCATGGTTTATGATCTTGATGAGATGGATCGGGTCAGGACGACATGGATTTGTCGGGTTTGGGTTGGTCCACGTGGTGGTCTACTAGCACGGAAGTTATTTCTGAAAGATCATGACATGGAGCAGATTTGGAAAGTATGGAAACTAGAGACTGGTCATTCTTTTGAGGTGGATCTCATTTGTTCCGAAGGGATGATGGTGCTGGCTGGACACATAGCTCCATACCTAACGAAGCCCTTTTTGATTTGTAGACGAAAATGTCCATGCTCTGGTGTTGCTCCTGAGGCAGTCCACGAAAAGCCCTTCTGGCGCAGCGTTCATGGGCAGGGTGAACTTTGGCCTTGATAATCCTGCAGATGCGGCGCGAAACGCCCTGTGAACAATCCCTCATGCTGCCTGCAGAATCGACATCCAGAGCGCGCCGGCCCGCCCGATCGAGCTCACACCTTTGCGCAAAGTCATGTCCCCTGCGTCTGTGTCGTGGATGGGAAACTTAAACCCACTCGATAGCCATGTCATGATCCAACACGTAGATGACTTGTGTCGTCCATTCGCATATCCTGCCGGTCGTTGTGCACCACTGGCGGGCCACCAAAAAACCAAGACTCGGGAGGCGTTATCGTCTTGTCAGTCCATCTTGCTGGGCCCGTCTTCTTGTGGGACGTAATCGCTGATCGAGCTGGTGGTCCCTATCGGAACAACCGTGAAAGGTGCCTGTCTCCCTCGCATGTTTAGGGACGTCCAAATGTTGCTGAGTCCAGCACTCACAGCGTCTGACACGTTGAATTCTCTTAAGAAACTGTGGACATGGCGACCCGATCGTCGTCACCACCACCACTAGCCCAAAAAGGCTCCAGCTCAATCACTGCTCGCGCACCCTCTACACCCGCAATTAACACACTGCAACCCGCCGCCGCCTTCTCCGCCCGCTTCGCCACCATCCCTCTTCAACGTCGCCTTGGGCACGCGACAGATGCATGTCCCCTGGAAATTCGTCTCCTTGGTCTGCACGCACCTTAGACAACAGAGCTTTTCATACCCTTGCTTCTTCCACTTGGCGATCAACGCCGCGTCCGCGTAACCGTTCTTGATTAGCCACTCGTACAGCTGCTTCGAGATGGCCTCTCTCTTGTAGTACAGGTCGTATACGTAGCGGGAACGGGCGTGCGAGATCTGGAAGATGGGCCAGAGGGCCTCGTGTTTCTTTTTGCCCTCGTGCGATGCGTTCTGCGCGTCGCGCATCTTGTTCGAGTACTCGAGCAGAGTGTCTTCGATGTCTTCGAACCCCGCTGGGGGAGGCTTCTTGTGAGCGCGAGATCGGACGGGAGGCATTGTGTCCTTTTTTTAATTTCTTTCAGTGGAGGTAGATGGGTTATCTAGATCGACGGAACGGCCGACGTTGAGGGTCTCGAGGGACTGGAACGGGTAGAGTTCCTATGAACAGAGTGTTTCTATCGTGGCAGTTCGCAGAATGATAAAGATTCCTGGAGGCGAGTAAGTTATATACCTGGAACAAGAGCGAAGTGGCAGGCAAGGCTGAGAAGGACCAACTGCGCCCCGCGAAAATAATACCGCTATGACGTATATGGTAGCTTTGCCGAAATATTCAGCCTCGTTTCCATTCTAAAACGGCCAGGGCTGCTTACACCATTGCCACAGATCTTTCTGGTTCCTACGTGTGGACTAATGTCTGCGTTGTTGAAGACAAAGATTGTAACCGCTGTTCATCGTTATGTGAATTCTTGATTCGACCATTGCGGCATGATTATCTCTCGAGCTCCCGGGAATGGGACGATGTTGACGGATCGTGAGAATGATACTTCAGGTCAACCAGGGGGCGATTACGGAATCGAAAGATGTACATTGCCTCATCACAAAATCTGCGAAGCCCTTGGTCAACCAGGAATTGGCCCTGGGTATGCCTGTGTCTCACGAACGCGTCGAGCATGGCTTGTTGGTTGACGAGCCTCTTCCTTTGGCACGGATGTGAGTTGGCGGCGGGATATAGGGCCTATTGTAACAGATTGGAGTGCCTGTTGGAGTACGGTTACCGGCTCACCGGCATACTCGCCGCGCATTGGTCTCCAAGGTTGGCTGCCCGCTCGCTCTCTATTACACTTATTCGGTTAGGCTGATGAAGCTCGCTACCTGCACAGGTAGATACTGTACGAAGTCCTCGGTAGGCGCTGCAGACGTCAGTTTATCTCTTCCCGGAACGCGCCACCAGCCATTCCAATCCCCGTCGACAGTCGAAAAAATACTGAAATCGCCATATTTCAATCCACTCTTATCAAATCCCTTGTTTTTGCGGGCGCGAGATCCGGTGCTGGAGCGTTGTACGAGGCAATTAATCGGTAAATGATCTCCACTTCCAGATTTTCTGCTCAAGCTTTTCTACCACCAAAAGCATTCGGACTTACCTTGTGTAGAAACCTTGCCGTCTCTGCATTCGTAATGCATTTTGAAATGCGCCGACCTTGAGGTAGCCACGCCTCATGTATCCATTTTGGTGCTTTTCGATGATATATTATAGCGAGCTCGAACAAATCCCATGGTTCCAGCCACACATATCGTGTTTTCAACCCCAAGGTTTTCGTTCGCCCTTCAACCTTAGGTACCCAGATTGAGATCAAGCCTCGTCATGGAAACCTACCTCCAGTACCGCCGGATAGGACGCACGATCCAGAAGCAACTCGAGTCCTCCGACGCCGAATCTGCACGCGAACTACCATGCGTATCCCGCCAGAAGACCAAAATCGTCAATGGACGGTCAATACTCATCGTTGAATGGGACGGACCAGACGATCCACAGAATCCCCGAAATTGGCCTCTCTTTCGTCGCGTCTATGCGACACTCATCATATCCGCCATCGCTTTCATGGTCGGTGCTGCGGCCCCAATTGACGCAGCCGTTTTACCTCAGGCTGCCAAAGACCTGGGTGTCAGCCAAGTCGCAGAGACATTGGCTGTTGGCATCTTCCTGATCGGTTTCGGTGCTGGAGCACTCATCTGTGGTCCCTTCTCCGAGGTCCTGGGCAGAAGTGGCACATACATTGTCTCTCTCGTTTTCATGTGCATTTGGCTGATGGCGTCGGCTCTGGCACCCAACATTGGCGCCCAAATCGTCTTTCGATTTCTGGCAGGCTTCAGCGGCGCATCTCCTCTCGTCTGCGCAGGGGGATCGGTGTCGGATATGTTTACGCCCATCGAGAAGACGTACATATTTCCCATCTTCGCCATCGGGGGTTTCCTCGGACCACCACTTGGTCCTGTGATGGCCGCCTGGGTACCAACATCGCCCGTCCTTCATACATGGAGGTGGGCAGAGTGGATAGCGTTATTCACAGCTGCGGTCGTCCTCCTCCTAGCTTTTTTCTTCCAGCCAGAGACGTTTCCACCGCTTTTGTTGAGTTGGAAGGCGAAGCACTTGCGGAGGATCACCGGCGACGAGCGCTACTATGCTGAACACGAAATTGAGCGCATACCACTCGCAACGCGGCTTAGGGTTGCCCTGCCTAGACCGTTCATCATGGCCTTTACCGAGCCGGTGATCTTTTTGATTACTTTGTACATGTCGGTCCTGTACATCATCCTCTTTACCTTCTTTGACGGATATGACTTCATCTTCCGAGAGACATACGGCGTTTCCCAGGGTATATCGAACACGATTTTCATCGGAATAGCTATCGGTGTATGCCTCGTTGCACCCTGGCTGCCTTGGATGTATAAGATGACTATACGAGCTCAGAAGACGGCCGAAGCAAACGGCCTAAAGCAGTTCGATCCTGAAGTTCGATTATGGTTCGCGATGCTTGGTGGCGCTCTAGCGATACCCGTCTCGCTGTTGTGGATGGGTTGGACGGCATACCGCAGCGTCTCGATCTGGTCCCCGATCATCGCTTCAGTCCTTTTCGGCTACGGCACTATCATGATCTTCATCAGTTGTTACATGTACATCATCGACAGTTACGAGATGTACGCGGCAAGTGCGCTAACATTCGCCACGCTGGCTCGATATATCATTGCAGGAGGCATGACGGTTGTGGGAGTGCCCTTCTACAAGAATATGGGTGTGCATTGGACATTGACCATTTTGGCGGCCTTGAGTGCCTTGCTAGCCCCGATGCCGTACGTGTTTTACAAATATGGGTATATCATTAGGAGAAGGAGTCGATTTGCGGTGAGTCGAGCAGCAGAGGATGAGGACGTGCCCGTTCAGAACGAGTCTTCTGGTTCGTCTTCCATGACCATACCGTTGGAGGTGGACAAAGAACTTGCGGACAGGCCGGCGACTGAATGAGCGTTGCTGTTGGTTTTGCAGGTGCCTGTTGAGAATAGACCATATTTGATTTTGGCAAGCGCAGTTAGATTTTCTCGACCGTTGGCATATAACGAGCGTTTGGTGAATCATCACACGAACAATACACATTTGAAAGGCGGCGAAAAGCAACGTCGCTGATTTTGCACCCTCGCGGGCGCTACAGGCCGTAGAGCATTCCAGGATGAGAGTAGGAGGAGTGCATATGGTGGGAGGAGAGGAGTATGCGGCGCGCTCACAAAGTGGCCCACCCAGCCTTGTTTACAGATTCTGTGCCAAGGCAAGGCTGAGTTCCGGCAATGGACGATTTTGACTGGGTCTTGCAGCCTGTCCTAGGTAGGTATGTAGCTTGCGCAAACGCCAACTCCGTTCCGCTACATCGATCGATATCTGAACAAACTGCGCACATTCAAACAAACAACCTGCCTCCCCATCCTCGGCGTCCTATATCTTCCCACTTAATCAACCGCCCACGCAACCATGGACGACAGCGAACTCAGCATCAACGCCCAAGACGTCGAACGACTCACGCCCCGCGAAAAGCAGGAGCTGCAGGTCTTTCTCCAAAGCGAGTCGCAAAAGGCCCAGGTCCAGAAACGTAAGATGCGTCTCCTTCCATCCCCCTCCCCCTTTTCTCCGGCCCTTTACAAAGTCAATAATCCATGAAGAAAAGAGAAAGAGAAAGAATTCCACTGACACTGTTTGTTCGATGTTTGCCGCGACGTGCAGAAATCCACGAATTGACCGAGCTGTGCTTCAAGAAGTGCATCACGGGCTCGATATCCTCGGGCAAACTGGCCGGCAAGGAAGAGTCGTGCATGACAAACTGCGTCAACCGCCTGTTTGATTCGAACATGGTGATTCTGAAACATTTGGAGGCGTTGAGGGCGAGTCAATAATGATCCTCATCCTCGACACTTTCTGGATGATTGGAGATACAGGAGCCTGGCTCCAATGCATTTAGTCACGAGGGTGCGGTATTGTACAGAATAGAAAGGGTTACTTTGCGTGAGGTGTGAAAATTCATCGGTCAGGAAAAAAGAAGATGGGCACTACAAGTACGTTTGGATTGGGATCCGACGACGGATAGCTGGGGCTTGGATCGAGCTGCAGCCATGCAGGCAGGCAAGGCTTTTTTGGGCTCATTTGTAACAACGACATTCCATCTCGAAAAAAAGCAATTGAAAGAATTTCTGCTCCTATCTTTTGGCGACGCCCGTCGTTTTTCGTGTGTCAATCATGAAACTCGAGATTCTACATCGAGCGTCGACTGAGACCCCTTGGCTGAATATCATGCCCTTGATACCGATGCAATGCGTAGATGCCAGATCGATGGACCCAAGCAATCCATCACGACCTCACTTCCCCCCTTGCAGAGACTCCCCACTTTACACAATCGACAGCTTCGTGGCCGCAATATCCAGCGCATCCACATCCGATGTTAATCTCGCAAACGCCTTCTTGGTCCCATCGGGTCTGATCAGGGTGTTGATCTTGACCGTCTCCACGTCGTACAGCTTCTTGAGGGCTTCCTTGATCTGTCGCTTGTTGGCCTTGGTGTCCACGATGAACACCAGCGTGTTGTGCTCTTCGATCTTCTTCATCGCGCTCTCGGTGTTCAACGGGTGGATGAGCACCTTGTGGTGGTCGAGTCTCGTCTCGTGGGGGATGGACTTGCGCGGGTATTTGGGGGATCGCGAGAGGACGAGCGTCTTGGGTCTGTGGAAGGTGGTGGATGTGCGGATTTTGCGGGCTTTGCCGGTATGGACCTGAAATGAATTGTGAGATGTCTTGCCTTTCATGATCGACTACAGTCAACGTACGCCTCTGAGGGTAGCTTTGGCGGCCTGGTTCGCCTTCGCACTCGGCTTCTTTGGCTTCGAGGAGCCACCTGAATCGTGCAAGTATTAGTCTTCCCTGCTTCACGCACAAGTCTGACGGCAGAGGGCGAAGCCAAAGAGTTTCTCTCCAGCGGTCGGATTGAGCATTTTCAAATGTTCACCTCCGGTTTGTTTTCCCCTCGCTTTACCCGTCCAAGACATGGGACAATTTCGTACCTTTAGGCTTTTGAGTCGGTGGCGCCATCTCTGCTAATATTGTGCCGGGAAGAGTTGGTGTTGTAGGTGGTCGTCGAAAAAGTTGTCAATCTCAAGTCGCAGATTGTCGGGCAACTCGATTGTGGGCTTCCGCATGCCAAGACTTCATTTTTGCCAAGACCTTGTCTCCGGCGGATCATTTGGCTATTTAGCGCTTTCCTCCTCAGCAGTTATTATCCCTCGAAACACCAAGGCGGCTTTTTTTAATAGGGTGTACGAATATCAATCGACGAAATACAGTCCTTCGTACCAAATTGAGAGGCAGCCCGGACGTTGACGCGATGGTGTAAGACCCTTTAACGCGTTGCATCTACGGACTAAAATGGCACTTGATAGTGGCACTGGCAAAGAGAGCGGCATCAATCACGATCGAGAGGACGAAGATGCAGATGCGATCCTAGCATCACTGGAGGTGGAAGACTCTGGAGCTTATCGTGCTCGGAGACTGGAAGAATTGAAAAATGCAGCGGGCGCGTCCGCCGGGACTACGACCTTTGCCACGGTCAAGAAGGCCTATATCACCTTGAGCAGTGATGACGAGGCTCTTGCTTTCACGACTGAGCACGAGAGGGCAGTGCTCCATTTCTTCCACCCCGAATTTGCGAGGTGTAACACAATGGACACCCACTGTGAGCTCATTGCAGAAAAGCATGCGGAATACGGGAATGCGGATGTTTCCTTTGCCAGAGTCGATGTCAAAAATGCGCCGTTTGTGGTTGAGAAGTTGCGTGTCAGAGTGTTGCCATGTGTGATTGGTTTTGTCAAGGGAGCAGTCAAAGGGAGAGTTACCGGTTTTGAGGGTCTATGCTGGGATGGCAAAGAGGGCAGTGTGGATGTCACCAGAGCTCTGGAGGATGTACTTCTCGGCTGGAAAGTGTTGACTAAGAGGCTCCTCCTTGGACACGAAGACGAGAGAAGTGATGACAACGAGGAAGCCCCAGATCATCGGAAAGCAGTCCGTGGAGCTATCCGCAGTCGCAATCAGAAGAACGAAGATGACGATGACGACTGGGACTGAAGGACTCCGGAACGAACTCTGCCAGTGACGACCGCGGCCACAGCAGTTGACGCCTCGCCTCGCTCGTTCGGGACCAAGCCTCCAATATTCCACACACTGGTCCGCCATTGCCCGAGCATAACGGGTACCCGATTCAAGTCGCAAAGCGCTGGTGATGCCCTGATCCTCTCAAAGGTGGTACGACATCCCCGAATTCAAGGCAATGTGACGGGCACAGGAAAACATGAGGATTTTGTGTCGATCCTCAATGTAAGAAAGGGGTGTGCTGCGAAATGGTCCGGCCAGATCAAATCTGGAGGCCAGGGTCAGGAGTGTGGTCAATGATGGATTGCCACTGGCGGTTCTTTCTGTGACGGCATTGCAGCTTCTATTCTGGCTGTCCTAATACCGTATCTAGGCAGCAATGAAAGAGCAATATTGAAGTGGATCCAGTCTGAGATAATACGCACCATCGTGAGAGACACTAGCTGGCATCAGTGTACCTCGTAGCGTTAGTGAAATTGTTAGTCCCAATATACTGTCACCAGGATTAAGCTGCAGAAACATGATATCAACATCAGCAGTCCAAGTTCTGAGTCAGTCAGCGCGCGGGTCTGTCGGATTTTGACTTGCTCATAAGGCCTTCGGAGAGGTTTTCTTGATAGATATCATCCTCCGAGCAGCACAGGGATGGATATGACCCATATCGTAACAAATCGACAGGTGAAAGTGGATGCAGCATGTCAAAGTGGGCATCACATGCCTATCCCTCCTCTCTCCAGCTGTTTCGCTCGGAGAGAATTAATATTGCCCGAACTTTGGGTTATAGTGCATGCAGAAGATAGATGCGGGTCGGCAAAGTGAGCGGCTATTGTTTCGATCCACACGTCGTCGAAGCTGGCAACCATTGAACTGTCGAGGACGATATCGGTCTTAGAAGTAACTCGATTCAAGCCTGCTCCTAGATGTCATCGATCAACCGCAGGATCAGCATTGCTGGAGAGACACTGGTCAGGGACAATGTCAGGTTCATCCAAGACCCCTATTCAAGTAATCTCAGGTGTTCTCCTGGAGAAGACGGGGATCGTCAGATACAAGGTGGCCGTCTGTCTGCGTCGATCGCGATGAAGACGAGGGTAATTCCCTCGCGTTTATGGTTGGTGGTTGGTCAGAACTTCAGCTGCATGCCAGCGTCTGTGATGGTCTATAAAGTCTCAAGACGTGAATTTTCCCAACGCGTCTCTTCCCTGAGGACATGAAGACGGAAAGACGGGGGAACCGTCTCTTTGATTGACGCAAGTTAGACTGGGCGTTTCTTGTCCTTACTCCTTAGCTCAGTTGTAGTTATCTCATCCGACACAAGCGAGAATGAGCCTCAGCGGCATGCCTGACTTGGGATGGTTGAGGAAAGTGTTATAACCCCCTATCAACGGTAATCGCAGTGTCAAGGTCACCAAGGTAGTCCAGATGCTGAAACAGACCCGCAGTCGAAGGGACCTTGGCCGTAGGAAATATCCGGTATCTTCTTTTTCCGCTGCTGGCAGTTGGTATCAAATGCGATCGGCTGGATCTACCGGGGAGGAAATCTGATCGCCAGGCGCTATTGAGACGCGAGACAGGTAGCGGGTGCGATATACTCCGTAGTCCGGACAATTTTGTATGGACAGGGATTGTACCTGCAGGCGGGCAGCAGAATGAAGATATCGGAAATTATATTTGCTGAGCTGAACATGCAAAGGCTGATTGGACCCAACTTCGGGGCGTCGCGACCTGGCGAAGGCTTAGCTGGGCTGCCGCTCGTTTGGCGGGGCTTACTATGTAGGCTGGTTCAGGCTGGCTCTAGGCACACCACGGGCACCTGGGCGCTGCAAATCGACGCCCAGTTGAGCCCCCGTGGTGCCCGTAGCCACCAGAGTAGCCCACCCAGTGCCTGCTAGGTAGCCATCCAGGAGAGAATGATTGACGCACGTCAGCCACGCTGAGAGGACAAAGCTGCAGCCACTTCCGACTTTGCAATTGCGCGTCCACCTGCGTCTCCCCTTTTTTCTCATTCACTGATGAATCGTCCCTTTTTCCCACAGCCTCTAATCAAATTCTCTATTTCCACCACCTGCCAAACGCGCATTTCGAACCACGCTCCCACCTTCTTTTCCTTCTCATATTCTTCATCTTCGGACCTTAATATCAACATTTCCATCCCCGACTTTGTTCTGACTTCTTCACTTCTCTTCGGCTCCCGACTTTGCAGCCCCTACACTCTTTCCGACCCCTCCGCAAAGCCGCGTCATTTGGTTGTCTCATTGCCCACCTTCCACGGTCAGGACACCTACGCTAGAAAAAGAGATGGCCGAAGAAGAGAAGAAGAGATTTCTCGAGGGCAACGAGATGGAACTCGGAGAGAAGCAGGGCAGGGCCTTCAATCACGCTCCTCAAACCTCAGTCCCGAGATATACACCCCCTTCGTCGAACTGGCAGAACAACCCCATTCTTCCCGTTGTCAGCTATTGCGCCTCTTCTATCTTGATGACTGTGGCCAACAAATACATTCTCTCGTTTCCTGACTATAATCTGAATTTCTTTCTGTTGGCTGTCCAGGTTCGTTGACCCTTTCGACAAATGTCCTCTACACCTCCAGCTGACTTTCATTCTCCTCCAGTCAATTGTCTGCGTTGTGGCAATCCAATCTTGCAAAACTGCAGGCGTCATTACGTATCGGGACTTCAAAGCAGACGAGGCCAAAAAATGTACGAGTTGAAACCAAATTTCATTGTCCATGGCGCTGGGCCTAACGAGTCTCAGGGTTTCCCATTTCCCTCCTCCTGATCGGAATGATCTACACGAGCACAAAAGCCCTGCGATACCTCTCAATCCCCGTTTACACCATCTTCAAGAATTTGACCATCATTCTGATCGCCTACGGTGAGGTGCTATGGTTTGGTGGCTCGGTTTCGTCCATGGCTCTTTTCTCCTTCGGATTGATGGTCTTCAGCTCCGTCATTGCGGCATGGGCCGATATCAAGCACGCTCTCGAATCACATGGCTCCGCCTCGGCTGCTGCGACGGCGCAATTGGCGACTCTGAACGCCGGATATATCTGGATGTTTGCCAATTGCTTGTCTACTGCAGCCTACGTGTTGGGAATGCGCAAGCGCATCAAACTTACGAACTTCAAGGATTTTGACAGTGAGTCGATTGAGATCTTTCTGAGGCCTGGACACACACTAATCGCATACCTTTAGCTATGTTCTACAACAACCTCCTGACCATCCCCATCCTCTTGGCCGCCTCCTTGATCCTGGAAGACTGGTCCGCTGTTAACCTGACGAAGAACTTCCCGATCGATGCACGGAATGCAATCATTGGCGCGATGATCTTTACCGGCTTGTCCTCGATTTTCATTTCATACACGTCAGCGTGGTGTGTGCGGGCCACATCCTCAACCACATACTCGATGGTTGGGGCGCTGAACAAACTTCCCATTGCCGTCTCTGGCCTCATCTTTTTCGACGCCCCTGTCACTATCCCTAGTGTCTCGGCCATTGTCGTCGGGTTTGTCAGCGGAATCGTCTATGCGCTTGCCAAAGTCCGAGAGTCTTCGAAACCCAAGACGATTCTTCCCACGGCAAATACTATGAGTGCCAGCAGCCAGAGTAACCGAGACAGCCTGAAGGCATGAGAACGGAGGGAGCGAGGAGATGGCAGGAAGTTGCAGACTACTATTCTCCGATATGTTGACTTGGTCAATGGCCTTTGGACGAAGATCTTATGCATTGCGAGGCGTTTGATTTGTGGCGGGCCAGGCACCAGGGTGGGCTCGAGAGATTTCTGAAACGTAAGAGGTCATGTCGAAACAAGAATCATATCGACGCGAAATGTTCCGTTCGGCTTCCTGTACTTTAAAAAAAAACCCCTAGAATTTGTTAGAATACACCTTGTTCCATTTCTACCTGGCGGCAGAAGCAATGGTTTGACTGAAGTCCACACTGGGAAGTCAACACTGGGAAGTCAACACTGGGAAGTCAACACTGGGAAGTGTTTGCTATCTAATAATCATGGTGCCAACAGAGAAGCTGAAGTGCAAAATATATAGGTTTAGGTATCCTATACAGAAGTTTGTATCAGAGAATTTACAGCCTCGTCAAGCTTAACATTGCCTATCGTATTTTCTGGAGGGCAGCCGGGAACACACGTTCGTGGCCTTGCCTGCCTGTTCGTTCGTTCATTATATGATAATTAGATAGGTACATATAGGTACCTAATACGCGGTATTAGGCACCGGTCTACATACCTAAGGTCCTGTAGGTTAGCCAGTTCTCCTCCTGGCATTGGCAACCCGAACAGACAAAAGGGGCCCGTTGGTTGATTGCTTGGGTCGTCGATCATACAAAGCAGAACAGCAAAGAAAAGAAAAGAAAAGAAATCCACTGTCGGGGTGGTGTGGTGGCTTGATGCCCTTTGTAATATAAGGAATAGATGGCCCTCGAAGGACCAAATCTTCGAATTGCCATACCGAGTACGAGATCCAAATATGTAGGTAGGATACTCGGTTCCGTTTCTCTCCTGGCCATGCACCGTGCTTAGGGGGCGCTTCGAAGTTCCCCGTCCAGGCAGGCCCAAGGGGCAGCATGCGGTTCCCCTGAGAGTTCGGACCCCCCAGCGGCCTGGGTTTGTGAGATGATGGACAAGAGCAGTTTTGGGCTCACTCACATGCAGCCCAGCGGCTGGCTTGTCAGGTCGACCTTGATCAAACTCGGCAACATACTCGGTAAAGTCATACCCATCTCTCATCACATGGTATGCTCACTACGCCGAGCTGAGCTGAGCAGAGCAGAGCTGCTGATCGAAAATGTCACGTCTACGCCCAACAAAGGTCAGCTACTAACAACACACGAGCAAGGCTTTGGCAAATGGAATTAAATGGGATCAGGTCCCTATTGACCGATCAGCTCTCTCAAAAATTTTATGTCCCTTTTTGTGATACTTTGCCTGTCCAACGTGCAAGTTGGCCCGTCCTGTGCTGTGCGTTTTGAAATACAAACCGCGTTCCCACTGGCAGAAATATTGCTATACTCATGGCGGAAAAGAAGAGGTCAAGTCAAAAAGATTGCGGAGAAGAGAGACGCGAATGTGATGCCCTGAAATAAGATGTCGCAGTGCTTTGATCTGACACCGTCAGCCAAACGAGACCATACGTGCTCATAAACCTGGAGGCGGCGGCACTGCCGAATAGCCACTAGCTGGAGGTGGTGGGGGTGGTGGTGCAGCACCACTATCCGCTGGAGGCGGCGGTGGATTCGAATCTGCCGCTGGCGGTGGGGGAGGAGACTGTTGTTGAGCGGCAGCGGCCTGTTGCTGGTAGTATTGATAATAAGCGACGTAGTTCTGATAGCCGCCGTAGGCGGCATAAGGATCGCCCCCAGGTTGACTTGCATAGTACTGAGCGTATTGTGCGGTGTAGTCTGTTGGCGAAGAAACGGTTCCAGGCGCAGGACTGGCCGACGCACCAGCATAGGGAGAGTTGTAGCTGTTGCTGCCATGGGAGTAGCTGTTGTCGCGACCGTGGTCTCTTCCGCGTCCGCCATAAGAACTGCGATTTGCATCAGCTCCATAACCATCAGTGTATGACTCCAGTCTCGGCGGCGGCGGGTTCGCTTTGAAGTGCTCAAAGTTGACGCGGACGTTAGCAAGTAGATCTTCACAAAGTTCTTTGGCCTTCTGAACTTGGGCGGGTTGAGGTCCGGCAACGTGGAGATACATTGGCTCATCCGACTCCTGTCCGGTGCTGTGTTCCATGAAGCCAGACCCGCGGCCCTTGATTTGGACTCGACATCCGGTTTCTTGTTGGATGTGCTTGACGTACGCACCGCCTTGACCGACAACCTGTGCGCGAAGATTGAAGCCAGGGATATTTTCCATGTCGATGGGGATGCGCTCTTCGGGCCATTTTCTCTGATCACAAGTGAGTTGCAAGAGCGCCTATTCGGTCTGTCTCACTTACCCTGCCAAATTCATCTCGTTCGAATTGCTCTGGCTCTCTTCGACGGAAGCGTCTTTCATCAACAAGGTTGGGCAGTTCTTGCTTCATGAGCTCCTCGATTTTTGCAATCGCCTTTTCAAGCCCAGCCTTAGTGGTGCTAGTGACGTGCAGATACAACGGTGGATTCTGTGTCTCATTAGTCGACGGGTCGTTTGTGCAGGTCCTGCTGTCTTACTGCTGCCGTAGCCATGGACTTATCTGGATAGTAGGAGCCGCGAGTTGTGACATCTTCAGAATACAGGTAAGTCTTGTGCAAAAAAACAAATATTTGCTGGGGGAAGCATACCAGCTCCTGTCTCGTCCTTGATCTAAAGGGAGGCAACTAGTCAGCAAATTACCCAGACACATTTTGTTTGAAACATCCTTCGACAAGTACAGTAGTGCTAGTCGTCGACCAAGATGGGTCATTGGGTGAGGACAGCTTGGCTGCTGGCCCAGGGCCAAAGCGTCATGATGCCATCACAACAGGCGAGGAAAATTTACCATCTTTTGTGTGGAGCCCTTTGTTAAAGTGTAGCGGTTGCGCAAGTCATTGACCTCAATGTCCTTGATATAGTCACCGTCCGCAATGTAGATCTCGCCGTCGACTTTAGCGCCGCTGTGACCTGAGGAAGGCGTCGCAGGAGTAGGGGCAGGAGTCGGCGTCGACGACTTGAGAGACAGTAAGCGCACGGACAGTCTCAAGGACAACCTAGAACAACTTACCGATCGAACTGGAGGGACGTCGACATGCTGGATTCCCTTGCGGGCTTGTAGCTCCGCATTAATCTTCGCAGCGGCCGCAGCTTGGGGATATGGTTAGCAACGCGCCAAAGCAAGCATCCAAAGGGACTGATCAAATTACCTGCGGCAGCAGCTGGATCCAGAGGGGTGCTGCGCTTCTCACTCGCTGCGGGACTCTGACTAGCTTTTGCGAGCGGACTGCGACTTCTCCTGGATTCGCTGTGTCGGGAAGAAGGAGATCTGGAGCGTCGGTCGAAGCGTGAAGTCTTTCGTGGCTCGGGTTCTGTCTGGTCGAAGCGCGACCGCTTGCGGGGCGCGTCGTCTGTCATGACGGAGAGGTGCGCGTGTGTGAGATGGAAGGTCTTGATGCGACAAAACTGTGAGGTCTAATTCAGTGGTGGGTTCACTGGTGAGGGATGGGAAGGAAGTGAAGGGAGAGAAAAGAAAGAGGAAATAATTGGGGGCCGGCGTAGCTCGAGTTTGCGGAGAAAGTGGATGCAATGCTTGTGCCTCACCAACTTGAAGGTCACCAGGCAGGGGAGCGTCTTGGCAACAATACCTAGGTATGTAGGTATGGATCCTCCTCGCCTCCTCTCGGACAAAGGACTCGGTGATAGAGACCTACCTGGTTATGTAGGTCCATATACGTAGGTACTTAAGAATACATCTTCAGACGGTGAGTGTCAGTCGCTGTCACTGTCCTCACTCCCCTGCTTCCTTCTTCTCTTCCGTCTGCGAGACACCACATCCTCCGGCTCCGCATTCTGGTCCTCCATCACGTAGCACCGTGCATCGCGCTCCTCTCCTCTCCAGGCGCCCCTCCTCTTTCCTTCGTCACTCCTGTCTTTGCCGGTGACGATGTCCCCCGCAGTCCTAGCATGGTGGTACCCGGGGTAAGCAGACCAGGGGAACTTGAAGCTCTCCACGACCTTGAGGCCGCAGTGACGGGCCAAGTCCCGGATATTCCACAACGTGTAAGGCTCGCCCTCAAACAGGGTGACGAGAATCTGACCATTCACCGCCCCAGGGTTGCGACCTTCTGATGTCTCTGACGTATCATCGTAATTGTAATCACTCATGTCATCCGCTTCCGCCTGCCGTATCGTTGCCGGACGGTTTCGGGAAGAGAGCAGTGGCTTGGCCGACTGGAAAAATCCTACCAGCAGTTCTTGGTTGTACCGGACTTGCCTGTTCACGTCTGTACTGAGACCTCCAACGTGTGGGAAGTTGAAGACAATCTTGGTGAATGGAGAATATGGCCGCAGGGCCTTCTTGTGCGCCGAAGAGAGCTTGGTTGCATCGATGCCATAGAGGACGTGGACAGGGTTCTCATCCAGGATTCTGTTCGGGTCTTTGGGTTGTTTGTGAATGGGAGAATTCGGCGGTGAAGGAGAAAACCCTTTCCATTCATCCTCGTTGTCGTTTGTGCCCTCGTCAATTTCATCTCCCTGGTGTCCATCCGACTGGAGCTGTGTCGTTGTCTTCTGAACCTCCGGGTACTTGCTCTGGAGGACCTCTTTTGAGTCGTAGCAGGTAGCTACCATCTGGCGCACTTTGTGGTGTAGTTTCAACGACAGCGAGAATGAAAAATCTCCTTCGCCAACAAGTAGCACATTGTCATGCTTGGTAAACGGCACCTTCACCCGGGCCTGTGGCCGACCATGTTGTTGGCCTCCGCTGGGAGAGGCTGCAGCTTTCAAGTTGGCGGGACTTTGCGCTTGTTGATGGCTGTGCTGCCTCCTGACCACGGTCGATTTGCCGAATGTTGAATGGTGCTTGCGGCCTTGACGCTGAATCTTGCCCATCTACTCCCGCACAGAGACTCTCAAAACAAGTAGTCCTGCGAATGATTACGATAAGGTATGTAGATGTTTTTTCTCTTCTTCCCTCTTCCCCAGTTGCCAAGCCTTGGGGAGTTAAAAATATCGCGCCAGCATCTGCCCTGTGCCTCCCAAACGTATCAATGGCGGAGGGCTACTCGAACAACCTGAGTGCTGTATGAAACCGGGAAGATGGCGCAACAAGGGTCACATTCACTGTTTGTTACGCATGGAATCGGCCGCACTAGAATAAAAGGCTACAATACCGAGCGGCTGCTCTGAGGATCCATGCGAACTGAAAGGTGTGATCAACAACTTCTACATCCCATAGAAATATGGGATCATTTAGACATTGTAAGTCAAGAGTCATCTCTGCTCAGATTGCAAATTGCTTGTCTTTGAAGGTTCGCAGGACATTGGTCTGACTGTTTGGCGATTTGTACACACGGCTGTCAAGTTCAGCCTGTACTCATGTCGATTTCTATGTACAAGTCCTGCGATCAGTTTCTTGTGTCTGGACGCCCATATCCACCTCCCTTCCACCTCCCTTGGTTGTAGGCCCGTCTTTGCCTTATCCGGCGCCCCCGTTGAAAACCTCCTCCCAAACCCTGAAGACTGCCTCATCATATATCCCAATCCAGATCTCCTCGAACCATCCCCCCAACTCGGCCTCTCGCAAGCATTCCTGCAGAAGCTCCGCAACCTGTCTAGGCGGGCACTTCCAGACGCCGCAGCCCAGAGCAGCCAACATTAAGACACTCTGATCATGTCTCGCGGCCATGCGTAGTGCCATTCGGAATCTCTCCTTAACCGTCACCACGTCCTTGTCGAGTTTCCCGCGTATTTCCCCTACCGCCGCTTTCTTCTTGGAGCTCTGTTTCGGGACGAGCGGCGGGCAGGCCAAAGCCGCGACGCTCACGACGCTCACGGTCGTTCAGTCCTTCTTGGGCAGCGTTTCACAGTTGCCGGAGATTTCGTCCCGGAAAATCACCACCTGCGGTGAAAAGACGCCGGCACACTCGCCGGGGTTGTTGCGGTCTCGCTGGACCACTGTCCGCCAGGGATACTTCTCTCTCCACTGGTCCAGCGTCGGCCCAAGTGTTGATGAGTAGCAAAGTGCGTCCTCTTGTGTGGTGCCGAATCGGTGTCGCCAACCTCCAGCCAATTCCGCGTCGGAAGCGCACTTTAGCACTGCTGTTTTGTGCACATAGTCGGGGCGAGATTTGAGGAGTTGTCGGGTTAACGAGAATGTGTCGCCATATCGTACTTTGATGTTCGTGTATGTGTGTCCCGGGGAAGCGTTGTGGTCGAGGGGTTCGAGCTGTGACGGGAAGAAGGTCGACTGTGATTGTTCTTGGGTGATTCCCATACTCGTGAGGACCTGAGGCACCAGAGAAAGTGTGTCCTCCACCATGCCCTTGCGTTTTTACTTGGATGGTGGTTCTGTCGCAAACGAGGCACGGCCCTGGTATCGTTCGGCCGGTAGGTTATTGGTTGCCCGGGGTCGATTGTAGCGAGACATGATGTGAGAGTGAGATGGGAGTCACAAGAACCACAGGAAATGTACCTTTATAGTGTGTGCTCAGGAACGCGTCGTGCGCGTCTCGAAGCTTGTATCATTGAGCTGTTTACATGAGTCACTGCTGCACAATTGGAGGGATTCCCTGATCGGATAGGATTCTTGTTGGTCAATCAAAGGAAAGCAAGTTCACTACCTGCGCGTACCAAAGAGACATGATCCTAGTCTCTGTTTTCATGAAAGATCAAGGGAGACAAACTTGGTTTCCTCCTGTCTTCGTGTCTGTTCATCACATCTCGTACTCGTACACATTGTCTCCCGCATCCTTTGCCATAGTATTGACAACTCACGTTCACCCGCAAACCTAGTCGAACAAAGATAAGCAAATATCATTTGATTTTCCGAATCGTGGCGTCGCTGGCCTTCGAAGTCAATCCACGACTTAGGCCCGCACCAATCCCTCTGCCCAGGGTTGCAAGTGTACTCCCAGCGAAAGGATTGAGGGAGTTGGAATCATCCCCCTCTCCTGATTGCGGCGCCGTAGCCAGCTCCGCATCGCTATCTGATATAGTTGTTTTGCCACTTTCGTTTGGCGTTTTACCTGAACCGCCTGGGCTCTGCGTTTCGGAGGGACGAGAAACAGAGGAAGTCTTGGTCCGCGCTGACGCCAGATTTACAGATTTCGATCGTTGATGGGATTGAGTGAGAGCTAGAAACGCCGCCAGCGCAGTATCGGCGCCTCCAGGGCCGGTGTCGGTAGAAGAGTGCGACTGAGATGAAGGAGGGACGAGGAGACTTGTTGAGCGAGGGAGGTTCGAACTTCCTGCGCTGCTACGGCTGAGTTGATGGGTCAATTGGGGCGGTTCAAGGTAGGCATGCTCTTGATTGCTGGTGGCGAGGTTGTCCTCGGTTGACGGAGGATATGGTACAGTAAAAGTGGTGAGAGTCGCACAGGAGCAGCCACAGCCCGTAGGACAGGTGTCATGTTCATCTGGTTGTTCTTCGTCAAAACCATCCGCACCATCCTCGTCCTCAATTGGCGAAAGCTGTGATTTCTCAGCCGAAGACCGCCTCGATGCCGTCTTCTCGTGCTTTGCTAGTCGAGCACCAAACCATCCCTGAGCACAATCATAGCATGTCATATGCCCACACTGCAAGCAAGGCACCGCTAGGCTCCCGATTGAGGTATTGCAAATCGCACATGCACTTCGCTTGGGGGCTTTAGGAGCTCTCACTCCTGAACTTCGATGTGATAGAATGCACGGCGGACTTACACAATGCCATCCGATGGGTATGCCATTTTTCTCTATTGGTGCTAGGAGCTCTCCACAATTGCGACACAGGCATCTTATTTCCAGACCAAGATCCGTGGCACGAGATGTCAAAGTCAAGGTCTTTCTGCGTGGCCGCTCCAAACCATTGACGGGCGGTGGGTGAACAGCACTTGGCCGGCCATGTCCCATGTCGGACCTTTCTGCTGCCATTCCGTCGAATTTGAGAACCTCGGCGCGCTGTAAGTGCAACTGCCACACGTCGAGAACATGTGCATAGCTTTCCCGGTATGCCCTGCACTTTTTTTCGAGGACACGGTCCAAGATCGACGCGGATGAGTACCCGTCCAGATCGAATCTGTCCTGGTTGACCAGGCGTGTTTTAATCTTCCTGCGCTTTGGAGGCTTCTTGCCAAAAGTCTTCTCTGAGACCTCAGACTCGACCGCAGATACACCGCTGCGCCGACTTGCCGAAGTTCGCAAAGTGTTACTTCTCCGAGAACTCTGCGCGCCGGACGATGACAACGATGAGCGATTGCCTAGCTCGCGACTATCTTGACTTGCACCTTCGTGGTGATGGAACGACATCCGCGAACCCCTGTTCGCCGTTTGGCTGCCAAATATGCCAGAAGGTACCCAACCAGGGGCCAGTGACCCTGAGGGACTATATTTTTTCAGACTAGATGCAAACCCTGATGATGAACTTTGATTTGGAGGAGAGTTTGAGTACGACTGCGTCAAGGCCGACAAGCTTGCTCGCGCAGAAGAATAAGAAATGCCGGAAGTTGTTTTGTTGCTTGGCCGGTTTCCTTCAGGAGATGTTGAGACAGAGACAGCAGCTGAATAGGGCGAGGATTGCTCGTGAGAGTCATCAGCAATGAAACTTGCTGCTCTGGAAGAGAACTGGCTTCCCTGGCGACCTAAAACATGGTGCGGTCTGCGCCGGCTTTCAGAACCTCCTAGGCCTTGGACACTGGGGCCCAGAGGGACATTTTTGGATTGGATGAAGACATTTCCTTCCACATCGACATCCTTCTGAAAGAAGGATTTCGCGACGGTCCTGGATGGGAAGTAGTCACTTTGAGTGGGATAGATGTTGTCGGAAGGAAGATTGTGCCCTCTTGCTTGGGCCTCTCCTGGTATGACACCATTGTTGATGCTTGATGCTAGCACGCAGGCCAACGTAGCAAGCATTTGCACATCACCCAGTCTCTCGTAATGGTCGAAGATAGCAGGAAGCAGGTATGTCGAGCCGAATGGGTGGTTCCCCCAGCGCGTCCTTCCATACAGTTTGCGTCTTTCTAGGTTGTTGTCACTCTTTTTGGGAGGTCTTCCCATGGCATTTTTTGCGATCACTAACACGTCTTGCAAAGTAGGATCCCGCAGGCCCGAGAGAACTTCCAGAGGGACCAAGTCGGCCAAGACAAGACTGACAACCGTCCACACTGATTCAAGCTCTCTTAAGGACGCATTTCGAGCAACCGTAGCATTGTGTTTGCAAACGTCTGGGCCGTTTCCAGAGAGCTGGTACTCAACCGCCAGCTCGCGCTTTGAAGGAACTAGATCATCAAAGGTATGAATGGTCACAGCGCTCTTGCGCGGAGCATCATTCAGCTTGTTGGGACCACCGGTGGTAGAATGGTTGGATCGATCAGGCGAGCGCGACCGTTGCTGCAGACCAGAAGCCCCAACCCGGTATGATGAGACACCGGGAATATTCTGCTCAGTCTCGAATGAGGATGAGGAGCTGCTTGATGAATGCCATGACGAGTCTGATGTGTCAGAGTTGGAATCATCGTCTGCTGTTTTCGCCCCCCGGGTGGTTTTGCGGGCTGGTGAGCTCGCGTGTAGACGGCCAAAGCCTTCAAAGAGCCTGCTCGACTCAGAATCCTCGAGGTCTTTGACCCCTAAAGTGCTCAAAAAGGAGACAGGCTCATTCCCTTTGGCGGGAAAGAAGCAAACTAACTTTCCAGTCTCGGACCAAAGGGCACCGCAACCCTTTGCCAGCGGTACCAGAATGTTCGCTGAAGCGTCAAGACCTTCTCGCACGCCATCCAGTTGATCATCACTGTCACTGCTAGAGTCGTCGGCGCCAACCGTGCTCGTGTCCAGGATCTTTGAATCGACTAGCGATTCTCCAAGAACCCAAGCCACAATTTGTTCAAGATTCTGCTCTCTGAGCAAGTACCGCAGGACTGCTTCCAGACAGCCGCGTTTCCTGGAGGCATATGTCTCCGCAATGGTGTGTAACTCTGTAGTTATCAGTCTGTGCGTTGCTTCGTCCAGGAATCCGGACTTCTGCAAAGTCAAGACTGCGTTTGCATTCCGAGGGTACAACTTGGGAAATCTCATCTCCACTCTCAGGTAAACTTGACTCTGATCTTCCCCCCAAGGGGCTTGGAGTGACATGACAGCCTTTCGATGCGAGATATCGACGACCTCAAACTCTACCTTTTTGAACTTCTCTCCTACCTGCCGGATCTCTTCGGCCAATGTGTCAGGGTCCCAAGAAAATATCTTTACGTTCTTTAACCATGAGATTGGGTCCGTATTCTGCCGATTGTTGCCTCGTCCATGCATGCCGGATCTTTGCGCATAACGACCACCTTGGACCCAGCCGCGGAATTGGGAAACGGGTATTTTACTCATGCCGACACTGGTGCTTGAGCGAGGTCGGAAGTGCGTGAGGTGGCCGTGACGGGGGAACACCTCACTGCGAGGTGTCTCGTCCAAAGGGGAGTCGGCGTCCCCCGGTACGTCGCGAAAAGTCTTGTAAACAGCACCTCTTCGTGTGAAGTTCAGCCGTTGGACTTTGGAGACACCTTTTTCATACCCAATGTCTGCATATATGTCGGTCTCAAGTGCATGAAGCCTCAATTCCCTGTCTGTGCCCCAGGAGACCAGCTGGAAATCTCGATTATCAATGTTGTCGATAATTGAACCCCGAGCGCGCCACAGGAACTCTTTAACTTGACCCTCATGGCCCTTGAATGTTGCAACTGGCTTCACTGGACCATTCTCGAACGCTCCGTTGACTGCACGACGATCATATAGATGCAAGTCGCTGTTACCCCGCTGCGGCATGGCGAGCAGTCCCCATCCAAAAGGAGTATGACGGGCTCTCCACACAGGGAACGGAGTTTCAATGACGCGCTCCGGCGTGCTTTCTTCCCCATCGAGATCCCAGAACTTGATTGTCCGATCCAGGGAGCAAGTGACGATCTTGTGTTGAAGGTGACGGTTCCAGTCGATCCCATAGATTTTGGTGCCGTGGGCTTCGATGGTCCGTACAGGATATGCACCATTTCTGTCATCCCAAATGTGAAGGAACTTGTCATGAGAACTTGCAACAACGTGTTCATCCTGCCGGTTCCATTTGACCTGAGTTGCGCCAGCAAACCAGTCAGAAAAGGAGTTGACAGGCCTCGCTGGGGCTCGCAAGTCCCAGCTGTGCACGAAACTATCAACGGCGCAGGTTGCAAGAACGTCAGGATGATGGGCGGAAAAGTTGATGTCGGTTATTGCTCTCGTATGGCCGTGGAGGACGAATTCGATGGGATCCTGCCATGATCGAGCATCCAGGTTCCAAACCAGAGCTTTTTGGTTCGACGTACTGACAACCCAATAGTCCCTTGCAGCAAATGGAGACCACTGGACATCGGCAACTTCCCAGGGAGTCCGATGAGGGAGGTAACGTGGTGGAGAATAGGGAGAATCCAAATCAATGATGTGAAGCCCTTCTTTGGAAGCCAATGCGACATCGCGCCCGCTTGGAGAAATGGTCATGGATCCCACAGGTTGCTCGAGTCTGAAAGACGCATCTTGGCCGAACGTTTCGCTCTCGAACGCGGAAGCTGGACCTCTAGGAGCCATATCCGCTAGCGGCCTCTTTATCTCAATCAGCTATCCAAATTGCCGTCCTGGGTATCCGTCAAAGGTTCATCTCGCCAGACGGCTATGAAATGTAGGCCCGCCCAAGGCGTAACGCAGGGAGCTGGAAGCCTTCATCTCAAGCGGCGAGGTGGCAATCGCGTCTTGAAGATTGCGCTCTGCTGCAAGGGAAGCTCAGTGCATTTCAGACCGAGTAGCAGGTTGTCAAGAGCACTATGACTCGAAGAGGAGTTGCCGCTGAGGGTAGCGGAGGCGTACGAATGGCGATTGTTGGATGATTGTTGGATGTTCCTATGAACAATGTAGAGGACCAGGAAGCGAACAAGGCACGTCTGGAAAGGCTTCACTCAGCCAAATGCCAAGACCAATTACATAACATCTAAGTCATCATACGGCCTTGGCAAAGCCACTCTGCCAAAAAAGGGGCATCGAGCCTTGTCAAGATCATGAACGGAGACACTTCTTGATACTAATCATTCTATTGTTGAGTACCTAGGTCCCTAGGTACTTAGAGATACGTCTTTGGCTCTGGCAGAGGAGTACGCTGGTTCCAGATCTAGATACCGTCCCTATGAGAAGAGCATGCGGCGCGTTGCCAGCATCAACGACGAATCAACGATTCGTGCAGTCCAAGGGCCTTGGTATATGCATTAGGCATATGGTCCCTAGCGGACTGTTCTCGCAACTCTCTCTAATAGCATGGAGCGCATCTCAGTTGAATCATAGTCGCATATTCTCTTCTACACCGGTTGCTATTCGTCTCCGACGGGGCAGCCTTGAACTCAACACTTTATTCTGATGCTGCTACTAGTATTGGTTTCTGTTCCTCGAACCGCGGTTGTGCCAGTCCTTTGGCCGATGGTCAAGTTACTGTCACCCGTAAAACTCATCGTATCGCCTGTTGGTCCGCTCTGAAGCTATCTTTCTCCCCAGAAATGAAGACTTGAATGATGTCCGCAAATCGCAGTGATATACCTGCTGTCCCTAATCTGCGGAGAGTGCTTTCAATGACGCAAATGGTATTGGCTTTCATTTCGGCGATATTTGCGGCCAGTATCTTTGGCAGTGCAGCAATAGTTGCATCCAATATATGTGGCACTGGGTAAATGTTGGTAGAATCCATACTTTTACCTTCGCGAAGAAGCTGAATCTCTGGAAGCGAATTTAGTGGTTCGAACATCCCGTCCGGGAATGAAGATGCCCATGATACTGATGCCGAAGAACTCTCTGGTAGATAAAGCATGTAGCAATACCAGCAGATTGCGGCTGAGAAGAGGATTCGTGGCGTATGGATGGCAACAAGTGCACCCATGTTCGTCGATACAATCAGATTTTGCAGGAACAGGGCGTGCAGCAGGCATCTCTTAGAGTCCAGGGACGTAATCCACGATAGCACTGACTCGCGGATCAACGGAGAGACTTCGCTACCTTCTTTGCCGATTGCAATCTCAAGAATATTTAGGTCCGTGCTCAAGGCGAGGAAGTTATAATGCCATAGTGGAAGCAAGCTGAATGGAGCTTCCATTTGCAACGAAGGGTCGTACGACATTTTGAAGTCCTTTGGAGTGGACGCGTACCATGTGAGAAGGGCGGACTCGAATTTGCTCACCGTGTTAAACGAGAGGAGATTCAAATGTCGACATTCACAAATTGATGCACTGATGCCAGAGAGGCCGTTGTACACATTCAATATGTTGCGGTACTTCAAGCCTGGGTGCAACGGGGTAGTTGGCTCGCTATCACTCTGGACCCCTCCTTGTCCAACGTTGAAAGAAGTTGAAATTTCGGTTCGATAATTGGAGGTCGCGAAGTGCATCTCTCTTTGCTCTGCTCGCAGCAATGAAGCCCAAGTAGGTGCAGATGGAGCGCAGAAGAGCTCTGACGAAGAGACTGTTGGTATATGTCCTGCGTTGTGACGAAAGACCGGCTCGTGATGGAATAGTGCTGCGATCTCGGCGTCATGGATATAAAGTAGCACAGCTATCCTTCTCAGCTCTTCCTGTCTGACCCATGTCCTCCATGCTTTGTCCAGGGCCTCAGCAGAGAGATCGTCAGGAAGATGGAATGGTGGCGCCGGGTTGAACAACTTGTGGTGACGGGCAAGCGCAATGAGTGAACCATGGTAGGCAGCGGCCGTCGCTCGGTGAGCCGGGTCACCCGACAGCAGTGCGTAAGTCTGGCCGATCATAGAAGCCTTCACAATGTTCCAAGTTTGGTCAGTGGTTCTAGGAAGGGCGCGTTCCCAGGGAGCAACGAGAATAGCCTTGTTAACCCGCTCAAAGAGCATGGAACCTGTTTTGGCAGACATATCGGAGCCCAGGGACAGACAACCTGCCGAACAAATTGACAGGACTAACAGAGCGTTGCTGTGCGTTGGTCGAAAAGTTGGGCTGTGTATGAGAGGTAAAGCGACATTGAATCTGGTGAAAAAGAGGTGAATACACAAATTCATAAAGTCAATGGAGGGCAGCGGCTCATCCCGCAGGACTGGTCGCAGCTTATTTGCCATCTTCATACGATATGTTTCATCGATGTTGTCAAGAGACGTTGGGGAGATCTCCCCCGGCGTGACGGACCCAGAGTCTGGGTCGGACTCGTTCGCCATACCGGAAACCTGGACATACCAGATTCGTCGTAGATCAAGGACGGCGGGCCGAAACTTGGAATTCTCTGTCTTTTGGAGAGGCGGCGAGCTGAAGTTGTCGTCAAGATGCATAAGCTGTGGTTCAGGAAGTGTACTACTGAAGCCCATGTGTTCGAAGATGGTAAAGTCGAAGTCGTCTTCCAGGAGCCATTGTCCAGAGTGAGCGTCACTAAGTTGCTCTCCGAATGGATGTGTCTCGAGAGATCCACCGACGCTGAACTGATTGCTTTGTGAGTTTAGGGTGGCATCACCTCCAGATATCGCGGGTGTTGGCAGCATAGTCGCTGTCATTTGAGATTGACTGAACGTCTCAGCCGGCTGGAGGCTCTCTCCTAGAGTTTGCATTGCTCCTACCGGATTGCCTACAATATCTTGCGTTGGAGGACCCCGTGGAAAAGCGGGGTTGACTCTTGCACCTGGGCCTTGTACATTCTCAAGATGAGCGAAGCCTAGCAATTTCCCGGAAGAATGCGACGCTGGCGTTGTTTGGTTGTCGTACGAGGTGACCACTGGCCCCTCGAGATTCATGGATCTGGACGGCGAAGTAGAATTACCCGAGGGAGATGTGTCTTGATCTATCGCCTGAGATGCTTCCTTGTGCGTGGCTTTCTTGCCCGAAGCAGTGACATTCGAATCCTGGCTGTGGATTCTTGCATGACGGAGTAATGTGTCGCTCGATGAGTTAGTGTTGCACACCGATTGGGAGGCAGACTTCACCTACTGGCGGGGATAGGCCTTGCGGCATATGTGACAGCGGAATGGTTTCTCTTTGGTGTGAGATCTTATATGACGATGATAATGATCGGCTTTGTAGAACTCTCTGGAGCAAAAGGGACACTTTTTCCCCTTTCCTGTCCTGATTGCAACAGGCTTGGGCATTTGCGAATCCTGTTCAGTCTGACACCCGGGAGTCGGATTGGTCGACAGAGTAGTCGCCATCGCTTGCCGCTAGAAGAGCTAGTTCAACATTGACTGGACGGCTGTATCGGCGAAGGTGACCTGGATGGAGATGTTACCAGAACCTTGCTAAATTTTGTGCAGGTTGAATTGGGAGTGCGCTCGAGGAGTAAGCTGATTGTCGAAGGATATGAGGGCTTTCTAGGTAGCCGCCACCAACGGTACAAGTGCCAAGGTTGCTGACACTAAGATGAGATATAGGGAGGATTCGCAAATATGTCGGAATGCTGGGGGCATTGTTTCGGCTGAATATGGGGAAGCTGGCATAGGCGTGGAGAAGTCGCAGATCAGGATTCGAGGTTCCATGCTCGCGGGCGAATATCGCCCCGTGACAAGGCTGGTCGCGCTCCCACATGTCGCCAAAAGCCTCGGTTGGTGGACTTGTCCGGGTCTGCGAGATCCTTTGGGGCGGCCGTGGCGGCTTCAGATACGCCGGCTTTGACCGTCTTTGCTCGCCGATCTTTGGTGGCGTCCGGGTATCAAGAACGTAGAAAGAGCTATACTGAGGTGCCAGTGATTTGTACTCGAGCCACATTCAACATCAGAGATTGATTCCTCAACCAATCGTCTAATAGATGACTTTGCCATAGTATATATAGATATCCAATGACGCCTAAAGATCATGTGCTTAAAGTTGCTGAACCGGAGACGGGATCCTGCGTGGAAGCCCCCAAACAACTGGCTTATAGAAATCACTCTTTTGGTGACATCAGACGTCGGGTGCATCTAGCGCTTAGATCCGTGCGGCTCTGCTGATCTGGAAGATCCAAATAATGTTGGAGGGATGCGTTCGCAAGCAGTGATGAGCTCTGCGCTAGTATGACAGGCGGCAAATACAAATCGGTCTGGACGGACCAAAACGTACTTCCTCCCGCCAACATCCTTTTTAATCCGATACATGTCGTATCCGGTCGGGTAGGGCCGGTTTCTGCAAAGTTCTGAAGCCGCAAACTCGTCCCCAGTTGCTATACGATACACATTTTGCTGGGGGATATCACACGGAGTGCTTGCCGGACGACTCACGAGGGATGGTGAATGGATGAGGAAGAAAGCAGATTCCTTCCGGATTTCGTTGTTGGAAACATTCTCCAGATCCAGGTCTCTGAGATCCGACCATGCTTTCTCCGCCTGCTCCACATCATCAATCACGACGACGAGTCGCAGCAGTGCATTGGTCCTTGGCCCATTGAGTAGCACGTCATCAGTAAATTGGACTCTCACAAGTGGATCTTTGGTCGAGGGGTAAACCGAACAACAGTACACTTGTGGCAAGCAATATCCGCCTGCTAGGTCAGGGAGGAACGCCATTCCGGGGCCGAATCTGTATCGTTGCATGCCGTTCGCGCGTGGGCCTCGCTCGAGCTTATGTCTCAGGCTGGGGACAAGTTGCATCAACCACAAGATCCAATCCCTAAGAAAGATCTTCATGGGGTTCCGAGCCGTTGTCAGATTTCCGTTGGCCACTGTAGCAGCAAGTGAGCGGTCCAACTGCTGCTTTCGTTCTAAAAACCACCCGTTGAAGAGGGTTTCATAGCTTCCATCGAATTCGGGCCGACAGGCTAGTGCGAGCCTCCATGCAATACCTGAAGCGTCTCGGAATCCTGAGACAATGCCCTGGCCGCCGACTACATCTGTCAGTGCTATTTCAAGTTTGTAACCATCAAATACGTACACGGAGGCATAACGTGGGCTGCATCCCCACAGAGTAACACTCTTCCGACGGACCACTTGTTGCAGCTTCGGGCAGCAAAAGTGAAAGGCCTCGATCGCAGAACGTGGATGCAATCAACCGGGTATTGCACAGGATCTTTCAAACTGCCCGGGTTTCGTGTAAGTCGTAAGTCATGTACAGGAACATGTCACTATGTAGACGGTGGGGTCCTTACCCATAATCCGCGCCGGGGTGAGTCAGGTATGGCAGGACGATTTCAGATGTCCTATCCCAAGTAGCCATTTCCTGTGGATCCTCTCCCTTGTCCACCACGAATTCGAATCTCCAGAGTCTTTCGTTCCGTGGCCCGAAACTTCCACAGACCGAGGGTCTGTCAGGATTGCCAATGAATCGAAAATTTGGTGGAAAGAATTTGTCGTAGACTTGTTCAGGGGTGTAGTTGAGTTTCCAGAGAGGGAAGTGTGGATGTGTCTCTGGCGTAGGGAGGTTCATGTGCCAGTTCATCGCTACCCACGTCTCTTGGTATTCGTAGCTAGCGTCTTGTCAATTTGCCTGGTGTGCCTTGTGCAGTAAATGTGACTTACCCAGAAAGTGTTTGGAGGGAAACCCCTTTTGGTTCCAGATAGCGTTTGCGTGTGAACCCGGTTTTCCCATCTGCTCCTACAAAGAACTTCCCCTGAATAGTGCGCTGTGTGCCGTTGTTGTCGATGTACAGTGCTCGAACGAAGTCCTCGTCTTCTTCGATACCCACAATCGTTGACCCCAGACGCAGCTGCGAGCTTGGACAGCTGCTTGCAGCCATACGGATATTCTTTTCCATTACTGGCTGTTTGTGGCAGATAACACCAACGTGGCCGGTTCCCCCGTCGCTGGTGCCTAGATTCATACTCAGGAATGGCTTGGTCATGAGCCCATGCTTTCCAGATGTGAAGAAGGTCCAACCAATATGTTGTCCGATCTCGCCGTGTACCTTCCCATACAAACCCAGTTCCTGTAAAAGTCGAATCCCGTCCTCATCCAGAGCAATACCACGCGGATCTGTCACGATCTCCTGCTCTTTCTCCAAGACAACATTCTTGACAGACATTCGACCTAAAAGAGCACTTAGCAGTGCTCCAGTCGGCCCACATCCACATATTATCACATCGGTGGTTTCGAAACCATCGTTTTCCTCTGGAGCGGTCATTTGTTGGTCTCGGTGAGTGGTAAAAGCTCCAAAAGCAGAACTCTGAGTCAAACACAAGAACATAGGTGGGAAAGGACGACTTCTTATTTGAGTGGGCTCTTTCACCCAGCACTCATTCTAGATTCTCATATGGGGCCACCGGTCTAAGAAAGTATCCTCACACGGACGACGAAGTGCTGGGGTAGGAGGCCCCTCAACAGACAACAATCCATACCTAGATTGTTGTTGCGGTCCTCTTCCGGATCTTACTAGAAAACTTGCTATGTCTCATGGACTGGAATGAGAGTTGGACTCGCCAAGGAGCACCGTATCCAGGTCAATGCTCTCATGGTGGGGTGCCTCCAGAGGTGGGACATCCTTCTCGTATCCTTCGATCAGGGGAATATTTCAGGATGCGGGACACTAAAATGCGGGGACATGCTGAAGGCGCGACAGGTTAAGGCTGTCACCACGTGTGTCGTGTCGAGATCCAACCGACTGGACAACGGTATTCCTTTTCCATCCCGAATGCACTTTGTAGAAGCTCAAGGGTGGGTATGAGCTATTGCTCGTGAAGGTGTACTGCTCAGGGTTTCATGTCGAAGTCGTCTGGCAGTGTGGCTTATCAGTGAGAAAGAGGCATTGCTGGTGCACAGACATCGAATAGTGATGACAACATCACGACTGTCACTGCAACAAACACTTCCGTCTTCCAATCCTCAAATCCTGCGAGGAAGATAGGCTGAGCGGTAGAGACAGACAATTACCTAGCATGGTAGGGGGAACGACATGCTTGCAACGTAACTCGAGTCATGCTCTGTCATCAGAATCATGACGCCAAGATTATTCACGAGTCATGGGGATTGAATGGAAGGCGCAGTTGAAGCAGCGCCATATCAATCAGAGTGACTCAAACGACAGTGACAACCCATTCAATTGCCTCAGCAAAGCAGCCGCTGTTTGGAGAAAGAAGCACTCATATCGACTGGCCCGTGTACCGCACCATTGACCTGCCACCTCTTCTTTCACGCGCTGTTGCTATCGCTCTGCCCCACGTTAACTGCGGTCCCAATACCTATTCAGACGTCCTCCCACGACTTGCTTTCTGTTCGGTCGTCCATTCCATTCTGACCTTGCCGGCGGGGTTGCTGAGAGTTGAGCTCTCCGAGACTGTTGAGGTCCAAGCCCTTTGATCTGCCCCTGTGGCCAGGTGAACATACAATACCTTTGCGATGGCGTTGCCGAAACGAATTGTGAAAGAGACGGAGAGGTTGATGGCAGAGCCGTAGGTCCCTTTCTGGCCTGTGCGCTGAGTCGTCCATCTAAGTCTTTTCAAGTGTCCCAGGAATTAGCGCAGTGCCTCACGAAGACAACCTGCGGTACTTCGATGTCAGCATACATGGCCCTTCACAATCTCCATATGAAGGTACGTCGGTATATCACCAGCCCTCTGCCAGGAGACGCGTCTGATTCTCTGCAGGTGGCGTTTTCAAGCTCGAACTCTTTCTGCCAGACGACTATCCGATGACCCCTCCCAAGATCAGATTTCTGACAAAGATATACCATCCAAATATTGACAAGCTCGGTCGAATCTGCCTGGACGTACTGAAGAGTGAGTACTTTGTCCCTTGGGTTGGACTAGACCTAATCTTTTGTCAAGGCAATTGGTCGCCTGCGCTTCAGATCAGAACGATTCTTCTCTCCATTCAGGCTTTGCTAGGTGCACCAAACCCGGATGATCCTTTGGCAAATGATGTTGCTCAGCGCTGGAAGGAGGACCAGGAGGCTGCGATCCAAACAGCAAGAGAGTGGACCAGAACCTATGCCATGCCATGATTGCAATTTTCACTTTTGATGATCCAGGTCCAAGGGAAGGTTGCCGAAGATGGGGAATTCGATGAAGGTGTAGCATGGAACGTGCAACGATCTGATGAGACTTCAGTTTTGACGCCATGACAGAGAAGAAAGGCTCCTGCCTTTCGACACTTTCAGCACGATGGGCTCTATTATCAATGACGAATACAATAGAAGATTCTTGGTTTGAGGTCGTTTCTCTGTACTATGGTGAGTCGTTCTGGATTCTTGCTGAATCTGCTTTTCAAACCTTTCATATGGACTTGACTCTGTGTCGTCCCCTGTTGTTCGTCCATGTTCTTAGGGACAGAGCGCATCCCGTCATCTCGGTCTTTGTCGTTCATGATATGTCGTCCATCCTGACCATTTGGCGGCCGATTTTGATATGTGATTCGCGCGACACGGCGACATCATCGCTTCAGGGACCGGCTGGAGACTGGTGCGCGCAATTGGTCGATTTTGTACCCGCCGCTGACGCTCGGCGTGAACTGAAGCAACATTTACAGTGAAACTGTTGACCCCAAACCACGTTGTCCCTTTCCCTTTCGCTTTCATCGACAGCAAAGACGTCCACCATGGAGCAGAGCCGGTGGAGTCTCGACTCCGATGAGATGGCCTCGTGCCTACCCTCGCGGCCATCAACGCCGCAGGCCGTCAAGGCCCTCCTTCGTTCCCCGGGGTCCCCCTTCAGGACTCTGGGGAAGAAGTTGAGCCTGACGTCCTTGTCTGTGCGGAGTCGAAAGGCTTCGCCAGACAGAGGGGATGGCACGAGGCTGAAGGATCACGTGAGTGATGCTTCACATTCTGTCGCACCCCTCTACAACAGACGTAGAGGCGCGTCTTTTCGGCCCTTGTCAATTGTAACTGGGAAGCCGTTTGAATTTGATGTGAATCGGGCAATGGAAATTGTCCAAAATCACCCAAATTCCTTCTCTCCAACCCGCGACCCTGTCAAGCAAAGCCACTCCTCCAACATCATGAAAGTCCCACGAGAAGACGACGAGAAGACAATCAAACCTGCGCGATCTTTCATCATGCCAGGGTCGGACCTCTCTTCTCAACCTGACAATGTCGCACCCTCATCTCCAGAAAGTGCCAACAATGCCCAGATTCATCACACAGTCATCAAAGGACCTTTCTCCCATTTGACAAGAATCCCAGCACCAGACATCAGCCAGCATCCAATGAATCAGCCTAATCCCTTTACCTCCACGAGTGACGCGCCTCACCTGCTCACCACGTCTAAGAAAGAAGAGATCAAGCGACTGGTGAAAGAGGCCAGACGACGATTTGATGAGAAGGAGCGTGAAGCTGAGCGTGAGGAGGCCGAACGTGAAAAGGCTGAACATGAAGCTCGACTACAACACAGAATCAAGTTCGGGACATTGCCAATGCCTGGAAACGCGTTTATTAGAGGAAATTACGACAATGGCAAACTCCAAGAGCACCCATTCAGCGCGAAGCCAATCCTCACAGAAGACTCTATGAGTCCACTTCGACCAGAGCCGTTCGCCTGTCGACCCATCTTGTCTCGTCCGATGCCTCGACAAAGCTCTGACACTGCGAACACGTACGATCTCAGCAAGAACCTGTCAACATTTCAAATTGGTGCCGAGAACGTCCAGACTGATATCTTCAACGTCTCCAACGAAGGCTCACCCATGGCTGGGACATCGACTCCAGGCAGAACTCCCGTCGATAGTGGCAAGTTAGTTGCTACTCCACTTTCAGAGGGATTTGAGCAGAAGAAGTCTGGTCTCCGCAAGGTCAGTGGTTTGTTCAAGACAAAGTCTGAGAAGCCTCAGCCCGACTTTGCCTCGCCTCAGAATACTGACATGCTTCACCGACCCGATCTTGTAAGTTCTGCCTCTCCTTGGTTTGATGTTGTGGCAGGTTGGGTTAACAGCTAGCTCTAGGAATGTTATCTGCGCACTGCCACCAACAATCACAGCTATGACTATGATGAAGGGCAGCCATATTCACGTCACCCAAACACAAGCCGGGCTTGGCACTCTCGCAATCTCAAATGCACCACTTGCCTCGATGGCTGCTGCGCTGTCTGCGGTCGCGCTTGCTGTGCCTACAAAGCTGCGGCACTCGCCGTCAAGATCCACAAGGACAATCCAGAATCCCTAAAGGCGGCAGAAGAGAGACTCCTGCAGATTGCTTTCCTCTTCCCATACGGCCAAGAAGCACCCACTTTCCTCCAATGCACCAAGGGTGGCGAGATCGGCTGCGGCAAGATGGTCTGTCCCGATTGCTGTGGAGAATGCCCCAACCCGATCTGCAAGGATATTCAATGTCGAAAGTGCAAGAAGAACCCATGGGCGGAATGCTTGTGGCATGATGAGGACATGAATCGCCGCGCTCTTTGAATGGCTGAGACATGAATCAGGGTGCATGAATCAGGTTCATGGACAAGGAGATGAAGATGAGTGGCACGGAAGGGCTTTGGCGCTGCTTCTCTTGGATGACAGGACATCAAGATGAGAGCCTCTGTGAAAACATGACAAACGTGTACAGTTAGCTGAAAGAACCTACCCTTTGGTAGTAGGGCATTGACTCGAGAGATCTCGCCAGATCAGAGCGAGGCATCATAACTCAGGACATGAGATTGATGATGGATATTGTAAAAGGCAAGCAGGCTTCGATCCAGGATAGGGGTTGTTCCGCCTCCAATCACGTGTGTGGTGTAGATACCTAGCTCGCTAGGTATCGAAGCGCTGCGCTATTGTGCCTCTACTCGAACGTAGCATGATTCTTGGCAATTAGCTAATGGCGCACACTGCAGAATTGCAACTCCGCCGCAGACATTGAAACGGCCGATTGCGTTACCAACTTTCATCCCACTTCCACGAACCATCGAAGAATAGGTACAGCATCAATCGACCGTTAAGATGCGTACCTACGACGATACCTTCAGCGCCACCAAGATCTACCCGGGCAAGGTCAGTAATGCCACTCGCACGCACTTTCCCCCGTCCCGGTCAGCGAGTTGCTTGCGCCAGCAAAGACCACAACGGCGAGTTTCGCACGTTTTGTAGAAATTGCCATCACTGACATGCGGATTCGATGTTCTACAGGGCAAGCTCTACGTCCGCGGCGACAGCAAGATCTTCCGATTCCAGAATGGCAAGACCGAGTCCCTTTTCTTGCAGCGCAAGAACCCAAGAAGAATAGCCTGGACCATGCTCTACCGACGCATGCATAAGAAGGGTATCTCAGAGGTTAGTCTCGAAATCAACCCTATCTTTACACCGTGGCGGAGTACTGGTCGAAAAAGTTGGGATCTGTTTAATCCATTTCAAAAAGAGGAGGAACACACGTCCCGAGCATTCAAACCTGACCTCTTCTTTATCTCGCTGCGCACACTTCTACAACACCAACACCGGGCCACTAACGTTATTTTCCACACATCCAGGAAGTCGCCAAAAAACGCACCCGCCGCACAGTAAAACACCAGCGAGCCATCGTGGGCGCTTCCCTCGACGTGATCAAGGAACGCCGCGCTCAACGCCCCGAGGCCCGCGCCGCGGCCCGTCAGGCAGCGATCAAGGACGCCAAGGAGAAGAAGGCTGCTAGTGAGAGCAAGAAGAAGGCCGAGAAGGCGAAGAGTGCGGCGAACGCTGCGAGAGGCCAGATCACGAGCAAGCAGGGCGCCAAGGGAGCACCGAGCAAGGTGCAAGCAAAGAGCCGATAGACCGTTTTCAGTGGTTCGAATTGAGGGGGATTGGGAGACTCATTACTTTTGTAACGAAGATGAAGGTAGAGAGACCCTGGCGGATGGCTGGTAGGAACCTTCGCGCAGTCAGTTCGATGGCGTCAATTGAGATGGGCTCACACGAAATTCCAACGCGATAAAAAGGGCTTTCAACTGGAAAGCGCTGGTTGCTCGTCTTGCTGCAAAAACACTCGCATTGTTGGGGCGGCTTGACGAGAGGAATGCTTGAAAAACAGGACAGAAATTGACAAAGTCTACATCTTATGTGATTCAGGTCCCTTGTTAGTCTTCTCAAGTCCCGCTCTATATGGGGATATCTGCATCTGTGACAATGAATGCTTGTCCATTGTGAAAGGGTCGAATCCAAGCACAGGCTTCGAACGTCTCTCAAACCATTTGCATCAGCTCTTCGTCAAACTTCGGCCTTTCTGCTGTAATTGCGGACACGTCTTGCTTGCGGCCGGGTGCTGCTTGCGGCTTCACCTTCGTCTCCCGTGAGCCAGGTGCACTCTTCGACCTAGAAGGTCGGCGTGCGCGAATTGTATAAGCACGGAATAAAGCAGCTTCTGTACTTCTCCACAAGATACTCTCCGAGCCAGCCAGCGCTCCCATTGCACAAATGGCTGAAAGCGGGAGAGTCCCCGACCGCATGCAGACATCCATAGCTATTTGGGGGGCGGCGAAGCTGGAGATCCTGTCAGAGAGATGGTCCAACCACACAAATTCGACCAACCCCGTCTCCAATATGCCGTAGGGACATTTTACCCAGGTACGTCAATCCCCCAAACTGGTCCCGAATCGATCGACGAAGAAGTCCTCGACCCTCTGCAGCACTTGCCTGTCACTCTGTTTCTTGACCCCTTTCGCGTCCGCCCCCATCGTCCCCGGGATTTTCCAATTATTGACCCCCCACCACCACTTCCTGACTTTTGCCCCCAAACTCTGTCCCTGGAACTTACTCCCACGGTTCCAGTGACGCCATCCGAACATGACCAAGTTCCACAGTATCCCCTGCACCAGGGGCAAAAACACTTGATCTCGGATCGTGATGAAGGCGATTCTCCAGTTCGAGTCCGCGGTTTTGATGCTCGCGAGGTAGGACTGTTCGAAGCGGAAGTCGGGGATCGGAGGAAATGACCTGGTCCGTGGACGAGGGCGGATGATGTCGCTGGGGATGGTAGACTCAGAGGAGCCGCTTAGGGAGTGAGAGCGAGACCGGGGAGGGGAGATGGTCTCGACTTCCCCGGGGAGCTTTTTGGACGCGGCGGTTGAGGGGTTGATGTCGTGTTCTGGAGATGGGTGTTTTTTGATGTGAGCGGATTGTATGGTGGAGGCGATCTCGGTCGCGGCGGAGGCCATCTTGGGTGAATAGAAGACGTGTCGTAAATGAGGTAGACGATGAAATTGTGATGTTACCTAGGTACCCAGGTAGGTAGACATTCAGGTGTTCGTAGCGTCGTCGCAGGAGCTCGGAACGGAACATCTTCGGCTAAAGCGATCAATGCATCATTTGATGCCCCACACGCCATGCCAATTCTCTGATCGAAAGTCTCACCAAAAAAAACATCTTGATGCTGTCGACAAGGTGTGTATCTGCGCGACCACGGATCTTCCCAGTCCGATCTTCTTCCTCATTGCTCCTTCGTACCTATTCGCCCTTCTCTTCTCCTACGTCTTCCCTATCTCTGGGGCCTCTGCCCACCCCGCTCCGCAAGATGACGACCAAATCATTCAAGCTGCTCTGCTTGGAGAATCCCCTCCTCGACATCCAGGGCGTTGGGTACGTACCTACTTCTTCTTGACATGAACTCCCCCGCCTTCCGGTCTTCCCATACCGGTATATAAATCTCATCGCTCTGCAGTGATCCTGCTATGCTCGAAAAGTACGGCCTGAAACTCAACGACACGCTGCTGGCCGAACCCCACCAGATGGGCCTCTACGACGACCTGATCCAGAACCGCAACGCAAAGCTGATCCCCGGGGGTGCGGCGCAAAACACCGCCAGAGGCGCACAGTACATGCTACCGCCCGACAGTGTCTGGTATATCGGGTGCGTGGGCGATGACGACTACGCAAAGATCTTGAGAGAGAAGTGTAAGGAAGAAGGTACATCAGACCACTTTTTGCTGGTCTCCTCCCCCTTCCAAGCAGACAGGGCATTGACGAGAAGGAAACTATTCCATGCAGGACTGCACGTCGAGTACCGCGTCGACCCTAGCACACCCACTGGGAAATGCGGCGTCATAATCACAGACCACCACCGCACAATGTGCACTCATCTCGCCGCCGCCAACGAATACAAACTCGAGCACCTCCTCGAACCGCGGATCTGGAGCATGGTCGAAGCGACTTCCGTGGCGTTCTACGTCGGCGGCTATCACCTGACAGTGTGCCCCCCAGCAGCCATGGCACTCGCCAAACACGCTGCCGAGACGAACAAGATCTTCATGCTGAGCCTGTCCGCTGGGTTTATTCCACAGTTCTTCAAGGAACCGCTCGCCGAGATCTTGCCGTACTGCGATTTCGTGTTTGGGAACGAGAACGAGGCCAAGACGTGGGCGGAGTCTCAGGGCCACCCTTCCTCTATTTCAATGCAAGAGTGCGCCAAGCTGATGGCCAAGCTGCCCAAAGTCAACGAAAAGAGACCAAGGGTGGTGATTGTCACGCAGGGCACCGACCCGACCATTGTGGCCGTGGCTGAAGCCGGGAAAGAAGAGGTGGAGCTCAAGGAGTACTCGGTGCCGGTCATCGACGAGAACCTCATCAACGACACGAATGGCGCGGGTGATGCTTTCGCAGGTGGCTTCTGCGCCGGCGTGGTCCAGGGCGATCCTTTGGAAGACTGTATCAAAAAGGGCCAGTGGCTAGCAAGGTTGAGTCTGCAGGAATTGGGCCCTGCGTAAGTCTCTTGCAATCTTCCTCAACGGCTCGATCTCTAACACGTGTCCCCCTACAGATATCCCCGGCCGAAGCAGACATACAAGGCTTAAACGAAAGGTCTCTTCGGATTTGGTATTGCATGAGTCCGGTGTTCCTGGAATTTCCCAGAAGAATGTACCACTACGGGCGCTTTAAGAGCGGAATGGCCTAATTCAACAAGGCCTCCGGAGAGATGTGAGTTATGATACCACGTCATTTACGACTTATGGAAAAGGAACTTGATGCCGGAACCTTAGAGCCATGAGATGACATAAAAGGAGACTGCTAAAGAAGCAGGAACTCAAATAGAAGCCACAAAGACCGGAGTCAAGTCTGATTGACCACCGGTCTCTATTCGCCCCTGCTCAGAGTCGTGTTCGTAAGCAAGACCTTCCTGATGCTTCTGGGATCTGGTCAGTGATGACGCCGCCCCCTGAGATCGGCGCGAGTCGCCGTACGTGTAAGTCCACCAGGCAGTCCTCAAGCCTTTCCTCTTGCCTGGGAGTGCTGTGCCAGACCTCGATACTAGACCGTTTCCGCGTCGAGTTTAAAAGATTGCGACGAATGAAGGCATTGGAACCAGTGCCGCGCGGGCGGGTGGCGTCCAGGACTCATAAGTGATCTTGTTGCATTCCGAGAATGAACAGAGCGGCATTGCGATGCTGTTTAATTCTCGTTCTGCTAATGGAGACGCTGTGGGAGCGCTGCTGAAAATCCAAGAAGCGAACGAGAAAGTGGGGAACATCATCCTGGCTGGCCGCTGGTAGGAGTTCGACTGCTCTTCGGACGCGACTCGCCAATGGCACCAAAAGGCGAGGAATCCGCAGGGCGGGTGGATATAGCAGTATGCTGCACAGGTACTGCGCTGCCAAACGAGCTCCGCCAGGGCGACAGTGGAGGCTGTATCGGATCATTCGCTCGCATCCAAGTCGTCGTATTTATAGGAGTGCCGTAGTGACTCGACATAGTCGGCTCAAACGACTCCAATGGTGACGTCCGCATTTGCACCTGATCGTGCATGTGCATGAGGTGAGCCTGGAATTGGGCAGAACTGCTGATGCGAACAGGTGCTGATGATGGTTCAGGGAAACGATGGGCAGTACTTGGCCGTGGCGACGATTCTGGGGTTTCCCCAGGTCGTGGTGCAAACGGAGTGTTCAAGATAGAAGGCAAGACTGCGACGTTCAAAGCCTGGTCGACCGCGCTGGGCTGTGATGCGCTCGATGACTGCTGAATTCGCTGCACGAGGTCTCGAGCGGTAAAGGGAACAGGCTGTGATTGCGATGTGCTTCTGTTGCTGAACCCTTGTGGCACCAATTGGGCGTTCGACGTGGATGCGGGAAGATCATACATTGCAGTTCCGGAACTGTGGGCGGGCCGTGGTGCTTCAGAACGCATGAGATTATCTACCATGTTCTCCATTCTAGAGACCATCGAAATTTCAGGGTCGAAAGCCGCCGCTTGTTGACTTGGTGCTTGGGGCGTAGGTATTTCATGCTGGGAAGCGTGCCCAAGTTGACTGTATATGCCTTCGATTGAGGCAGCGGAGGCGGGAACCGCAAAAGTTATAGATTGATCTCCGGTCGATGTTACAGCGTCCCCTGCATCGAAGTAGACGAAGCGCATGTTGGCAAATGTAAGAGGAATGGGCAAGGACTTGAAGTCGTCCTAAAAATATCAGCAACATTTGGTGTAAGTTACGTAGCCTACTCACTTGTTTACGGGCAAGTAATGCTCCGTCTGTGATGAGACATTTGAGTCGATACAACATCTCGTGTTCAGGGGAACGAGGGCCAAATACTGCGTCGCTGTGTGCCGGTTTGGTCAGGCCCAGGCGGCTGGAAAGGCGTGTTTTTTGGACGAAAGGACTGAAAGCAGAAAATCCTCTGGTGTCCATGTCTTCATCCAGGAGATATGGAATGTCAGGCGCAGCTTTCGGAGGAAATACCTGCATCAGAATATTGAGGACGTTGACATACAACGGCCACATCTGCCGCATATACACGACAAGTTTCTCGTTCTCTAGCAGGAGTTGGACAGTACTCAACAGCCACCCGCTATACAGCCTCAAATAGGGAAGACTTCGGCGGATTACTGGAGGAACTTGAGGCAAATCTTCCGTTACGGCATATTTGCCGTTAGTGGTTGCTCCTGCGAGCTTCTGCATTTCGTCTAGCAAGATTCTGAGGAGGAGGAAAAAGGTTTTGACATTAAACGATTGGATGATCTCAAAAGACCGAGTGTCTGCAGGTGCTGGTTAGTAAAAGCAGTGACATAGCGAGCTGCGCCGTGTATGGTCTATCTTTGCGCACCTTTGACATTTTGTGTGGCGGACTTCTCTGCCGCTATATTGACCAAGACGAGCTTTCTGAGTACTGTAGCATCAGACCTCTCTCGAATTTGCTCCTCCAGAAGTCGAAGAATCTCAAGTTGCTGATCCTTTTGTCCAGTTGGATCCTTTTCGAGACAGCTAGCGTGAAATATAAGGAAGCGGTCATGGAGGTCACGGCTGCCCTCAGCAACCAATGCAGCACTGGAGATGGGCTTTCCTTGATTTGACTTTTTGGTGAGCTTCTTGAATTCAAGGTCCAAGTTTTGTTGGGCTTGTGGAGCGGGGTTATCTAGGCAGATAGCTCGATAAAAATAGTAGACGGCTCGCAGGTGATCCTCATCAGCGAGAGCTAAGACAGCCAGTTGATGATATGATCTGCCTTCTGTAGGATTGAGACTGACAGCCTTGTTATAATAACCCACAGCAGGACCCCAGTTGCGTCGATTCGTCTGCAATTCAGTCTCTCGATACCTCGAGAGATCTCCCAGTTGCACAAGGGCCGAATAACAGGAGTCAATGAGTTGTTTCTTCAGCGCATCGTCGACTATTTGAGGTGGGTCTACAGAGAGTGCTGCAGATGTCAGTCAAGATCAACAACAAGCTAAGTCATGGCATACTGTCTAGCTTCATGCCTTGTGCAATCTCAAGTATCTCTGAAATATCCTTAAAGTTGGAGGCGAGTCGCTGGATATACTCTCGATAGAAGCGTTGGCTCGACTTGATGAACTCGAGATAGAGCTTCTCAGCCTTTCGACGTTCAACAACTTTCTTCTTGCCTTCTCCTTCACGGAAGCTGGCAAGATATTGCCTGAACCTTGTGTTGGCCTTCATATGACCATTCCACAGACGGTCTTCGACTTTCTTTCCAGCCGCGGCCTTGAAGTCAATGAAGAGGAAGTCTTGACATGCTGAGCGAAATCTAGTGGCGTGAGTGAGACGTTCTTTCAGATTTTGGTTGCATTCACTTTGCCAGCAAGGATTCCAGGCCTTGAGTAACGGGCTCTGCCCGGAATAGGGCCTGTAAGAGATCGGTTTCTGTACGATTTACATTTCTGTCAAGTCCACCGTTAGACGACGAAGTTTTCGAGGAGGGGGAGTGTGTACCGGGACGCCTGTACGGCGATATCTTCCATGATGGGATTGAGGTGAAAAGACAGGTCATTGCGACCGTTCTTGCTAGTCAGGACGAATGTCTGGCGGAAGTCGACCAAAGCTGCTGGCTGCGTTCCATTGATACTTTTCTCGACTTTGTACAGTCGAGAAGATGGACCGGGAGAACAGTGTAGGTGGGTGCGTGTTGGTTAAAGTGTTTGGAACAGTTGAAGCTGTAAATGTACTGCCTTCCGCGTTGAAGGCGCAAGGATCCTTGTGAAAGTGCGAGTGCTGCAAGGCACACTACAGTCCTCAATGAACAGGTGGGGATCAAAGCCGCAGTTGCGTCCTGCACAAAGCGGCTCTGGGTACCACCGTAGATGCCAGTACCGCGAAGTATGCGGCAAAAAGTGCAAACCTGATTTTCCGCGATTGAGATCGAAACACGAGAACAGCTTCAATTTCAGTCGCAACTTCATCAATTCCGCCCGGCGTGTGTATGTGCGCACTATGGCACATTCCTTCAATTCTCTCCGCCTCCTCAGGGCGTGGCGGTCCTTGAATCATGCGCCAATCTGCAATAGGTGCTTGCAGTCGCGACGAACATTGGCTACACAAGCAGCTGTAGCGAACCCAGAGCCATACACGGAGCTTGAGCAGGAATCATCGCTAGTTCCCTTGCAGAGTCCGCATCCTAAAGCACGAGCCTTTGATCCTCTGGCTTTTCCAAAGTCAAGAAGGCGACAACTGCCTCCTAGCAGGTACGTTAAAGGCATACCCCTGGTGTCGATAGAGATTGGCTCACTCTTCGCAGGTATCGGTTTCGAAGTCCCAGATACGATCGTGGACCGATGCACCCCCATCAACCTCTCCATCCTTCCGATCCTGCAAGTCGAGAATTTGTCCCTGGGCCCTTTTCGTCCCCTCGAGTCGAACTCGCCTATCACAGCATCATTGCCCCGGACTTCATGACAATGTGCTATCAACATACGCCTCCCGGCTTCAGACCTCTCGAGAAGGGCCCTCGTTTACGCCCATGGGTTGGAGACAACCCGTATTTCGCGAACCGACAGCTGCGTGGGCCACGTGGTGGAGACGTATTGCGATTACTGAGAAGGCCCATAACCTTTCGAAATGTGCCCATGGTCGAACGAGTCACGGTCCACGCGTTCTGCAAAGGCGCTCTCAAAGGAGGCTCAGGCTATCTTCACGTGGCTGGCATGATTCTACAGGCAATCACAAACCAGAGAGTCGTGGTGCACAAGGCAAGGTCGAATGAACAGGGCTGGGGCTTGATCAGAGGCCGGCCAGTCAGTCTTACGGTAGACTTGAAAGGGGAAGACATGTATCATTTTCTGGGGAAAATGATCAATGTTGTCTTGCCTCGTATCAAGGACTGGAACGGTGTCCGGGCCACGACTGGGGACAACAGTGGCAACCTGTCTTTCGGGTTGACGCCTGATGTTGTTGCTGGTTTTCCGGAGATCGAAATCAACTATGACGCCTACCCGACCAAATTAATTCCTGTGAGTTTCGCATGATCTGACTTGTCTGCAATATATCTTGCTAATCCCTCTTTCCAGGGTCTTTATGTCACCATTCACACCACGGCCAGTTGTGACAAGGATGCAAGACTCCTCCTCCAGCAGCTGGGCATTCCGTTCTATGGCAAGATTGTGGATTGATATTCATCTCATTTATGTTGGGTATCTCAACCGACCGGAAGTGACGACAGGAGGAGTTGAGACATATCACTTCGGGCATCATCCCAAGGGACTCGAGTCTGCGCACAAAGCTATTTGCGGGACTCGACGCCGAGCCTCTCGACCCCGTCTTCGCCCTCTGTATGGTTTGATGCACCATTCACGGCAGTCGGTCGTTTGAGAATACAGTACCTCCCCAGCTCCCGCCACCGGCCGGGCATCTCGGCCTGATTCCGCTGGAACCGGTCCCCGGCTCAGATGTGCATACATTTCCGATGGTTATCCCACAACAATCCGAAGGTCGCCTTGTACATGTCACATCACGATGATTCAGCTGCGGATGCTTGACATGCGCCAGTTGGTAGGTGGCTGGCAGCTATAATGTACCATATCGAACAGTTTCAGGCATGAACAGAGAGACACACATATAAAGACACATTTGCCTTCACATGGTACATATATTTCCCCTATCTCCCTTCCAACCTATATATGTAGTCTCACGGATTCACATTCCCTTCCCCCCTAAGTCCTTGCACATTGGCTCACGCTTCTTGATTTTCCTCATCCCTCACCCCTCTCTACTTCTCTCACTTCAGATTCTGAATCAGCCCAGCCTCAGTCTGTGCCCACAGGCCCAGGATCTTAGGGTCGCCTGTCGTTTGCGTCAGCTAGAACGTCTCACGCGAAGAATGGGAGGGGGGATGATATAACAAGAAAGGGGAAAGAAGGAAGGGGGGTTGGGAAAGAGGAACAAAGGAGAGGATATGATTTACATACCGAATGGCACAATCTGCGAGGCAATGATGCCGCCGAGGCCCTAAAAATTCAACCAGGTTAGCCCATCGGCCCCCAGAGAGTTTTGCTCGTCTTTTTTTTTTTTTGAACGGACGGAGCAAAAAAGGACGATAGAGAGGGATAGGTAGATTCAGGCACGGGGACGAGGCAGGGCCTGTTGTCATGGACAAAAGCTAGGAACAAAGAAACGTACCCTCTTGCGATCCGCCCACCAGAACAAATTGGGCAAGCCGGCCCACCAACCCGTGCCCTCACTGTGGACGGCCGAGTCGCGCAGGTGGAGGAAGAAGGTCAATCCCCAGCCTTGCGGGATGTCGTGTGGTTCGGGGTACAGCTCCGGAAGCGGGTTTGACATGTCGAGTTTTGGTGGAGAGATGCCCTGCGTCCGCCAGCACTTAGTCAGTCTTTTCGAGGGCAACCTGGAAAAAATTGCTGGAACCGTTTTTTGGCGTGTGTGTTCCCGCCACGATTGTAGACAAAGCACCAGCAGCACACCACGTGTGGAAGATAATGGGGGCAAAGAACTCACCTGTCTTGCATAGTTTGGCATCTCGGGGATCTAACACGGACAACACACGACGGGTCGTCAGCATCAAATCGTCCCCCTAAACCAACCTGCATGCAGTGTTGTTTCTTTCTTGTCATGGGGAGCCTTGGGATGGGATACTCGACGCACCTGATTCGTAAACATTGTCTCGACCGTCTCCTTCTTCAATATCCTATTGCCGGTGCCCGGATGCACTCCATCGTTCAACAACATGGCAATAATCTGACAATACTGGCTCGGCCTGGCGAAACAGCCCGCTCCACCGGCGTGGAACGTGCCATCAATCTCTTCTTTCGATGTCGCATAGAGCGGCCTCCTGTTCAGATGGCCGTTGGCGTAAATGGAGAGTTTCCCATCGGGGGAACGCGTGTTCATCCACGCAAGCTCGGCTTTCATTTCCTCGCTGGGGAACATGGAGATGTGCGTGATGCCCATGGGCTTGAAGATGTGCTGTTGGAAGTAGTCATTGAGTTTGAGCCCGGAGACGCGTTCCACGAGTTGTCCCGCCCAGTCGATGTTAACTCCATATTCCCACGTTTCACCGGGTTGATTCACCAGTGGTTGAGACAGATAGTCGTGATAAGAACCTGAGAACTCATCCACGCCGAGAGGGCCGGCCCAGTCGTTGACGCGCTGGTCGAAGAACGAGTATCCAAAGCCGGCTCCACGTCGAGACATGTCAGTAGGGGCGGATGGAAGAATCGTGGAAAGACAAGATTTGGTGGGGAGACGCATGAAAGGGCAGGAAAACGAGGGGCGACAGCTTACCCGTGTGAGAAAGGAGCATCCTCAGGGTGATGCCTCGCTTCTTGGGCACCAACTTGCCGTTCTCCCACACTTGCACAGCTTTCAATTCCTGTGGATACGGCGGTCGAACATCAGCGAGGCTCATTGCTAACGCTATCATCCACCCTCCCACAAAACGAGCAACCAAGGGGTCTCTAGAACGTACCGGACACAGCTTTTCCACATGCTCTACATCGTCCAACGCCAACTTCCCTTGCTCAACGAGCTGCATACATGCAACACCCGTGATCATCTTGGTGCAGCTCGCAATCCAGAACACATTGTTCATGGTCATGGGCTGGGACTTTCCATGGCCCACCTTTCCGCTCGCGTGTTCGAATATGATTTCGCCTTGTTTGTTGACGGCAGCAAAGACCACACCCGGGGCGCCATCAGGGTCGGAGGTGAGTGCATCGATTTGGGATTTTAGTTGAGGGACCGCTTCGGCAGCTATTTTGGCCATGTTAGAGCTTGGTGTACCAAAAGGGTCAACTGGGTTGGAGGAGGTCTGGATGACTGAGCAAAAGGAGACACTCTGCTGTCGATTTGCACACACCCAATGACCCCTTCTGGCCGGCTGGGGTCCTGTATATATACCTTCTTCTCCCCGATGCTTTGTAAAGGAGGGGTGAGTGCCATGTCTAGGTATTCAGACCCTCGGCGAGTGACCGGATCCGCATCACCGAATGGTCACAGGCAAGGTCAACATTGGCTTCAAATTCAATACGAAGCAAGGGGACATGACTGGTTGGTTAGTGAACATGGGTTTGGGGCATCATTGGTACGTCCCACCCACGTCGGCAAAGAGGGGGGAAAGGATTCCAAGGAAGCACAACCCCCGCATTTCTCAAGCCTCGACTCCTCTCTCCTCACTCGGAACAAGAGGCGCAAAGCATGTGGCAGTCTTAGTCTCGTCAATCATACACTAGAAGAGCCTGGAGGGGGCAGCTGTTCCCGAGCGAGCGGTGATCGAATCAAGCGGGAGAAAATTGGGGAAGATTGCCAGATGCTGCTTGTAGTTGACTTACTAGTAATTAATAAAAGGCCAGTGCTAGACCCGTTTAGGAAACCCGCTGTCAGCCTCGTCGACTCGTGCCATCAAAGGCTCCCGTCGACCGAATCACAAATTCATGAACATCTTTTTCATGTATAAGACAGGAACAAGTCTAGTACCACACTTGAAGAGGATGGTATAAGGGGGGACAACGTCCTATATTCTTCATGTCCGTTGAAAAAGCATCTCTGTCTTCCGAACGCTTCACGTCGTGGTAATGGTCGTGGCTTGCTTGCTCCCCGTGCCTACCATGAATATGCATGGTCTTGGTCACCAAAACAAGCTTCTCTGCATGAGAAATCATCAGAAATTCATAAACAACACGCGAGGGGCACGGGAATCCCGCGGCCCTGTCCCAAATGCAAATAGCATGAACGCTGGAACGACCATGATGCATCGAGTAGCAGATGGCAAGGTGACGCTCAAATTCACATGACAACACACTCTCTATCCGGTTTCTCACCTCGCATCTTACTCCTTGATATTCGATTGCGGCTCTTTTCGCTTTTATGCGTTCTAGGTGGTTGATGTTGGGGTTGATTTTGGAATTGAAGAGCACTTTGTTTTGGAGCACTTTGCAAACCTGTTTGTGGTCCGTGAGTCTGTACGTCGTGCGTGGCTTGTGTAGTACGCTCAGGGATTTCCGTGACATGGACCTCGGCCACGTTTTCGACCACGTTGTGGTTCTCCTGCGGCAAGACTTCTCGGCTTTTCCTTTTGAACTTGGACAGCGTTCGGCTCAGACTACCACTTTCACTTGTTTTGCTCTGTGTTCGTGATAGCGATTTGGGACGCGGCGTGCTCGATGGATCTCCAGCATTTGGTACAGCTAAGGATGCTCCATTGGTGTATTCCGGCGGCGGTTCCTGGAAGGAAATGACACTCGTTCTCCGGGTTTCCGTCGGCGATCGCCCCCTAGGTTCTTCTAGAGACGTGATCTCAAAACTGGGACGACCAGACGGAGGCTGATTGTCCGTCAGAGCAGACTCACTGGAGATCTCACTGACGGATGCGTTGCGTTCCGAGACCGAGGCCAGTGGCTCCTCTCCTGCCGCTATACTCCCGGGATCTCCCTGAATGGGAAGGATCTGGTAGAAAAGCAGGTATGGAGTTTCTTCTCTGAGAGCTTTCTCAATGTCGACAACCGTGATACGTTGCGGTGCAAGATCGTCGAACCTCATCCACGTCTTGGTTGTTTCTGGGAGTTGTCCATCAGAAGACCATGGTGGAGCAGAGCCTCGCACAAGGGCAATGTAATGCCCGGAGTCGACAGAATTGCCTCGGTGGCAGACGACAGACTGTAGGGAGAGTTTGAAATTGCCGTGCAGGCCCCCGGCGTCTTCCATGCGATCATCCTGAATGAAGTGAGGCACTCCAATCTCGACTGGAATATCCACCTGGGTATCCAGCCGAATTGCTTTGCCGCCCGTGGTGAATGAATATCTCTTCAGGCAAAGACCGAGGACGGGCCGTTTTGATGAGAAATGTGCGGCAACTTGGGCGTCATTCATAGGAGCGTTATCGGTGTACCAGGCTGAAGCATATCAGTTAAAGCCGCATCAGTCATGGGAGCACGACTTACGAATAAGGCTGAAGAATTGCCACGCCGGCATCATAACCTCCTTCCGGACGCTTCCGACGCGCGACATGGGTGCAGACTCCTTTGAGTCAATTGGAGCCAATGATGAATATCCGCTTTCATTCCGAGGGGGGATGTAGCGTTCCTGGATAATGCTGGGTGCGCGAGTACGGTTTCCTCCCGGTCTGGTAGGAGATGCGTAGCTTGGAGAAGGGGAGAGGGGGGTAATCGGTGATTGGTCGCCATCCAACTCGATCGTCTCGACATGCACCGCACTCGCTTTGCGCAATGAATTTATTGTCGACCGTCGTTCCAAGTACCTTCGGACCTCGATTCGATTGTTGAAGTAGTCTTCGAGACATTCCTCGAGAGTAATCACGGACCTGTCGCCCGTGGGGTCCGGAGGGATGGCCACTTCGAGGAGCCTTTCGTTGATGAATTTGTGATCGTCGTTGCTGTCTTCTTTGCCGGTGTGGTAAATGTCCATCTTCAAGGTCATCAAGGGCAGTTCGAGCTTGCCCGTGATGAAAGAAAAGGCTTCTGATGCATCTTGCTGATGCAGCTCTGCAGCTTCCAGCCAACCGCACTCCGCCAAAGTGTCCTGCATCACTTTTGTTATGTCTGTCGTGATCAGCTTCCCGGAGCGCAGAAGGTTAACCCAGAGGCGTAAAAGGAAGGCGAGCTTATTGCGTGCTACATCGTTGAACGAGTTGTAGAGCATGGCTTCAAAGCTGTCGAGCCGAGAGAACATGGAAAACAGCGTCGCATCGAGGAAACACGTCACCCCCTGCCGATTCTGTGCGCCGAGGAGCTTCGTTCTAGGATCAAACGGCGTGACAATACCTTCTGAGGCATCGGACATGGCAAGCAAGAGTCCATATGCGGCATCGACATCTCCCGCCGCAGCAATAGAGCGAAGGGCCCACAGGATTTGGGCATCCCTTAACAGCACCCCTTTGGAATTGAGGATTCGATGGCGCAACGTCTTGATCTAACACAGCCTGTTTAGCAGAGTTGACGCGGAATGAAGCCAGACCATCTTACCTTGGGGTCCTCTGCCAGAGTCGGAGGCGGCACCTGGGCGTCAAACAAGCCGTAAAAATCGGCAGCTGAGTTTGGATCGCTCCCTTTCAGGACAAGTTCGGGGCTGGACTGCGGAGAGATGCCGGTCAGTATGGGTTCTGACAAGGGAAAGAGCCAAGAAATACAGAAGAGGGATCCCTCTCCCGAGCGGGAGTACATAAGGACAAGCAGAAACGTTGCACACTCGCCATGAGTTTTGGCGGTGGTAGGTTGTGCAGGAGAATGAGAAGATCTGCCGGTGGCACATTTGCAGGAGCAGGAACAAGAGAACTCACGGTCGAGAATGGCTTTCTGGCGAGAGGATGAGAATGAGGATGGTGAGGCAAGTGGTGGTGATGGTGTTGGTCACCGTTGGCGCCTCGATTGCGCTTTCCGTCGCGTTTGGACAGGAATCGGTTGATTCCACTGGCCATGGCGACGCCTTGGACTTGCGCTTCGATCAAGCGCAGTGATCAAGCGCAGAGTATTGCTAGACACAGAAGAGGTAGAATGCCGGGGTCATATCGCGGGGGTTTCGATAGATTTGTGGCCGAATTGGGCAATGGGCAGGCGGGCGTTATCTGTCCTTGTGTGTCGGGAGTATTTAATGCAGGTCATGCAGGGTCATTTTTATGTCGGTTTTTATGACAGATGCCTAATGCCTAGGTTCAGTAATGGCTCGATGGGACACTGGCAGCGGCAATATCGCATCTCGGGAGGCACCCAGGAGGGACGGGGACGTCACAGGACGCTGGGAATTGTATCATAAGTGCCTCTTTTCTCTCTGTGCCTGTGCTTGGCCCGAGGGGTTTTGTGGCTAACGAAATCTGAGCTCAGCAGGTCTGGCTGTGGGCTCTGGGTGGGTTTGGTTTGTTGGTTTGTCCACGGTTGACGGTACTTGGGTTTTTCGCCCCGCGGACGCAGGCGAGGCGAGGCGATACGATCCAGAACAAAAGGCGCCTTGGAGGGGGGGGCTTTTGGGGGGGGCCAAGGGCACTCAAGGGCGACTTGCACCCTCATCTCCACCGGGATCGGCTTGTACGAGTAGGGATTAAACCACCATCCTCGGGCCTCAAGTTGTTCCAACCGACCAGCACTACCGGCACCCCCAGCACCTCTTGGGTGCGGTGGTCCTCTGGTGCCTCCCGCCAAGATCGGAGCTTAGTCGCCTGAAAACTTGAACCCTGGCACCCGCCGTCGTCTCCTCGTTTCCTTTGAGACTGCGATTCTCCGAAGCCAATGAGCAGCGAGCCACCTTCCGGCCATACGTACGATCAAAATCACTGACATCGTCCTGATCTTAACGGCGACAACAACCACACCTCCGCGTCCTATTGTCCGCCGCCGCCACCTCCTCCCCGACGACCTTGGGCAGCCCACCATGTCCACCATCACCCGTACCCTCCGCAATCTTTGGCGGATCGGTCTCCGCGACTATGGTCACCAGATGCAGTATATCGTACGTCACGGCCAATGCAGAGACAATATGTTTACGAGGTCTGACTGGGTTTCAGGGTGATACAAAAGCTGGTACCTTGGTTGGAATGGATAGATATGGCAACAAATACTACGAGAACTTGACGGAAGAGCTTCCTCTGCGGACGCGATGGGTGCGAAGCTTTTCGACGGTCGTTGTGTGGTTCAGAGACTAAGAGCTTGCAGGTCGACTACAAGGACAGGGAGCTCGATGCAAGCCAGATCGACCCAGGTTGGCATGCCTGGATGAGCTACTTGGTCGACAAGCCGCCCGTCGAAGACAAGATCATGCAGTTTGGACTGCGGCCGTGGGAGAGCAAAGAGCCTAAGATCAATTTGACCCAGAGCAGAGGAGCTTATCGCCCATATTCTACGTATGCGAAACCTACCATGGGCCACCTCCTGAAGCTGCAATTGACTTGAAAATTTAGGACCAAACCAAAGTACAGCGCATGGGATCCCGTCGCAAAACCCAGGGATGGTTCGACCCCGTTCGCAGGTCGAGACATTCGAGAGTGAGGAGAGCGAGAATCCAGACCAATGAGACTGGCCAATACCATATCATCGAATCACTGTACAGATGCATACATGAGGAGTTTACGGGGTTCCCAAATGAGAAGAAAACCATTATCTATCCTTGTAAGACGGGGTATCTCTGGTCGTGCGCCGCATTAACAACCCTGTTCAACGCCATATCTTCCCTGTTTCATGCTTTTGTCGTGCGCCGGTATATCCTTGCAGGCCCCAGTTCCGCGCGAACTTCATCCAGCTGTTGGAGACCGTACTTCTCATTACCGTTCTTTCCACGTTTGCCTTTGGCCCCTTTTCGTTTCCCACCCCCGGGGTTTGCTTTGTTCCAGTCTCCAAGGAAGCCGTCCATCATGTTGTCGAAATCCTCTCGTACGGCCCCTTCGTCTGCAAAACTGGTGGTGGAGAGCTGCGACATCTTGGACCGACCCGTCATCCCCGAAGCTAACGACATTCCACCATCCATGTCATCGAATTCTTCGCCCTCGTCCAGCGAGTACATCTTTTCCACTTGGTCGAATCGAGCATCGAGCAATTGCTGGCCGGAGGTCCGCGCGAGAGAGGAAGACGTCATGGAGTAGGAGCTGGGGTTTGTCAAAGCTCCCTTGCGCTTCTTCTGCCGCAGAGGAGTGCCGTTCAAGGTATACAAAGTCGGTGCTTTATCCTGGATAGCCGAGGCCGCGATGATCGATTCTGCGGCTTTGGGCGGCGCTTTTCGTGCATTGTCCCGTTTGAATTTGGCAAAATCTCGCAACCAGTCTCCATCTTCTGCTGCAGCTGCCTCTGCATCCGGCGCCGGCAATTCATCCACATGGTGGCCGTCTTCTGTCGCTGGGACGGTTGGCGTGAGTTTCAACTCAGAGGGCTGCCCAGGTGCCTTTTCTGTGACGTCTGATTCCCAACCCTCGTCCTCATCCTCGACATAGTTCGCTTCGAAGTCCTCCAGGTCAAGCTCCCCATTGCGGCCATCTTTCGTGAGGGCAGCAAAGATATCGTCCTCGTCCTTGTCATCTACATAAGCATCATCGTCCAATGCTTCCAACACCTCCCTCAATCTCGGGTCCATATCGGGCTGAAACCCGGCGATCTCATCCGGTACTTCCTGCTGGTTCTGGTACGTTTTCGGCCTCGTCGAAGTCGAGAATGTTGAAAACATATCACTTCCTGCCACACTCTGGCCATCATCGACCGACAATTCTCTCAGTGCATCTTCCAACTTCATTGTCTTGGCTTTGGCTTTGCCCTTGCCCTGAAGTCTGACGGGTACTGACTCAACAAAATGTGCCTCTCCCTCGCCTTCACCAATATCTCGTAAGTGCTGCATGTAGTCATAGCTGGTGTCGTCAAAGTAAATCCCGTACTCTGCGGCCTCGCCCTCATTTTCACGCATGTCCTCGAAGTCCAGATCATTTTCTAAGTCGGTCAAGTGTAGACCTTCCTTGAATTCGGGCTTGTACGAAGACGAAGCGCCACGTCCAGAGACCTGGTAAAGTGCCCGCTCGCCGGCAGCTTCATCATGTAGGGCAGGGTCGGTTTGTGGGCGGTAGAGCAGTTGGAAGGTTTGTGCGTTGTTCTTGTCGCTGTGCTTTCGTCAGTCTCCTCTGTCTACCGCATGAAAGGAGATGGACTCTTACATCCAGCGCTTTCGAGGCATTTTGACCTGCGATCTCAGAGCACGAATTTGGTAAGCGAACGTGGTGTTTGTGACTGTCGGTTTTTGGTGGGGTGGTAGATGGCCTGCGGAAAATTAATTTCTAAGAAATTTTGGCCACAGCCTCTGCACTATAGATGACGTCCCTCTGCGTCCATTCACTTTTCCCTGCAACCACCCTCCAATCCACGAGGTCTCGCGACCTCAACCTCGCTCGCAATATTCCACCCGACCGCTTCCTTCCTACGAGAGAAAGCTCATCACCGCCACGATGGTGCTCCCAAAGAGCAAGAACAGCGTGGGGCTGGGCAACAGCCTCATGAACGACCGTTTCGGACGAGGCAAAGGATCAGACCGGAAGAAAGTGTCTCAGCAGGGAGTCGTTCGGACAGATCACACAACAGGCCAAACCTATGTAACAAATGCTGCAAAGGAGGCATCGTGGGTGAAAATGCGCAGCGTTACCGAACAAGGTGCCCTCGACGAATTTCTTTCCACAGCCGAATTGGCTGGCACAGATTTCACAGCGGAGAAGATGAATAATGTCAAAATCATACACTCGGACCAGAGAAATCCTTATTTATTGAGTGCCGCCGAGGAGAGGGGTGCGAGGAGGAAACACGCGCAAAACAAAGGAAGGTTGACGGTGCCCAGAAGGCCGAAATGGGACGAGACAACGACGCCCCAGCAGTTGGACGAACAGGAGAAAGCCAGTCTGCTGGATTGGAGGCGGGGGCTTGCAGAACTTCAAGAGAACGACGACTTGCTTATGACACCGTTCGAGAGGAATATTGAAGTATGGCGACAACTGTGGCGAGTCATCGAGCGATCCGATCTAGTGGTCCAGATTGTGGATGCCCGGAACCCACTCCTGTTCCGAAGTGAAGACCTGGAGAGATATGTCAAGGAAGTTGACGCGAAGAAAAGGAACTTGTTGCTGGTCAACAAAGCGGACATGATGACCGAAGAGCAGAGAAGAGCGTGGGCAGACTATTTCCAAAACCAAGGCATAAACTACAAGTTTTTCTCGGCTCATCTAGCCAAGGAGATGAACGAGGGAAGAGATGCTCTGGAGGAGCTCGACGCACGGCAGATCCAGCAGCAGATTGATCGCAATCTGCCCGAAAAGACCATGGTGAAGAATGTTCAAGATCTGAACTTGAAAGAGGAAGAGGGAGAAGAATGGACTGACGAAGAGGAAGAGGAAGAGGAAGAGGAAGAGTATGAAGAATCAGAGGATGAAGAATCACAACCCGAAGATGGCGATGTCGGATCACAACCGGAAAATTCAGCCTCCACGCCACCTGACACTCAAATCCTCACTGTCGACGAGCTCGAATCCCTCTTCCTCGAAAACATTCCCAAGGACGCCGCAACAGACAGGAAAACCACAATCGGGTTAGTTGGTTATCCAAACGTCGGAAAGTCCTCCACCATCAACGCTCTTCTGGGCTCGAAAAAAGTGTCCGTCTCTTCCACTCCTGGCAAGACAAAACATTTCCAAACCATCCACCTCTCAGACCGCGTTATCCTCTGCGATTGTCCCGGGTTAGTTTTTCCAAACTTTGCGACCACAAAAGCCGAGTTGGTCTGCAACGGCGTGTTGCCGATCGATCAGTTAAGAGAGTACACGGGCCCGGCCGGCCTGGTCGCGCAACGCATCCCGCAGTCGTTTCTCGAAAACGTCTACGGGATGAAAATTCACACACGACCGGTGGAGGAAGGCGGCACGGGGATCCCTTCTGCGTCAGAAATGCTGAGAGCCTACGCTCGCGCAAGGGGGTTCGCCACAACAGGAGCAGGGAGTCAGCCGGACGAGTCACGCGCAGCTCGATATATTCTGAAGGACTACGTGAATGGGAAGTTGCTGTACTGTCATCCTCCGCCGACGGGCAACCCGGAGACGGACGTGGAGGCCTACGGGAAAGAGTTCAACGAGAAACTGTACGACTTTGCGCACTTGCCCGCCAAAAGACAGGCCTGGCTGATCGCGCATTCTGAGGAGTCCGTTCTCACTGCTGATGGCGAGACCCCGGAAGCGACATCATCAAATCCGTTGTTGTCGTCCTCGTCGCAGCAGCGTGCACCACCTGCCGCTCCCGTGGAGAAGGGCGCCAGGGCGAGACGACTCGACAAAGGCTTCTTCGGCCCCGGGTCCGGAAACGCAGGTCACCTCACCATGCCTTTCAACCACCAGTACACGGAACAGGGGAAGCAGCAGCAGCAGCAGAAGCAACTGACGGGCCGGAAGGCCAAGACGATGGCGGCACTGGAAAAGGACATTGACCCGGCGGAGTTGAGGTTGACCAGTGGCAGCAGCAAGAAGCATTTCAAAGGCGCGCGGAGGAAAGCCAGAGCCGTGAGGGTGGGTGACGAAGATGACTGATTTATTGACTGGACCCGAGCCTTTGATAAATGTTATTTAAATGACGTTTTTAACGTGAAGCCGAGGGACATGGCTTCCCTGCCCGAACCGACGGGTCTCATATGACTTGTATTCCCACAGTGTGTTCGCTTATACCATGTATGAAATACCTCCTGTGAAATACCTCCTGTGAAATACCTCCTGTGAAATATCCCCTGTGACTCCGTACATGGATTGCGTGTTATATTCCCCTGCCGCAAAAGGCCATTTGCCTCGCCTCGCAAAATGGCGTTGTTACAACCGCACGTGTTTTCGACACAGCTCCCTCGAGCTCGATAATTCTCTCCTTCTTACTCATCGCACATCCCGCGTTGTCCAGATCATTAGACGGAGTAAGTAAGAAAGTCCAATTTAACTCTTCCGGTCGATCCCAGGATTGAACCACCGGTCGATCCAGCGCCATTCATCATCTCTCAGCGGATATTATAACGACATAGCTCTGGCGCAGAACAGTTTGATCGGAAAAAACATGCCAACGTGTTCATGATGATATGGGCGCAGCACTCAGGAACTCGTGTGCCGCGCTCGTTTACTTGCGTTGCGGAACTTTTCGCCAAACTATACGCAATGCACAGGTTAGGTCAACTCAACTCAACATAGGTAGCTTTTTGCGGACCGCCGCGAATATATATATATATATATATATATATATATATTGCTTTTGACCGGAATGAAGGGAAGGGGAAAGGCGAGAAATTAATGAACGATACTTACAAAGTAAAAGAGAAAAGGGATCGGGACGTACGCCAGCCCCAGAAAGCCTAGCAAACTGCTCGCCCAATGGATTCCCAGGTTGTGATACATGGCGGGCGCAAACAAGGGGAAAGCCGCGCCGAAGGAGAAGCGCATGAATGCGGAGCCGGCCATGACGGAGGGAATTTCTGTGGGAAATGCGTCGGGGAGATAGGTCAAGACGGCGTTGACGATGATCAAGGCGCCGATGGCGAAGAAGCAGGTTCCGATGATGGGGACGATCCTTTTTCGACCAAAATTAGAATATGAGTTATGTGTCAAACGGAGTGACAGAAGAGAGGAGGGTAGAGAGAACGAGTGGAAAGGGGCCTACCAATGCACATCCTTCTGAGCGCTCCAGCCGAACCAAAAGAGACAGAGGGGTATGGTGGCAGCGGTGACCATGGCTGGAACCAGGCGCTGCTCGGGCTTCATGATGTGGCCCCCTTCATCAAACATCCTTCGTTGCACTCCACGGTCATACCAGATGAACGGTGGAATACAGCAAAGAGCTCCGACAAGAAGTCCCAAAAACGACAATCCCGTTTGGCCCGGGTTGAAACCGTAGATCCCCTCGAACACGAGTGGGAACGACGTGAACCAGATGAACAACAGGCCGAAAATCAAAGCCACCCACGTGTGCAGGAGGAAGACCAGGGGTTCGGTGAATGTGAGGATCCAAGGACGGACAACGGTGAGATATGCCACTTTTCTGACGGTGACGTGTTTGTAGGCGATTTCTCCTTCGCTCATGAGTCTGGGATTGCCCGTCAGACGTCGGAGTCGATGTGCCCGTCGATACAGAATATTCTTTGCGTTGACCTCCGGCAGGAAGAAGAAAAGGATGATTAGAGCAAGGCCGGAGATCCACATCAGCTCCCATATGGTCCATCGCCAGCCTTTCGACTGAGCGGCAAAGCCACCAAGAAGCGGACCAAAGACTGGACCAAAGATCTGATTGTATATTAGTAACCTCAGCTGGAAGACGCCTCAATCAGTACACAGTACGTACAGCTGCAACGCCCCAGATCCCGATAGCCAGTCCTCTCTTCCGCGGTGTGAATATCTCCGCGATGGAGGCGCCGCCGGTGGCAAGGGGAGGCGACCCTAAAACACCTGTGATGAACCGGAAAACAATAAGCATGGGAAGATCGACCGACAAGGCCACGGGGATCTGGAGTAGGACAAAAGCTAGCAGTGTCCAGATGTAAATGGGTGTTCTTCCAATCGCAGGTGCCTCGCTGAGAGGTGCTAGAGTCATCGGACCTGAGCACTCCGTTAGTATGGAGTAGACCAGCGCTGCCGACTCACGGCGCAAGCCGAATCAAAAGAGGCATTACCTAGTCCGAAGCCGAGCACAAAGACTGTCAGTGGAAGTGTTGCAGGGATCTCGCCAATCCCGAAATCCTTCATGACATCCACAATGCCAGCGGTATAGACGGATGATCCCACATAGACTGCAAAGGTCAAGTAGCACAACTCAAAAGTGATTGCGCATTTGGTGGAGGTTGACCAATTGAGAGGATTCTGCGTGGATGATCAACAGTTCGTATTCGGTGTCAGGTTGCGGCCATCGAACTAAGTATCTCACCTCTGGATCGTCCGATCCATACCAGGTCACAATATTCGGGTCTCGACCTTTCTCAGCCAGCTCTCCATCGCCTGGGTTGAGAGTGCTTGCATTCGAAGCGGGTCTTTCAGGGGACGTCTTTTCCACCGGAGCAGGCGAGACCGCGGTAAATTGTTCTATGAGAGCAGGGTTCTTAGTCTCCTCGTGCGGCAACAACTTCCCCTTGGACAAGTGCCGCAGTAAGCGACCAAAAAAAGAGTCGTGGATAAGCTGTGACATGGCGTCTGAGTGTCGAAGTCACGATCAACCTCTTGAAAACAGCATGTTGGACAGCTCTGGATGAAGGCTGGCGCCGGCATATATATTGTGGCCGCCAAAGCCCGTGCCATCGTCATAACTTGCACTTACAACCTTGGCCGTCGATGTTATGGGGACACCCGCACCCACAGATCATCGAGAATCGCGATGAACAATACACATTGCCATGGACGCAGCAGTCAATGTCCCGCACTGTCTCTGACACGCGGCCGTCATGATGTCAGGATTCCGACGGTCATGAGCTTTATCACTGGTTCGTTGTTGCATCGGGCCATGCTGTCGCCCAGCCTCGTTCCTTCGGTCGCCGAAGGCGATAGATTGGAGATCTTTGGAGGAAACGGGCAGGTGGGAAGTATATTCTGGTTTCCACTTGAGCTAGGATGCTCCTGGTCTAAGGCGCTCGGCTGCCGTGGAGAGAGGCCTGGTTATAGCTCCATTTGTATCCTGAAAGGATAACTGAATCATTAATGTGGTAGGAGGGTAAGGAGGAGATCGTCGGTGCCGTCGGCGCAAGGCTGAGGGGAACCATGGACTGACGTCTTTGGGTCTTTGAGTTTCAGCCTCGCCAGCCCCGCCAGCCTCGCCAGGTTCCCGTTTCTCTTAAAAGGTTTCAAGGTCTAACTCGGTCCTCCGTATTTAGCACTCCTCATTCACAGGTTTCAAGCTTCCACTGGGACACTACGGTTTCTGAGCTCTCAAGCAATGCTAGCATTATGTCCCGTCACACCGCATTTACCTTATCACCTGCTTCAGAGAACCTGTCAGCGAATCAAGCGGACATCAATGCTCACCCGTGTCAGCACCGGCGTCCTTCGCCCTCGGCAGCCAAGCCAGGACAGGACAGCCACTTTCCGAAACTCACGCAATGCCGAGTACCTCATACGGGACATTCTAATCGATCAGGCTGAGTCTAGCTGGCACGGTTGGTGTTAATATTAGACTCTTAGTCAGCACGATATCGATCCCGACGACACGGTGCCTGGGCCGCCTGAATGTTCAGCTTGGGGAAGGAACACATTCCGACGTTGTGACAGTCGTGCTTCTTGAGAAACCTCCTATCACAGACCACAGATTTCCTTCTCGCGTGCCATTTTTCCTTTGTTTGCGCAGATCTGTTGGTGTTATCCTGACTAACTTACTGCGATCTATTGTTCAAAGCAGCCCATCTAACCCTCGCAGACCATCCCTCACTCCTGCGCGCTGCGTGGCTCGACCAACCTCTCGCAGACCTTGTTCGCCATGTCCAGAACCCCCCGCATCAATCCAAACGTGAAGCGCGCAAAGACCGAAGAATGGTTTCCCAAATCCCCTGATGGCGCATACACCGGCGAGAAAGTGCCTTTCCATCCTCGGCGTCGGAGTTCCCTGTCACCACCCGTCCTCGTCCTGTTAGTGTTGCTGGTGCTTGCGGTCGGAGCCTTGGTTTGGAAGCATGAGCAGGCAGTGTCTATCGCGGCAGAGAACTACCAGAAATATACGGGTCAAGATCTGAAAGATACAGACTTTTACAAGGTCATAGAGAAGGCGCAGAAAATGAAGTGGAAAAGATCGGAGCTGTGACGGCCTCGTCCTGAAGCAGCGGAAATGTATTTGGGAGATGTGCCCAGTGTTGAGAATGTCAGACCGCGCGAGTTGTGAAAAGGGGAGCACCGAGGCTGCACCAAGGGCATTGGGAAATTGTTGGCCAGCCTCCCTTGTCCGGGGATCCCCCGCACTCTGGAAGGGAAGTCTTTATAAATTGGGGGTCCTTGTCAGTCTACGAACATTTGCGGCGATTGAATCTGGCGTGCTAAGTCTCCAGGGATTTGCGGGATCTGAGCTAAGGAGTACATGGAGGAGACGGATGTCATTCCACGCTTCACGATTCTAGTATCCTGTTACTGCGGGCTTGGATTTGTTGCGGACTCTCACTGTGCCCCAAAAGCAATTGACCTTTGTTCGTCGCAATCAAATGAATCTCGGCAGGAAATCCAAGGTGTCCCTTTCCCTTAAATCTCTGCTTGACTTCCCCCACCGTCGAGGACTTTCAGACCATGCAACATATCTTTCCAGCACGCAACTCCGGAAAAACGACAAGTTCACCCCGTTACGCAAACGAGCGAGAAGCGTTTGCACGTGGGCTGTGTGTACCTCTGCATCTTTTCCCACCCAATATCCACCGTCTTTGCGATGTTGCTTTATTACCTCCAGATCGACAAGAGGGCTTTAACGCCACTGCACTGGGAATAGCTAACGGTATATAGAAGCAAATCGAAATTGTCTCGGAAATGGGAACGATAAGAGTCTGCAATGTAGGTTCTAGTAAAATGGCTATGATTAAATGCTTTCCTCGAGAAAGTCGAGGCCTACGCGTATGAGGTATTACTCGTGCTGTAAGAATCCTTTCTTTCTTTGGAGGGAGGAGGAGGCCCACAAAACGTACAAGGCTGCGGGGTTTCAGGAGGTTTGTCGTCTTGACCCTCCCCCATCCTCCATGAGAGCGAAAGCCGGGTGACAAATACATTTTATCTGATCTGTACGACCGCCACAATACTTTTGCAGTGAAGCCCGTGCACGGAAATGAAAGCTATGTCCTGTTTGTGGAGGTTCACAATGGATATGTAGAGCTGTGGCAGTTAGTGCCGGAGGGAAGAGCAGTGAATAAAGGGGGAGGAGAGGGCGGGATGGGCGATAGGGATAAAAGAGACGGGGAAGATCCACAGAACGGACTTGCGCAAGTGCTAATAGATTGGAAGGGGGGATCGCAAGACATATCAAGAAAGGGATCTGTATGTAGATATGTGATGGTGGAGGCACAAGTGATTTATTTCCTCGGCCCGCAAAGCGCTACACCCGAGGATAATTATATGTACAGCGTCCCGCGAGGTACCCACTATTGCTATTGATTCTCGCAGAGGATAGAATGCGCGGGATAATGCGGTCCTCGACAACACGGGCAAGAATCTGCGAGGCAAAACAAGATTCTTTTGCATATCGGGACTTTTGAGGATAAGGGGGGAATAAGACTCTTGTCATTGCGCTCCTTGACAGAACCCTACCATCAAAGGCTTTAAAAAGACGGCAGAAACAAACACGATGCCATACGAATATGACCCCGAATACCACAAGGCCATCGAGCCAATGTTGCCCGCCATGGCTGCGGCACCAAAACACCCGCCTTACGACGTCGCCTCGCGTCGAAACGGGATCGACGGCATGTGGGAGGGACTGATGCAGAGGTGGCCCGTGGTCGAGGACGTCGAGGAGACCATCTTCAAGGTTCCATCCTTTGACGGCGTCGAGATCAACGTGCACCGCTTCGCAAAGAAAGGCGGCACATCGCCACCATCTACAACAACCAGCAGGGGCTCGCCGGCTGTCGTGTACACCCACGGCGGAGGCTTCTTCTGCCTCAGCGTGCCCTTGTACCGGAAGATGATCCAGAGCTACGTGACGCAGGGCGGCATCCCGTTCTTCGCGGTCGAGTACCGTTCGCCGCCCGAGTTCCCCTTCCCCGCGCCCATCGAGGACTGCTACGCGGCGCTCAAGTGGGTTCACTCCAACGGCGCGGGCGCGGACCTAGGCGTCGACCCTGCTCGGATAGCCATCATGGGCGACTCCGCGGGCGGGGGACTAGCCGCCGGGGTGGCCATCATGGCTCGAGACAGGAACCTCAACCCGCCTCTGGCCAAGCAGGTGCTCGTCAATGGCATGCTCGACGACCGGAACAAGGCGCGCTACGAAAGCGCCAAGGACTTGCACACCTGGACGCCCGACGATAACCTCACGGGCTGGGCCGCGTACCTGGGTCGAGAGAAGGCCGGCAAGCCCGACGCCGACGTCTCGCCCTGGGCCGCCCCGTCACGAGTTGCGTCCGTAGCAGGTTTACCGCCAGTGTACATCGACGTACCGGACCTGGACATCTTCCGGGATGAGAACATCAAGTACGCGGCACGCCATGCCGAGGCTGGTATTCCGCTTGAAATGCATATCTATCCCGGTCTGCCACACAGTTTTGAGTCGTTTGCACCCAAGATATCGACAGCGAAGTCGGCGGTGGCGAATCGGGTGAAATTTATCCACAAGCTTTAAGAATCAAGATGAAAAAAGAGTTTTCTTGAAATTGTACCACATCCTCTTTGCCGGGTGCTTGTCGAGGCACGAGGAAAAGGAGAGGCCGCAGCGCCAAAGAAAATTCGAGATATTTTAGACTACAAGCGCAATCGAGCTTTTCCTCCTCTTCCTCCACCACTCCCCCTCGATCTCGGCTACATATCACACGGAGGGACAAGGAGGAAAAATGACAAAGCTAGATGTGGTTGGTTGCAGGAGAAAAAGAACAGTTATTTGTACGGTTGACAGGGGACTGTTCCATATGGAGCAATCCCTGTCGAACTGTTCCGTTTGCAAAAGAATTATTCTCCAACATATTACATACATACATACCTAGGTACCTTATCTTGGTATGTATCCGCCGAGCTGCTGCTTGACTGTTGCCGAGGGACTCCAGAACCCTGCTAGCAGACCTGCTAGCAGGATTTAGAGAGATGGAGGTCGTAATGATGAGAAGAGGTACCAACCGATTTGAACAATTTTTGGAGGGTATGAGGCCCAGGCGGCGGGCGACGAGGAAGTGATGTTCCTTCCAGCAGGAGCGACTACTAGGTACTCCTAATGAGGATAAGGATACCACATAATACCGAGTAGAGGGCGCGCTATCACAAGTTGCAGCCCAGCGATACCGTCATTCCGCCTGTCGATGCCATCACGCGCTAGATAGGGCATACTCGAGCGACGACTACTACGAGCACCTGCATGAGCGAGCATGAGTAAGTAACCCCACGGCTGCCAGGCTGCATTCAAGAAACGAGCCTACCTAGGTAAGCACACAAGAGCCGGAGTCCCCACCGGTTTGGTGACTGACAAGTAAGTATTGTATTGTAATGCTGTGGTATACCCCGTACCTAGGTACCTAGTAGGTAGGCGCAGCGGTAGATGGTAAAGAAGAGAGTGTCTGACTGCCATGGCCTAACTCCGGGAACGTCATACAGTACGCTCCTCGAGCACAGCCACAGTGATCTTGTCCTTTTGCCCCTACATTCGAGCTAAGCAACCCTGGTTTCAAGAAACGAGCTAAGCACCTAATCGCAGAGGGAAAGCGTCCAGGATAAAACCTACAGACCAGTTTCCCTACAAACTTCGAGGTAGAGCCTTTCAAATATCCTGAGCAAACTATAAGCCAGATGGACGAAGAAGCATACACCAGAGGTATTCACAACCCGAGGCCACCATGCGCCAGTTATTATGCTCGGGAATGGCCCACTAGAGGAACACGAGATACAGGTCGATTTCTATATGTGAGCTTTATCCAGGAGCCTTTACTTCTCGCCGATTCACAAGTTGACCGCGGCGACAGGAACCGATATACACTCCGACTCGGTACGGCAACCACCCCCAGCCCATCTTACAGCAGGGAGATGCGTCTCTCCTGAGCACGATCCTCGTCTTTTGGGCCCTATTCATTGTGGGCCCTTTGTTTGGTATCCTTTTCCTCCCCCGCAAGGTCGAAAGGCTGTGCTGCATATGCTTGGTCACCATGTTCTTTGCTCTGTTCCTGCACAAATGGGTGAAATGGCCCTTTGAACGTGTTCTCGTGTGCACCATTGGGTAGGTCCGAATCCAGTCCAGCGTGAAACATCCTGCTTACTCAAGGTTCCGCCAGATACATACCGATACTTTTGGTAGTTCTGTGAGTTTAGGGGGAACTTGAAGCGAAAACTGGTTGCGTGTCAAAGGACGGCACGGATCCGAGCTATTTGTTCTTTTCTTCACAGGCGCGTGGGTGGGAATGCACCCGTCTTGAGAAACTGTGGCGCATGGCGCTTATTTGCCTCGAGAGGCCACGAAGCAACCAGTCCGGAATTGATTGACATCAAGGCGGAGAGAACTGACTGTATTATGTCTTTTGCGCTATGACGACTCAAAAATGCACCTAGCTTTCTGGCAATTGCCACTTCAGGTGTTTGGGAGGAGGTGTAGCATCCTCGACGAGGAGGATAGGAGGTTTTGTTTGTATGCCGCTAGACGAGGTACCACGAAGCACATTATCGATGGAGTCGTCCACAAAACCTGTGCCAGGCTCTGAGTCACTGGACATCTCTGCCCCAGCCAGCACCGGAGGGCTCGTGCTAGGTCGTTCTATCAGACTGGGGTCGAACTGGGGATCTCCGAGCTGGTTGCTGTCCTCTTTGTCGTCGCCGTCCGATGAAGGATCCCCGAAACTAACAGGAGTCGGGGGCGAGTATAAATCAGCTGAACTCATTGTGTTGTCGGCCGAATCCTCCGAAGGGAAACGGCGATGGCCTTTTAAAATGCCTAGACGCCGTCGTGCTGCGCCCGCGGAGTTAGATCTTGAGACTGGAGAGTTTTGCGAGGGTGTGTCAGGACTGGCGGCATTCATAAATCGCGTACTCGGAGATCTGGACAAGACACTCTGTACCAGCGGCAGCTCAAGATAGCTGTTCAGATTACCCTTGGAAAACAGCACCAATCCAAGACAGATCAAGATGAGGATCAACTGCAGAAAGGACATTCGCTTTTGAAAGATGACTTCGTCGGCAAGAACACCGAGCCGAGCATTGATGGCAATATTTTCCTTTTGGTAGCGCTCGCGCTGCATCTCAAGCTCGATAACTGTCGACTGCCATAATTGATCGTACTGTTGGCGGAACTCTCTGAGCTCGTTGAGAACCGTGGTGTTTAGATGTTCGAGGAAGGAGGTCGTTTTGGCAAGCTGTCTCTGTTCCACCTTGTGGAATGCATCTCGAAGTGCACGAGATTGATCCTCTATGTACTGAAGAGACAGGGAAGAATTCGATTCAAGCATTTGCAGGCGCTTCTGAACCGACTTGAAAAAGGATTCTTGCATCGTTGGAGCTGGGTGAGAGGACTGCGTCGAGGACACGGACGCTTTCGAACTGTTGCTGGTAGGTGGGGAAGATGAAGCATTAGCAGCTGTCGACTCGACAATGGGATCAGATTTGGACGTTGTGGTTGAGCCGTCTGTCGACGTCGCTGTGACGTTGCTTGGCCTCAAAGAACTGGAAACCAGTACATCGGTACTGAGTCTTGTAGCTTCTGTATCAGACGAATGGGTGGCATTCTGTTGGTCAAGACTATGGGAAGTTGTACCGGCACCGTCTTCCGTTGTCTTGCACGTTCCGAGCGCGTGGTTATGGTTTTCCAGGTCATTGAGCATTCGAGAAGAAAGAGCAGGCGAGGTTGAAACGGGAGCTTGACTACCTTCAACCATGGGATATTGAGTGTGATTTAGGAGAGGCTCTTGCACGCCGGGTAGATCAGATGCAGTTGCTGGATCAGCAGTGTGGACAGGCTCTTCAACAGCATCGGTCTCAGTCAAAAGCCGCTCGGCCACGGCTTCTGGTACGAGTCCATCCTCTTCTGCATTCTCGGCGCTTTCCTGCTCGGGTTTCCCTTCATCCTCCAGTTGGACTGATTCAAGATCGTGCTTGTACTCTTCCAGCATTGTCGTCCCATGAACTCTGACAAGACTGACGGGGCAGTAGAACTCGTTCCCATAATGCGTGAGGAACTCGATGCGCAGATATCGTGCCCAAATGACCGGATTCTCAACCAAAAACGCTTGAACTTCGCGGGTGTTCCGAGCTTCAAAAGTGCCTAGTGTCTTCCACTTGTCGACTTTGACTGGGTACTTGTCAGATACGCTTACTCGGAAGGTATGGAAAGTCGAGCTGAAGAACTCAAAGTTTGCCAGCACGACAGTGTCGATTGATATATCGTCGCACAATTCCAGGATCAAAAATTTGTTTTGAGCGGAGCACTCGTTTAGCATATAAGAGTCCTTGTTATTTCCAAGTACGGCCGAGGCGCTTCTAGCTTCAGGGTTGGTCTTCAGAACGTTGGCCGCACAATCAAAAGAGGCATAATTGAATCGTTCTTTACATGTTGTGCCTGCATCTTTGCTCCTCACGCCGGCTTTCGGAGCCCGCCCCAGTTCAATCTCGACGGAGCTGTCGCGGATCTCCTGAGGCACTGTGGGGGGAACCTGGTTTGGAGGGTCGAGGGTATCGGATACGAAGCCGGAGAAGTCCAAATCTATTTCAGCGTCGTCTCCCAAAGAATCTAGGGAATCTCGAAGAGACGCTGCTCGTTTCCTCGGCTCTCTACCTTCGATTCCAGGTCCCTTGCCAATATGTTCCGATTGACCCGACTTTTTGAGATTTTCTCGCTTCCAGTCTTCGAAAGAGAGGAACCTCCCCTCCTCGAGAGGAGACTCTTCCTCCGACCCATCGTTGCCTGTACCTGGAGGAGCAACATCCACTTCAGTCTGGGAAGAACTTGAAGCCGACTGCTCTTCCCAAGTATGCACAGGTTGGGCCGAAGCGTCAGTCGTGGATTGTGAATGAACAGTAGACAGAACCGATGGGGAGGGAGTCGCGTGAGAATGGTCAATTGCGGAAGACGTAGGAAATGCCAGATCTACGCTGGGAGAGGCGGTGGCGTCGACAGTCGTGGACGTGAGGTTGGTTTTCCGAGTGGATGCGAGACATTGTTGAGGGAGACTGTGGGTAATGTAGTTAACTGTGCGGAAAGGGCATGTGGAAGGTGTTAATGTCGTCGTGGAAGGACTCGATGTACCCGCAACGAGAGTGATGAAGAGGAACAAAACCGGCTCCGGAAATCGCATTTTCAGCGGTTGTCCATTGGAGATGTCGAGTTGAGACGCTGATCTCGAAGAGATCTTCTGTCACAGAGCATGACAATCTCGTCTCTTCACCAGCCACGAGGACACCGCTTCGACAACTGTTCCAGTGACAAAGAGGAAATCTCTCTGGTGTCCACTCGCAAATGCGTCGAGGGTGCCAAGGGGACCACGAGACCCATTTAGATCAGGCACTGATGCCGCTTTATTTCTTTGGCGTCGTCTACTGGGTATTTATAGGTCTCTGTGAGGATCCTACTAAAGCAGCATGATCAGATCCTCTTCACATGCCAAGCAATGACATCGTTGGAGCTTGCGAGATCGTCGCAAAGAAATATCGAGCACGCAGTCGAGCACGCGTGAAAGACCAGCCATCGACCAGTCAAGACGGATCTCTGGGAAGCGCCAGATGGAGAGGTCTCAGCTACGCGCAAGGTGACCGTCGTGTGCATATATCCCTTCGGTCGGACATGTTCGCCCGGAATTGTGGATTGCATGCCCTACGCAGCTGCGGTCGGACGGCCAGACCTTACGTCCATCGAGCCCCCACGACGAAGCTCGTCTCCCGACGCTTTTCCTCGTCTTCCTCGTCGTCTGCGTTCAGCAATGGTCCTGCTCCAACGACACATCCTCTCGCGGGGGTTGCCACACAGCTTGATCATGTCGCACCCCGGTTCGAGATTGACCCGGACAATATTCAGATCCTCGATTCTCCAACCGCTTTCTACGACACCCTGAAGGTAGACACATACTGCGCCTGTGGGAAAGCGGCCGGCTAAGGTGTGCTGCAGGCCAAGATAAAAGGAGCAAAGCGACGGATATACCTGTCTACATTGTACATTGGCAAGACCGAGCACGAGCTCATCGAGACCCTCAAGGAAGCGTTGGAGAACAACCCGAACCTCGAGGTCTCAATCCTCACTGATGCACTTCGAGGCACTCGGGAGGACCCCAATCCGTCATGTGCTACCCTCCTTGCACCGTTGATCGTCCAATTTGGCGACCGGGTGCGGATCTCCATGTTCCACACTCCAAATCTGAATGGGTGGAAGAAGAAGTACATGCCCAAGCGGATAAACGAAGGATGGGGCCTTCAACACATGAAACTCTACGGCTTTGACGATGAAATAATGCTCTCAGGGTATGGTGACTCTCCACTACCGTTCTTGCCATTGTCCTAACCCAGCTAGCGCCAATCTATCCAATGACTACTTCACCAACCGCCTAGACCGTTACCACGTTTTCTCTTCCAAAGAGCTCACAGATTTCTACGGCGCTGTTCACGAAGCTGTCTGCGATCTATCGTATAACCTCGTTCCTTCAGAGGAGCTTCCCGGCGGCTTCGAGCTGCTTAGCCCCCATGAGCGAGGGTACCCTGATCCCTTGTGGCATACAAAGAAATTCAAGGCATACGCAAAAGAAATCCTTGAGCCATTAATCCACAAGAAAGCTAGACAAAAAATGTTTCCGCTCGAGTTCACACAGCAAAAGACATTCGTCTACCCTCTGGCTCAGTTCGATGTCCTCCTTGGCGCCCCCAAAAACATGGCCCTGCTCGACTATGAGTTTGCACAGTACACTTCCACAGAGAAGCCTGCAATCACCAAACTGCTCACCAACCTCGCCGAGGATGAGAGACTGCACAAGTCAACGTGGACATTCACTGCTGGATACTTCAATATCGACCCAGACATCTGCACACTGCTCATAGCTGCCGCCCCAGAAGGGTCGTCTGCAGTGCAGAAGCCAGGCATCAAAGCTTTTGAAAAGGCGTGCACGGTGATCACCGCATCGCCGTGGGCCAACGGCTTCTACGGCAGCCCCGGAGTGAGCGGTATGCTACCCGCAGCGTATACCCTCCTCTCTCGACGTTTCCTGCGAACCGTGTATAATGCTGGCAAAGAAGACGTAATCCAGCTTAAGGAGTGGAGAAAAGGCACAGTTGGCGAGCCCGGTGGAATGACCTACCACGCCAAAGGGCTATGGGTCACTCTCCCACCTCAATTGGACGCTGATGGACAAGCCGTTGATGAACCGGGACCGAGCATCACGGTGGTAGGGAGCAGCAACTACACCAAAAGGAGCTATAGTCTCGACCTAGAAATCGGGGCGATGATCCTCACCGGCGACGAAGGGCTCAAACAAAGACTGAAAGAAGAGACGGAGAATCTACAGAAAGACGCGACGGTCGCAACGCAGGACGATCTCGCGAGAATCGATCGGAGGGTAGGCTTGAAGGTGCGGCTGGCCCTTTGGCTCGTCGAGGCCCTGGGCGGGGCTTTATGAACGGCCACTTACTACAGAGGGAGAGTCTCGTCAAAGAACGGAAACAAGGAGCAGAGTTTCTTGGATCGCTCGCAAAATTCTATGCGGTACTGTCAAAGACTCCCAAAACATTCTGGTGTCTCAGTCAACCTACGCCAACTACACGAGACCAGCGCCTTTTACGGACCCTTTTGACGTGACGACAAGCCGACGAGCACCGTAACGCTTCTCCTCTCTTCTGCATCTCCCCTTGGGGGAGCTGAGCATGCTTCCCCTACCCACCTCTTCGCATCTCACTCGCCCACGGTCCTCTACCTTTCTATCGTCCTTGGACGCAGAAGATTCCTTGGGAAAGAAGGACTGAAATGTTCCCCCTTTGTACAGTATTTGTTCTCTCTTTTGCACAGAACAGGCGCACCATTGAGATGAGCATCTGGATAGAACGAAACCCAAGCTGATAGCTATCAATGGGCTAAGAAGAGCTCATGTAAAAGGAGAGGCCTATATGTATACTGTAAATAAAATGTGATATCATAATATGATCTCAGATACCGTGAAAGCAAGGGATTCAAGAAACACTTTGGTTTCGCTCAGAAAGGGGGGGGGTTTGAAAAGCTTTGAAAACGAGTGATCTAAATGGCGTCCTGCGTAAATGCATCAAGATGTCAGTGGTTACCTAGGCATGCAACAGGCGGAAAGCAGAGCGGTAAACGTTTTCTCTAGACTTCTAGCACGCTCGCTCCTTTTGGATGCTGAATAGCTCTCACTCGACGAACAAAAAGATTTTCCAGGACTCTTCTTCGGACGGGAAGCAGAGGTATCCCAAGGTCGATAGCCATAGTAAGAGCAATTAGACGTTTTGTGCTCTGAGAGAACTGCTCACCGCAATTCTTTAATCCACGACTCGCGTTGTGGTAGGAGGATTGCCTCAGATCATTGAGGTGGAATCTATTCCCGCCGAGTCTTCCAGCAAACTGGACATCTGCACAATGCGAAAATTGTCCCAGTTGCGGGACTACCGGTTGAGAAAAGGGTGGACATACAAGCCCAAATAGCTGAGATGCAGTCGACCCTTTCGTTTAACAGTGGTCAGCTCGTACCAACTCTTCGCATGTCCACGTTGTTGATAACGAAGGGGTTCCGGGATCCCTCCTTCGCAAGGTGACATAGAATCGCAGGACGCAACATGAAAGTCACCCGTTCTCCCATTTGTGAATTGACACGATATCCCGGGTGTCTCTCACCGTAGAAAATGCAAACCCCCGACCTGCAGCCCCTTGGTATGTGAAATCCATCAGTCGGTCACATGTGAACTTGGGAACGGAGCATTGGAAATATCATGGACCAAACAAGTAAAAGATCAACACACCGTCAACGCATATCGACATGTGCAAACAGCCCCCGAGGACAATTTTTTTTTGTTTTTCTTTTTTTTGTTGAAATGTTTGACTGTGCGATGCGGTCACCGTGCTCCTCCAATCAGCACACAAACTTGTATGCAATCGAGATCTGCATCTTCCAGCCACCTTGACATCGTTCATGCACACTGCAGCACCAACGCAAAACTTTCTGACTTTCGGCAATGAGAAAGGAATAGGCCAGCGAATCTTGCAGGTGGAAGAAATTGAAAGATAGCGGTGTATATACCGCCATCTTCGAGCAGAAAAGCGCTAGAACACGGATGGTGTATGGGAACAGCCGCCCGGTGGGTTCGCTTAAGACCTCACCAGGCTAAGCTCCCCAACTTCTGGACTAGGGTTGGGAAGATCTCGAAAACCTACCGGAAAATGATCTGAGTGGAAGGACTTCTAGCCTGGGCTTCTGCACCTTGCGACTGTCAATGCAATGCGGTGGCACGAATGCGAAGTCAACTCGGAAGGCGTGGAAACGTTCAAGACGTGGACTCTTTGTTGTTGTCCAAAAGAGCGGCAGAGATGGTAACAAACTTAGTCGCTCTGACGAACTTGCAGAGTATTGCACTTCTGTACGAGGTACGTAGGTAGCAAGCCATGTTATACGTACCTAGGTAGGGCCGGACCATGGCACAAGTGGTGTCGAACGCGGACTCTATTTCGGATGACAACTGAGGAAAGGATTCGAGGGTCAATGCCTGTCACCACCTGGAGGAATATGGGTGCCCAGCAGCGTGAGAACTCGAGATGCTACTCGTTCCATCAAACGGGGCAACCTCATCAAAAACGTGTCAATCATTACTCCGAAGGGAGGCTTGTGTAGCCCAATTCTTCGTGAGGTGCCACGGTAATAATGAGGGGTGTTAGAGCAGACGCTTTGCTCTGTGGATCTACTCTGAACGCGAACCTCGCAGCCAAAGATTGCAGGTCGAAAATCGAGATCGACGCCCCAGTGGAGTGATGTTGCCCGGGAGGGGGACAGTCGCTAGAATTGCGAGTGTTGCTTCGGCCCGACGCTGGCCAATGCAGAGCGTTCAATAGTCTGACAGACCAATAATGGAACCTACAAAGCTTCGGCGGCTGGATTGAACTAGTGCAGGGCGACGACAAGCACAACGGTATTGGCAACAGCCATGGCATTGTTGCAGGCCGGCCGATAACTGGATGGTCGTGGCCCTTTGCCAGTGGGTGGCGACTCTACGAGTGCCTTTTTTCTCCGCTGGTGCCAATGAGGTCTGGATGACTTGGGCCTTTTTTCCGAGGCGCCAGCATCCAAACGGGCCTGGAGCCCTTTGTCGGCGGCCCAAAATCGAAGCGGAGGAAGAATGGAGAAACCCTCCTGCTGGGCTTATGCAGGCTTCTGCATCTCAGGTGCCCGCTGGCTGCATTAGACTGCCCCGACACAAGCACTGTAACAGCCCCAGAGTGCCACTGAAAAAGCCCAGCGAAGGAGATTGAAATTGCACTGCCTTTTCACCGACTTTTGGGCAAAATAGCCAGTGTCGAATAGCAGTCTGATCTGTCTTTTGTTGGTCAATGATCAAGATACGGCGACATGTCTGTCTGTGTAATTTACAGCACGGTCGATTGTGCATCCAGGATGAATGCTCGCTGTCTGTCGAGACACTGGGGTCTTCTTGTCTTGTGGATACCTTGGATATCAGGACGACGTCTGGCTGAAACATCAGCAAGGCGTCTCAATGGCATTGCCGAAACCTCGAGTGTCAGTGCTTCGATGATCTTGGGATTATCCGAGATGACCGTCCGAGTTCTCAAACCCAGCATCTGCCAATAGTTGCTTATCATTTCACGTGGTCATCCCCTGTTTTCTTTGGGATACCATTGGATCTATGTTTCGTAAGCCTAATGTCGCTTGGAGCAAGACTGCCGATCAGATAAACATGCCACTGCCGTTGACAGGTTTTTGGCAGCTCCTATTCCGGGATCGGATTTGCTGGAGAGAGCTGCTCAGAACTTGAATGCTTGGAAACCCTTGGAAGTTGGTCGAAGCACAGGGAGACACCTCGACACCTCCTTGCTCGAATCCTTCTTGGGGGGCCGTCTGGTGGGCCTTTGCGATGCGAAGAGGTGTCAATCACATGACCTCAGCTCCCCGAGTGTGGCTGCAAAGACAGTACGGAATACGAAGCACCTCGCCCCTCAGTGCTTCTTTGTACGACGAAGGACATCATGGAGAACGACTACACGGACCGCGCAGACAAGTTGTGAACGGCATCTTGGTTGTCTTTGCAAACTCAGGGATCAAGATCCGTCGTTCATGACCAGCGACAAACCTGTAACATTGGTCCAGGATTCCAAGTTTTTGCGGGGTAAGCTTCCTGGGAGGCCGGTGCCGTACCACCATCCAAGGTCACTTGGGCTTTGAATGGGACCTGCCCGGGAACTCGTAAGGTTGACTCAGCCAGAAGGGCATCGAGCAACACCCATCAGGAATTAAATGAGAGATTTTCATCCCCTTCCCCTTAGGTATACATCCAGGCCCATTGATAAGCTGTCCTTGACGTGTCAGCTCTTGCAATCAATGCAGGGCTCCTGACAATCGGATGGACGGTTAGGACGAGGCCCTATCACAAAGGAAATAACCACGGGATTCGGGAGCAGTGTTGTATGTACCCGGATATGGCATCCAGGATTGGGTTCCGCAGAGTCGAGTTATGAACGCAAAATGCATTCTGCATGACAAAAGGGGATGGGAAGGCTTCGGGAGCTCGTGCTCCCTCTGGACCGGAGATTCGTAATGAGGTACTCCATACTGTGTTCATTGTACTGGTAAAGTGTCCTCTTTTGTTTCGCCTTTGGCCTTGTGGTCATCATCCACCGGGGACCCGGGGTGGTTGCGTGTTCGTTACCGAGCGGCGGCGTCATTTTCTTGTCAAGGCTCATGATGGCTGTGGCGTGACTATTGGTCGGAGGAGACAAAGCTATGAGCGAAAGCGGGTAGGGAGGTGGTTCGAAAAGGGAGCTCTTTGTCTGGCTGCACCTGATCTGAGCAAAGCCGGGAAGGGTCTGGGGCCTGCCACTGGGCTTGGAGGGCTTGGAGGGCGTCAAGGATGGGAGGGATTGTCTGAGCGTGTGAGACAAAAAAAGAGAGCGAAGTGGGTGGCGGCATTGCTTCGTCAAGCCTCGAAACCTTCAAGCGTAGAGCTGAGCACGAGGACAGGCAGAGAAAGCCAGCGACAGTCCAGCGAGGGCCAGAAGAAAACCGGGTCATGCGCTAGCAGGAAATTGCGAGGTGTTGCTGGTGCAGGAGGCGCCAGTGCCAAAGTGGACTAGCCCCTGCAGCTGCCTGCCAACCGTGGGCCACCCTCGCCGGCGCAGGCACAATGGCAGGCTCCCCACCAACCTGAGCATGATTCGTCCCTCGCTGGCCCTGCAGTTGCCGGCCGGTTCCATTGACTTCGCTCGCCCAGTAGCAGCCTGGGTGGCAGTGGCCAAGGGCCAGCGTCATTTGTTGGGGCAGGCACTGGTGGCAGTGGTGGGTTGTTTTCGCCGTTGCCCGTAGCTCGTAGCCTGTAGCCCTCTGCCGCCTGTTTTCGGTGCTAGGCTGTGAGGGCGCTCCGTCAGAGTGGTGTGCCCACTGCTCGGCTGGCCCCAGAATTGCTAGAATGCACCATTCCCAGGCACCGGACAAGGCCAAGCTGTAAGAGCCACCCGTCACCGCCAACTCGACCGCCGCAGTTGTCTCTCTGCTTCATAACCTTCCCTCAGCCATCTTCGTCTCACTTGTTTACCTCTGCCCCTACCACTCGACCTTCCAGATCGACCGCTCTGCAATGTGAAATCAAAAGCCCTCACGAGTGTTCGTTCTTCTCTCCCAGTCACCTACGACTTAACACCTGGCCGTGTCTCTCCTTCTCACCTTCTCGTCTCGACGACGTTCCTTCTCCTCGCCCGGCATTCCTCGCTGTCGCCCGGCGACCTCCCACCCCCGCTGAGTCCTCGACTCCCCACCACGCCCAGCATTGAGCTCGAACCACTCCATCACAACTGTACCTATAATCCTGCTATACCATTGAGCTGTTCCTCGATCTGCCTGGGATATCAGGGCTATTTGAGCATCCAATCTGTCGAGTCTCCCCTTCCCTTTCGGATTCGGCTTAGTTGGTGAATCATTGTTGCGGCTGTCAACTGGGTCAAAGTCAGGTCAAGTCACGCTCAGCCCACACCACAATAAACTTCAGACAAAGGGGTGAAGCTCTTTGCTTCGACTCAAGATTGCACCATCCGAATTCATTCTCCATATCATCTTCCTGTCCGGTCACAGCATCCTCCCTGGCGACAAACCCTGTGGCTGCCTGTCGACAGGCATCCTGAGCTCGACAAGTTGTGACACAGCTACACGTTACAACCGCCTTGGATCAGCTCCACCGACACACAACACTCCCTCTCTCTCTTTAATCTCTTCTACTTCTTCGACTATCCTCAGTTCCTCCTCTACTTGTTCACTTGCATTCTTTGGCTCTTGTGCCGGAACCAGTCCTACAATCCTTTCGACCATGACACAATAAAGTGACGCTCTTTACGCCTCTGCTCGTTCGACTGCACAACGAGCCCAGCAGGCTCTGAGTCAGCGATCAGCTTTTCCTTTTGTTTTACGACACGACCTATACCACCTCTATGAGCCTCTGACCTTACACGAACGACAAGGAGTTCCGCGGTGTCCTTCTCGACTGGGCGTTTTCTACACATGATAAGTGAAGGTGGTTGAAGAATTGAAGCTACAAGGCGGATCTATGCTTGGTGTCGGGGTTCCAGTTCCTATACTCGACGTTTCCTCCTCCTGAGCGTATCTGCTCCTACTCTCTACGTCTGCATTGCAATTCCGTCCCTGTCTATATTGTTGTACAAAGTCCTCCTGGATCACATTACTCGTCGCTGTTCAGCCAACAAAAGTTCCTGTCACTTCATTCCCAAAAGGATAGACTGCTGCTCGAAGCATCAGAGATATATCTGCTCACCTTACCTGACATCACCAATACAACGATGGAGTGCATGAAAGATGACTTTCACAAGGATCAGCTTCTAGATCACCGCTTCAGAACCATCGCTCCCCTCAATCATGGTTCCTTTGGCATGGTCTTCCTGGCCGAGGACACCTTGACGGGGCAAAATGTGGCCATCAAATGTTTGACCAAGCCTTCTGTTGCCGCCAAGTCCGCACAGGTCCCAACCACGGATGAAGGTACAGAAGAGCTTGCGTGCCATGCGATTCTGAAGCACCACGACCACCTGGTGAACCTTGTTCATCACTTTGAGACCGACGCTCACACTTACCTGGTCCTGGAATACTGCTCTCAAGGTGACCTGTATGAGGCGATCCGCCTCAATCGTGGTCCTCTCCAGACCGAGCATGTGCGACGTTTTATGCTGCAGCTGATCGGAGCCGTGCAACACATGCATGCTAACGGCCTCTTTCACCGAGACATCAAGCCAGAGAACATCTTCCTGACCCAAGATGGTTCGGTCAAACTTGGGGATTTCGGCTTGGCTACCAAGAGTCTCTGGTCTTACGAGGCTTGCGTTGGAAGCGACCGGTACATGGCTCCAGAACAGTACGATCCTGCTGCCACGGGCTACTCGCCGGCCAAGGCAGACATCTGGTCCATCGGCATCTGCTTGCTCAATGTTCTTTTTGCCAGGAATCCGTTTGTTACACCTACGGAATCGGACGTTCTCTTTGCCGACTATCGTCGAGACCGTCAGTCTCTGTTCGACATCTTCCCCAGCATGTCGCAGGATACCTTTGAGATCTTATCTGTGGCCATGGCTTTGGATCCTGCCAAACGGGACCTGGGAGCTGTAAAGCAAGCTGTTCTCCGTGCTATTGCCTTTACCACTGAGGACGAATCCTTCGACGACTTTTTCTGTTCCGAGGAGCGTGATGTTGTTCGGGCCAGTGCCAATCGCGAGCCATTGCGGACCCCGTCAATTCAAAGCCCCCAGATGGATGGCGATTCCTTCCCTTGGGCCAAGGCGCTGCATACCAGTCCTCTCAAGCAGCAGCTGGACTCTATTCCCGACCTGTACGAGGAAGATCTCTTCGACTCGGACAAGAGCCTCAGGCTCGGGGAGTCCTGGTACTCTGGCCATGGCACTACGCCTTCTCTGACATCGATCTTCGATTCTGCCTACGGATCCTTCAAATCCATGACCCTCAGGAGGTCCGCTGCCCGCAATCCCCCTCAGCCAGACCCTGTGCCTATTCCCAACTCGTTGCCAACTCGTGTCTCCCGGCCTATTCCCACCATGTCGTCCGTCTTTGGTAAGAAGCAAGATGACACGGTGGCCAAGAGTTGGAGTGATATGTTCGAGGAAGATGAGGAGGAGTCGGAACGTGAGGCTGAGCTGAAGTCACGACGTGAGCAGAATTCGCGGAGCTGGAGTCAGGATAGTCAAAAGCGTCTCCCGGTGCCTCCGGGGGTGCTCACTGAGTCCAAGAGTCGCTCCTCGAGCAATGCGCGTCGCAGCCGCACACCCAAACCCATTTCGCCGATCAAGACGAGCCACGGAACGAACGAGAACGACCCCTTTGGATGGCGTGCACGAACCCCTCGACATTCGCCCAAACAGATTCCTGTGGACAAGTGGGCGGCGTTGGGCGACAAGAGACGAAATTACCAAGCGGAGTCAGACCCGCAGACTTGGACTTTCAAGAAACGATCGATGACGACGGGCTCACGCAGGAAGCCCACGACTGGATTAGGACATGATTCCCACCACCATCAACATCCGTGGCATCGCCGCGACAGCCGACCTAAGGCTCGTCCGGCATACCTGGATCAAGATTGGCGGCAACAACGGGTGACGGATTCATCCTCGACAGATGAGGACGAACTTGAGTGGGTTGGAGGTTGGCACAACTTCCATTTGTAATTCTTTGAGCATCACCTTCTTGTCAGCTTATTCGAACTTTGTGTGAACCGGGGCGAGTTACAATCCCAGCAGGGGGACGAATCTTGTGTTTCTGTTTGGATGGTCAGGTGAAGACCACATTGCCATGCGTTTGAGAAAAGGAAAAGAAGAAAAATACTCCCACCACCCTCGCTTTTGTCTTGATTGGAACCTTGACACTGATGACTTTGCAAACATGGGCTTGTTTATCAACGAGGTGTCATAGGAGTGTACCAACAGCAATCAGAAACCAAAAATACCCGGACAAAGGCATTAGGGGCGGCGGCGGCTACGAGTATGTCTTTTGAGTGTTTATTTATCCGTGAGGATTCACCACATGAACCTCGGCAAGGAAAGCATTATAGGATATGGAAAGAAAAGCTTGGTGGGTGTGGTGTTGCTGTTGACGGCGAGGGAAACGGTTCACTATTCAGGTTTGAAGCACGGCATTCGAGGTGTCGCGACGGGCGCGGGTGTGCTCTTTGAATTGCATCAATTCTCCTGGACTCGCGGGGAGTTTTTTTGACTTTGTTGGCTTGCAAGAGAAGGAGCTGGAGCTGAAGGTGAGGATCAGAGCTTGTCGAGCGAGAAGTAGCTAGATTGATACTTTGGCCTAGACTGGCATCCTCGAGAATGGAGAATTTCAACCCTCTCACTACTAGTATTTGGTGTTTTTGTCTTCACTTGCTTAGAGTCGGTAATCCCCCCTTGGGCAGCAGTGGGTGGCAGTGGGTGCCCGGGGTGCCCTTGGCCTCGCTCCCAGAAATGGAAATCAGCCGCTGAAGCCGGTCTGTGGGCTTCTGCTTGGCTCTGCTGGCTCTCGGCTGGTGGATGAGTTGGGACTCTGGGAGAATCCATGGCCGAGGCACAAGGTGGCCGTCTCCCGCCTCCCGCAGTCTCCAACTCCAACTTGCCCCAGATTCAGACTCACAGCCGAACAAGCGTGACAAGCTGCAAAGGTAACTGCGTCCTCCGCGTCTCCCATGGAGCATTTCCCTCCCTTCTCTCACTTTGCCCAGTAGCCGAGGGTCTGGCAATTGTACATACACTACATATTGACCGCCTACTGCCATCATCCCCAGTCCTTACCGTCTACCATCTCTACTCCTTCCCCACTGCACACCGAGGACACCACCCGCTTCATCCAAAATGACCGCCTCAGAGAACATCCCGCCTCTTGCCCTCCCCTTTGTGTCGGAGCGGGCGAAGAAGCTGTTGGACTTGGTACCATTGCCCTGCGCTCTCCATATCCCGTTGATCACTCTCTAATCCCCCTGCAGGTCGAGAAATTCGTCGACGAAGAATGTATCCCCGCCGATGTCGTCTACTCGTCACAAATCGGCGTGGGTGAGGCCCGCTGGCATGGCCATCCTTCCGTACTCGATGACCTGAAGAAGAAGGCCCGTGCGTTGGGCATCTGGAACATGTTCCTGCCCAAGAACCATTTCAAGGACGGGCCTCAGTTCACCAACGTCGAGTATGGGCTTATGGCCGAGCAGTTGGGCAAGAGCATTACAGCAAGTGAGGTGTGTTTTTCTCCCTCTTCCTCTACTCGGGGAATGGACAACCTTCTAGATCTTCCCTTCTGACGGATGGCTCCTCCATTTAGGCATGCAACTGCGCCGCTCCCGACACCGGCAACATGGAAGTCATCGCCCGCTATGGCTCCCCGGCACAGAAGGAGAGATGGCTGAAGCCTCTTCTCGCTGGCGAGATCCGCTCAGGCTTTCTCATGACGGAACCAGATATCGCCTCCTCGGACGGCAGCAACATCAAGCTCCGCATCGAGCGTAAGGGTGACCATTACCTCCTCAACGGATCAAAATGGTGGTCGTCAGGCGCCGGTGATGACCGCTGCAAGATCTTTATTGTCATGGGCAAATCCGACCCTAACAACCCAGACAAGTATAAACAGCAGAGTATGCTGCTGGTGCCGGCCGACACTCCGGGAATCAAAGTCCACCGCATGCTCTCGGTGTTTGGATACGACGACGCCCCTCACGGCCATGGTCACATCACATTCGACAATGTGAAGGTGCCCCTTGACGCGCTCATTTTGGGCGAGGGCAGAGGCAACGAGATCATGCAAGGCCGCCTGGGACCAGGCCGAATCCACCACGCCATGAGAGCAGTCGGCGCCGCTGAAAAGGCCCTCGAGTGGCTGATCAACCGCCTCAACGACGACAGGAAGATCCCCTTCGGAAAGCCTCTCCGCGAGCATGGCGTGCTGTTGGAATGGGTCGCCAAAGCAAGGATCGAGATCGACGCCTCGAGACTGGTCGTGTTGAACGCTGCCGTCAAGATCGATCAAAGGGACGCCAAGTTCGCACTCAAGGAGATCGCCGAGGCGAAGGTCAAGGTGCCCCAAATGGCGCTGGAGGTCATTGATCGAGCAATCCAGGTGCATGGCGCTATGGGCGTATGCCAGGATACACCACTGGCTCACATGTGGGCACATTTGAGGACGTTGAGAATCGCCGACGGACCCGATGAGGGTGAGTTACTCTGCTCTCCAAATTGCAATACAGCCCCGTCCTTGACGTAGTTTTGCTTTGCACCTTTGCTAACTCTTCTTACTCCCAGCTCATCTCAACCAACTCGGCCGTCGCGAGAACAAGACGCGCAAAGACGAGATCCGGGCCCGCCTCGCACGCCAACAGGCCAAGACTGAGGAGATCTTCCGATCCAAGGGCCTGGACCGCAACGAGCTCGGCTCTGCCAAGTTCAAGGCGAAGCTATAAACGAATGAACGTTCATTCTCTTATTTTCCTTTCCTTTTGTGAGCGACGCGATTAGGTGGGCTGGTGAGCGAGAATACTATGTGTGTGTGTCTCTCTCTCTATATCTACGCTCGACCCGGAAGATGCCACAAGAATACCAAAAAAGGGGGGAAGAATTAAAACAAAGCTAGCTATGCAAGCCACCCGGCATCAATAATGAGTCTGGGGTGTTGTCCGAGTTTGTCTGCGAGACTCGACTGCGCCGCGGGTGAGGACCACGTAGATAGCCAGGTAAACAAACCCATTTGGAGTTATTCCTCATTGAAGGAACACGAGAATAGAGATTGCAGAAAAATGAGAGAATAAATTCTTTACAAGTCATATCAGACAGGACAGATACCTAGGTAAGCTGGGGGAGCAGAGGGCGAGTAACATCACGTACCAGGTATCCGGGAGACGGATGATGATTAGGTACCGATGCTGCTGGTGCCAACCTTGCCTCCCTTTCCCGTGTATGTATACGATCGAAAGAAAGTGGGTGATATATAGATATATACTATATATATATTCTCGATCGACTTGTCAAGGCCCATCCACTTTACATACCTTAGAGAGATAGATAGATAGATAGATAGATAGATCGATGAGTAAAAGTAGGGTAGATATCAATGACATTGTGATATTTATTTGTCGTTTGAACCAGTCTCTGCTCTGTACTATCCAGCATTCATTACCCCCGACTCACTCACTCACTCACTCGCTCATCCACTGGCAGGGAGGGAGGGAAGAGACAGAGAGAGACACACACACAGAGAGAGAGAGAGTTGAGGCACTTTTTGAAAGATCCGCACGGTCCACCCAGAGCGGCTTTCCTCTTTTCTCCCTTCCAGTTTCTCAACACGCCATTTGAAAGTGTCGAGAGGATATGAATCCATTCATTCAGTCACTATCACTCAAAACCAGCGCATCGTCCACACTGCCGCCGGGGGCACTACTGGCCGCGCGACTGAGCTGGGGATTCGTCATGGGAGTTTCGGCTTCGGCGTCGTCAAATGATTCGTCCTGTCGCGTCCCATGAAGATATCCTGGATAACTGTATTGCCTGTCTTCTTCTTCCCCGTCATCGTCCTCCTCAAGATCGTCGTTGTCTTCGTCGTTGTGGTCCTCTTCCTCCTCTATATCTTCTTCCTCGTCCTCGTATTCTCTCTCTCCCCCTCGACTTGCTTGCCCGAGGTAGTATCCGTTTTCTTCCTCCTCGTCCTCCTCCAACTCCTCTTCATCTTCATCGTCTTCATAAGTTCCGTTGCGTATATCCTGGCGAGGATCTGGTTCAGAAGAAGATCCCTCTGCTTCTTCGTACAGCTCGTCCTGTTGATGTCCGTCTCCTTCGGTATCGTCATCTGCTTCTTCTTGGTCGTCAGGCGGGGTCGACTGGAGCAGATCGAAAGAATTGCTGCCTTGATTTCTGGCGATACGGTTCGGCCTCGAATGCTGGATCATCGGCTTAGACGGTGCAGCTCGAGGGCGTTTGGAAGCAGGTAGATTTCCGGAGTTTCGCTTCGTCACTTTCTCGTTAGACACTGGGTTCATATCGTCGTGCGACCGTTTTCTTCCAGGGCTCGAAACATTTGACCCTGTAGAATAATCCCGTGCAGTTTTCTTCGACATTGCAACAGGCACATACTGCGAGCTCGGTCGCAGAGGCTTTGTGGCTAACCCGTGGGCACCAGTCTCTCGGATACGCCTCTCGGTGCGCGACAGACTTGAACCAGGTTTGTTCGCTCCCGGTAGGAAGTCATAACCGTTGACTCGACGCAAGCCACTTGCCGAACTAGGGCTACCGTGGTCACGACTGCTTTGGCTTCTTCGGAACTCTTCGTCTAGCTCGATCTCCTTCTCGAGTGAGACAGATTGCTGTTTGAACCATTCGATCTGTTCTACCATTGCTTCACGCGCCTCTCTGATTTGCTTGAGGAAATCATCTTCAACCGGAGGAAGAATGGGAGTCTGGTGCGCTGTTGGTTTTGCACCCGGCGTCCGAGAGTCAGCCACCACGGGTGGCAGCGATGGGGCAGGGGAGCTTTGATCAGAAGAGAGAGAAGTTCTCGTGCGTCGGTTTGCCCTCTTTAGGCTTGCTTGTCTCTCTTCAGCTTCTTTTTGTCGTCGAATCGCAAGCGACTGCTGAGTGTCGGGAACGAACGGCGTCTCAGGGTCGACGCCCATAGCTTTAAGCCTGAAATAGTCCGTGCGGGTGGTATCGAGTTTCTGAGCAGATGTTGATTGTCTGAGGGTAGATGTCCCCGAAAAGATGGAGACATGTTGACGCGGCCTTGAGGTGGATGCGCCAAAACTAGGCACGGGCGGTCTCTGGCTCATTGCAGAGGCTGAAGGATCAGAAGAAACACTCATCGTCTTCGACCTCTTATGCGCAGGAACCGAGGATGTCCCATTCGCTGTTGAGTTTGCACCGGAGAAGCTTTTGCGCTTTCGTCCAGCAACGTTGCAGGCTTCTACTTTGTTTTGCATGGCAGTCGGGGCTTTCGCTGCTTCAACCGCCTGTTGGACCTCTCTTTGGAGACGTTTTGTTTCCGTTGTCGCCCTCAGGATCTCCTCAAGTTCCTCCTCCGTTCGTTGTTTTCTTGCTTGTTCAGCTCTGATGGTCTCCGCAAATAGCTGGCGTCTGGTTTTCGCCCGTCGGTTCAAGGCGCTGGTCCAAGCGCGTGTCCGCCAGAGATACCCAAACTTGCGCGCGAGGATACGTTCACGAACAGAAGCTACTCAGCATGGTCAGCGGTGTCTCTCTGGACGAAGAATAAATTGACTAACCAATAGATGCATCACGCGCTTCTAGTTGATGTTGATTGAATGCGGTTGTCACAAGATCACGTAGTGTGAAGTCGAGGTAGCTGTTGAGCAACCCTTTCTGCTGTGTGAATGCAATTCTGGCGACATTCGCTGCAAGCTTGTTCCGGTCTACTTCGGTGAAGACAGGCTTGGCTGGAGGTTGGCGGGGAGAATGTGGAGGAGTGGTGCTGCGACGAGGATACTCTGTCGGGGTTGGACTCGGGGTGACTGTTATTTTGTCAGGTTGCTGGCTTGGGTGCTTATTCTTAGCGGTCGTGGTTGAAGTTGTCGCAGTAGGGAAACTGAACTTTTCCAAAGAAGGCTTCGACACAGACTCAATGGCTGATGATGATTGGGTCCGCGAAGAGCCAGCGGTGGTTGGGTTGAAGAAGGGACTCGGGATCGGCTCTACGGACGAGACTGCTGGAGTTGTGATCGATGGTGCGCGCCTCTCCAGCTCTGACGTTGCCTGGGCGGCCTCTGGTTGAGCTGTAGGCTTTTCGGTCGATGTGAAAAGTGATGGGGGCGTTGTACCTCCTGAAGTCTGCCCAAATATTGCAGAAGTAGAGGAAGACGATGGTGCGAGGGAGGCGAATTGAGAAGGTGTTGACGATGGAGCCGTCGCTGGGGGGTTCACTGTCCAGAAACAAAGAATGAGCAACGACTTAAAGAGTGCCAAGACAAAAGTGAGGTTTCGTTACCTTGTTTCGCCTGTGACGCCGCAGAAATTTTCGGTTGTGGCGCTGGTGGTTGGCCAAAGATGGGCGCAAGAGGAGTTACCGATGAGGTCGTAGACGTCGAAGGGGCGGGAGTTGGATTGCCAGAGTTGATCGTAGACGCAAACGCAGGCCTGGCAAGCTCGTTATCTTGAGACGTAGTAGATGCTTCCCGAAGGTCAGAAGTGGACCCGCCCCAGCTGAAGGGCTTGCTTTCTTTCTGTGCTGGCGCAGGCAGCCCGAACGTTGGGGTAGATGGTGTTGCTAATGGTGTGAAGCCAGCAAAGCCGACAGTGGATGTTTGCTGTGGTTGAGCAAGAGTCGACTTGGCAAAGGTGCCAGTCGAATCGGTCAATGTCGATGGCTCGAAGGATCCAAAGCCAGCATTTGTCAATGGCTTACCAAACGGTGACTCGATTGTGGGCTTGACAGAAGCAGCAGCATTGAAAGAGCCAGAAGAGCCAAATCCAGAAAACACCGTTGGCTTCGTCAAGCTCGACGAGGGCGTGCTTTGGCCAAATGGCGTAAAGGGAGCAGCTTGCGGATTGAGTGAAGGGCCAAAGACTGAGGAACCTGCAGAGGTGGTTGGTTTCGTCTCCGGAACGAACATGCTTTGGTCATCATCTCTGGTATCATCCGCAGGTCCACGAGCATCCTCATCTTCAGGCTCAACCCAGCCCTGACGGATTGCTTCTGCGACGGTTGCACCGTTGATGACGGCGGTCAGTGTTCGACGGTACCGCTTCCTCTCCACATATGTGTGCGAAAAAACCTGGCGTCGCGGGATCGAGGACGCTACACAGACATCAGTACTCGCTGAGGAGAAATGGCGGGAAGGTGGGAGGACGCACGATCGAGTGATGGAGCACTGTTCGCCGTCGCGTCCAGATACTCCTCGCCGCTATCATCATCCGTGGCATAGTAGAGATCGAAAGCGGCACAGAAATCCTTGGTGTCATCGTTGGAGTCGAAACCAAGGAAATTTGTTACTTCGCTCAGTGTCCAATCTCTAGACTTTGCTTGTTGAGCCTGAGGCCCTTTCTTGCATGAGCGCCACAATGCATCCAAGGCGGCAAAACGGACTTCGGCAAAATATATCTCAGCGAGGCATGCCATGATGTAGGGCACCGCATCAGAGGCCAAGAGACTCCAAAAGCTTCCCGTTTTCCCCTGAGCGACGGCGAAAGGCTCCCACGGCTGAAGAGGCCCTTGGCCGAGTAAGGAGTTTCCTGCCGCCCGGTACAGCTTGAGGGCCGTCTGAACTCTCTTGTCTCTGAGAAGACTCCTGGGCCATGATTGCATGCGGTCTTCCAAGTCCGGTCTTTCAGGGGCCTGGATTTCAAAGATCACGAGATAAGCGCGAAACTCTCCTTCGTTAGGGAAGTCAAGACGGTCTCGATGATCATCGTAATAGTAGACCAGAGATAAGAGAGTGTTGTTCAGCTGTTCTCTCTCTTGGTAGGTGTCAAAGTTCTCTCCTTCCAGCAGATTGTCCGGATTTGACAGCTGGTGCAACGACAGTATATGGAATCTTGCTATTCGCTCGAAACAGTCAACCGCGAGCTTAACGTCCTGGACATTGGAGACTTGTTGGATGGAGAAGTCGTTGCGGATCCCTCGCGTTCGATCCCAGACAAATTTGTGGACCGTTGCCAATCGTTCACCACCACCAATCACTTTGTCGAGGAGGTAGTCCAGCGTCCGTTTCAGAGTCTCGGGGGTTCGAATATCGGAAGGCAGCTGCTCGTCGTACCCAGCAGCAGATCGGCGAAATCGCTTAACCATGCGGTCTTCTGCAGGCATGTCCTTGCCGGTTTCTTCGTTCCGTACCTACCCATACCTTCAGCATACTGGCGCATGGGCGAATAAACAAAATATTCACCTTCTCTGCCTTGTCAACCATGTTCTGCACTATTCGTTCCACTCTCTCGAATTCCGGGCACATCTCCGTGCATGTTCCGACTGGGGTGATGGCTTTATCCAGGCTGGTCTTCTTCTCCGGATCGGCCAGAAATCCATCGCGAATCGCTCTGGTCCTTTCCTCTTCCCGGCTTTGCTTTAGCTATATGGAGGTCTCGTATGTCAGAAACCTATAGATGTAGTCATGGTCAGCGAAACATGATTGGACTGCAACGCACCGTTTGGAATTTGTTATGCGCCAAGTTCATAAAATCCCGGTGTGAGGCAGGTGCCGGAGAAGCTGCTCGAGAGCCAGGTTTCGACGTCTGGGATTTGGGTGTGTTGAATGTCTGCGACAGGTTCGCAAATCCACGACCACGTCCTCGAGAGCCGGCCGGAAAGGGCGCAGCGTTTCCGGCACCACCACCGCGTCCTGACGCAGGTCAGTATTGCCTTCTTTTGTCACATAGCCGGTGGCTACGACGGGGCTCACCTCTTCCTGACACAGAGGGCCCATTGCCTTCTCCTCTTTTGACAGTTCCCGCACGCAGTCGTTGCAAAAGCCCTTCCCCATTGGTATTTGAAGCACCCGCGTTTGTGCCTGCGCCTGCGCCTGCGCCTCTGCCTCGTCCTCGCACAGTGGTAGATCCGCGAGTGCTACCGCGCCCTCGGATCGTCTGCAACGGAGTGCCTCGTCCACCTCTGGTCGAGCTGCCACCGCGTTGCCCGCGGGTGGACGGCGGCGCAGACATGGACGCAAGAATGATCGATCAACATCGGAGGATTGTCATGTTACCGCAGGAGGAGACGGAGGGGATGGAGGCGAGGAGTCCTCGGTAGAGGGAGGACGAAGCTCGAGATGACTATGGCTCTCAAATCCACCTTGGAAGGGTCGAAGAGACTATCGAACTGGAAAAATGAAATACACAATGTGCAGGCGGTAGGGATGGCTAGCAAGCGCGCTGGTTTCGTCGCCTTCTAGTTGTCGTTGTCTCGCTGTCGCGGAGGCGTGAAAAGCTAATGCAACAACCTGGAAAACCTGCACAGATGACAGCGCGCCCACCGCGAACAGTGAAATCCCAGACGCCTCGGAAGGCGACCGTTGGGCAAGCCTCGCCTATTGGCTGCCCTTGGCGGATGCCTCGTTAGCCTCAAGGTCCCCCAATCCCCCAATAACCCATGCCTAGCGAGGTCCATCTTCTCCCCTTCGGCCCCTGGCTAGCGGGCTGCGTCCTCCGATCGAACAGTCACCTATGTCGACTCCTCTGCCAGGCCGCCACACTCAATATCGACAACAACCCACATTCCAAACTCCAAACCCAAGCTACTCCGGGAATTGGTACTCCAAGTCAGGTTCATCATCTAGATCTTCACGTTATATGCATTCATTTGACATGGTTAGATGCCCAATATCTTGACTCGTATCTCATCTACATTGACCCGAGAAAGGTCCCCCGGCAAATGCTCGCATTCATTATGAGAACGCCACGCAATCTGTTCGATGGACTCGACCAAAATCAAAGCAAAGCACGTCAAGACCGCAAAACAGTCGCAACTGAGATAGCCCGAAAACCCATGCCCAAAATGCTGCCCGATCAAGAATCGCTTGTGACTTTCGCCTGGCACTACCGAGGCGATGCCCTTGACGAGCCGACTTATTACCCCATCCCAAACTTTTGCTGTGACTTCGCTCCAAACCCAGAGCTGCTATGCTTCTTCCATTGTGAGAAAATGCAGAAAGTGAAGCCACAAATACAACCGGAAAAACAATGCAAACCGAAACGAAGACAATCGTCAGCCAATAAAGCGTGCAAAGGCTCAAAATGAAATTCGTGCGTGTTGTGTTGAGAACAGCGGTCAAGAGTATTTTCGGCAAAGCAAGCCATCATGGGGTTCGTTGAGATATGAGGACCGACGATTCTGCTCGCCACACGGTCCGTCGTGATAAGACAAATTGACCACTAGATTTCGAGGCCTGACCTTGAAAGTCATCACCAATGTTCGAGCTTGTAGCACCGCTCACTCAACATCTCCATGTTGATGTCTGGGGTCGGTATCATTGCGGCTTGCTGGGGTTGGGCAAGCCGGAGCGGCAGAGAATGCCGCGTGTTGTCCCCAAAGTCGTGGTAAAGCATTGGGCTCACCGCGGTGGGAGCCAGTCCGCTTTGGATACCATTGGCCAGTTCGAGCGTCTCTTGAGCAAAATATCCGTGTCTCAAGCTGACAGGTTGTGGCGCCAAAGTAGTAGGAATGCCAAACATCTCGGGAGGCGGGTCAGGTCCCATGTCCGGCAACATCCCTGACCAGGTTGGAGTATGAAGGTTTGTAGTGAGATGACCGCTATGCGCAGGAGCATGCATCATTGCGTTAGGCCCGGCATGGCTCTCAAAATTGCGTACGAACATGTTGGAGGGTATCTGGTGAATTCCGACCAGCGGTAGCATGACGCCATCGGTAAGCGTTGTTCCATTCTCCATGCCCATTTTCACCCCGGGAGAAAAGTCCTGTCCTGTCCGCGGCGCAATAACCGATACCACTCGAGAGCTGTTGAAGCTCGGTCGAGGTTTGCGGGGGGCGTAACGACGAGTGCTGGCTTCCTTGGGCCCAGAGCTCCTGGATTTGTTGACGATGAGCCGCGCGTCCATAGCAGACTGATCAGCGGGAGAGGTCTGTGTTGAAGTGCCTGGCGTTGCTTCATGCTCTTCACTTGCCTCTATGGAGCCGTCGCTGAATGTCCCAGGCGCAGAGCCGTCCCGTCCAGGCAAGTCATCATCAGAGTCGATCGCGGACAATTTTGAACTGGCGGCGTCACCATAATCACAAACAAAGACCAGCGTATCGCCATCTGTCGATGTCAGTGCTCCGAGCATGCTTCGACGAGACTTCTTGGGGCTCACCAATCTCCCGAGCCTCATACTGCTCTTGTTTCTCTCTCGCGTTCACAATCTGCTGAATGATATCCCAACGGTCTTCTCGCAGTTCGCCTCTTTTCGTCTGCAGAGATTCTAGCAGGTCTCGGGCCCTTACAAAACGCTGGTTCTCTTCATTCGGCGGAGGGTTTGTAATGATTAGCTGGGGAGTGTGTGTTATCAAATGGACGAGCAGCCGGGTTCTGTCTGTGGACGGTCAGCGTCAAAAATCTCCTACGATTTTGCGCCAAGCTTACCATCGCGACCAATATGATCGGGCTCTCGGTGAATGACATCTAGAAGAAAACAACAGATGTTAGACCACGTCATGATGCAAGCCTATACCACAAGGCCCGTCGTGTCCAAGAGAGCCGGATGACGTACCATCTGGCCAGTATGGAGGCCTTGTCCGATTCGGATCGGGAGGCTCGCCACGGGGCATTTGGCCATTGTAAGGATGCGTCGATTGCTGGAATCCTCAGTTATTCTTCGTTCAACACATGCCTCAGGGTAGCCATCGAACCTTCTTGGGATGGATTTCCTTGATCCAGACCTTGGCCACAAGACGACAGGCCACCTGTTGCAGTACCAAGAAGGCCTGTCTGTACCACTGGGTGAGCTTCTCGTGGTCGTCCACCCGAATTTGAGCTGCAGGAGCATCCCAGAGCCTCGCTCCACCGCCCTTGTGCTGGGGCCTTGATCTTGATATATTCCTTGTGCTGAGGGTGGTTTTGGATCTCTGCCGCTTCAGAGAACGTTGCACAGGCCAGGTAATTGCGCCACCCGAAGTTCCTGCATCTGCGGCTGATTGTAGCTTCGAGATTTTGGCCTGTGGGTGATTGGCGCCATAGTGATAACCTGCTCCAGTCAGAACTGTATTGACCGGTGATGAGATCACCTACCAGGAACTCCGGGGCTGCGCATAGAGAGATATTGAGCAAAGGTATCATGAGCCTCACCAATGATCTCCCATTGTTCCTTTTCGAGGTTGGGGGAAACTAGAATCTCAGGAACACCATTGGGACCAGGAACCAGACCGATGAAATCTTCACAATCTTCAACGAGCTTCTTGATTTCATTCTGCCAGGAACGTCAACTCGATTCGTCTTCTTTGTCGATTGCGGACAGCATGGCTCACTATGATGTATTGTTGCTTAGCTTCTTTTGTCAGACTGGATATTTCCGCGCCAAATGCTTTTGAATCTTCCTGAGGAGTGGTTGAGAACTTTTGGACGGGAGACTGAGGTGAGGACTTGAAGTTCAGTTCGGGTGTCATTTTCAACGTAAGGCTCAATCCACATTGCAGGTTGCTTGAAATATGGAAAGTGGAGAGAGCGTGCTCGATATCCGAAGAGCAGTCTGAGGAAGTAGACTCTGAAGTGAAGAGCATCATTGTTAGCGACGGTGATCCTAGCCAGCGCCTGTAATACCAATTCTATAAAGACAAGACGAAGCCTGACCAGTGCCGCAAAAAGCCAAATGCATGATTTGGGGCGGTGTATCGAGTACTTGTACTTGTAGAGGGAAGGGGGGTATGGCACGGAGTAAGACAGGTGCAAATGGTGGAGAGCTGGTTAGCTTGGGGGATCCGTCTCTAACGGTTCACATATGCTTGAACCGTCCGTGAGAACGGCTAGACCTTGGTAGGCAAAGCGTTTGTGGTGTGGCTGGTGGGTTTGTAGGCTAAGTTAGAGCCTGGGGGCCTAGTGAGCCCAAGCCAGTCGCCCTGCATGCCTGGGTCTGGGGGATCTCCAAGCTAATTGCTGCTCCCGTTGGGGGCTTCCCCACCGCCAGCCGCTCATAGCGACGGATCGTTGATTCCTCAACATCCGGCGGCGTCAAAGAGAACGACATGCGCATCATCGGAGTCATCTCGGGTGAATAACAGATCTTGGAGAAAGAAATATGGAATTACCACGGACCTTTGCTTCGTTTGGTCGGCACAGTAGGTACAGCTCTGGGTAATAATGGCGCAGGAAAAAGAGTGCCGTCGCTCTTGAGCTGGACTGGAAAGCTGTATGATTGTCTGTTTTAGCTCGTAATGAGGGTCGAATACATTGGTCGCCCCGCTGTATACACCACAAAAGCAACAATAACAAAACCACCACGAAAAGCGACGAAAACAGAGACAAGGCCGGCCAGCGAGATGGTAGGGGACGAGTTCCCGGCTCTATACAGCCATCAAGGAGCTGCAATTGCCTGGGGTGATATTCGAGTTGGAGATATGTGCTTCGGAGGGAGGTAGATGGAAGAAGGAGCTTCAGAGAACGGAGGATTTCGTGGTGTTTCTCAAGGATTCAAGTCTTGAGGACAGCAGACTTGGATGAACAGGGTGCCAATGTGTTGGCCGGTTTCTTCGGGATTGTTTGCTTGATTTTGCTTTCTCGACCGTCTAGTTTTGAGGCGTGGATAACGGCAGGGCTGGAGCGGAAGGACTGCGTGCAGGTAGCTAGCTGGGTACGAATGAAAGAGTCTAGGGAAAGGAAGAAGAAACCGAGATCCGCGGAGTGGTCCAGACGAAGATGTATATGCGATTGCCAATCGGACGACGCCATGCACGCAGCCAATAGGCAAGGAGGGGGAGCAGAGGGGGTCGAGATAGAATGGGGCATAGGTTCGTGCGGCAGAGACTGAAGAGGGGGGAGGGTTGAGAGGGTGAGTGGGTGGATGATGGCAGTGTTGGTGGTGCTGGTGTGTCAGTGAGCGGCACCCCCCGTTGAAGAGGGCAGATACCAAGTCTCGAGAGTGGCGGCAGCTGTCAGAAGAAGTCTTTGCAACCAGAAGTCCATCTCTTTCCAATGGCTTGTGTTCCGGAGAGTGAGAATAGTGGAGGAGGAGGAGTAGGAAGGAGGAGTCGACTTTTGCCGGGCTTGTCCCTCGTCGCACCGGTCCGTCACGTTCTGGGTCACGCTTCGTTTTGGGTCTGTCTCCCCTAGGATCGAGGTTCTTCTTCCGGATGAACAAGGAGCATGGCCTCCAGATCTCTTCACCCTGGCTTTCCACTTCACACGATAGATGCAGACCTCAGCCTAAAACCGTTTCCTGAATGGAGATTTAACGGTCGCTGAGCTCTGGAGCAAACGGCCCGTTGAGGGATCACAGGGGGGGCCCGTGCATCGAGTAGCTTAGGATGGCTTGTGTTATGACGGTTCAGGTGAGTTGGACAAGCGACGGCAGCATGGTTCCGACTTGTGCCAGGCAGAAATGGGTATAGACAAGGTCTGAGTAACGGGAAGAGGAAGACTGCAGCAAGTGCAGCAAGTGGAGAGGAGGAGGCCTCGAGCTTCCGGCAGTTGGCAGGAAAGAAACCCCGGGCTGCCTCATCGCTTCAGTCCCTGGCTGGCTCCATCTCCATCTCCATCGCCATCTCCATGCTCAACCACCATGCAACAGCACGACTAGCAGCAACAGCAGCAGCCTCTTTCTTTCTAGCTCTGGGAAATTTCGACTCTCTCCTCCTGTGCTGGTTTGTCCGTTTGTCCTACTTCTCGGCATACTCAACACGCCGAGGACGCTAATGGGAGTCCCTTTTGTGTCACCCTCGGCCATGGCCAACGAATGCCCTCACCAAGCCAAACCAGTCAATCAATCAAGGGTCCAGTCGGGTCCTATTTCGGTTCTAGTAGTCGTGATTCGTGAATGTGTCTGTGAGTCTTCTGTTCAGGCGTCATTCGGCCCAATCGCCCCTCGCTAGCTGACGTTGTTGGCTAGAGATACAGGAGGCCGGACCCTGATCTCCTCTTGAACCGTTCCCTCCTTCTCCCTCTCTTCCGCACAAGCAAACTGCAGAACACGATGCTGTCACATCTTCCAACGTCCGAGACGCTCACGGACTTGACCAGCCCTGGCCAACGGCGAGACGGGAGATGCGAGAGGTTAGAGACATAGGTCAGAGGCCCCAGGCGGGCCGCATCTCCTGAAAAGTGACTGTGGGTGCCCCTGGCTTCTCTTTGAATCTTGTCATCATCCCCGCCCGCTTCTGTCATCGATCTTCGACCAGGGCTGCCCACCATCTCTACAATGTTGCGGCAAGTGATACTACCCACTTTCGTTCTGGTCGATCCGACCTGCATCCTACCACCGAGGCTTACCCTTCCGCGGAGCTTTCTGGGGGTCATCAGTGGCTGCGGCCATCATTCTAGGTCTTCGGATATGACCTCGCATTTTGTGTTTGTCTTCCTTCGACCGGTTCCAAGATCTACGGCTTAGAATCGTCCGGGGGCGGGGAAAGTGACCGAAATGCGGATGCTGCTTCGCGCAGAAGCATGGCAGGCGATACTGTTTCCGGCTACGAATTGTGCTTGGACCATTGTGGCACCGCCTGACGTCGCGCTTCATCTCCGCCCCTAGCGGCTTGTGCATCCACTCGTGGGCGCACTCAAGAGTCAAGAGAGCGAGGTCGCGGAAGTGATTCACAGCAAACACGGGAAAGAGTGGGAACCTCATTCGACGGAAGTCCTTTACAACCAATACCGAATTCCTTCAAAGGTGCGAAGCTACTGTACGTAAATACGTACGCAGTACGCCACGAAATCCCCAAGCCTTCTTTTCCAACAAGAGCCACTTTTCACTAATACCATGACCAACGTCTTCTCCTTCAACACAGAGGCCAAAGGGGCTGGACCTGGTTCAACCATGCAACCTCTCTGGCGCTTGCTCGCCTCGAGACCCCGGCCACCGATCGTCTCCTCTGTCCGCCCGTTTTTGGTGCCCCGCCTCCGAAGGAAACTCGCCTCCATGCCCGGATTTGTTATTCATGGAGTTGGTGGAACAGTACAACTACGATCTGGACACAAACTCTATTAATAGGTAACGGGTACACTGAGCTCAAAGAAGAGATGATATGGCTCGAGGTACCTGTACCAGAAGGACAGAAGTCACTGTATCTGAGAGCGCCTCGCTGCACTCAGGATGGATCCGTGCATTTTGTCCAACTCATTTCATTCTAGCTTTTTGCCTTGTGTCACCGTTGGCGCCCATTTGCACGACCATGAGAATAGTTGGAATGAGGAGGGGTTTGCCCAGACGGAAGAAACCCCCAAACAATTACCGCGGCATGACCAAAACCAGGTTGGTTCTTCCCGTCCAAAAGTTACACAACATAGTCGTATGGCAGCTGGTGAGACTGGCCTTTTCCACTGCTCACTAGTTGTGTTCGGAGTGCCTACTCTAGCTCTCGTTGGTGGACCACAAGCCGTGCAATCTTTCAATCTTTCTCTCCCACTGAAGGCATCTGCTCATCAATCCCGAACCGGGTTGGAGTGAATGCTGCTTCCCCATCGAAAGCTGCTCATCGGCAGAGCTTTGTGTCGCACCGAAAGTGGATCGGCAGGCCTTCAACCCACACTTACGGCGTCGCTCTGTCGCCTGAGATCGCGCGTCATCACTCGGAAAGGGGATGCTGGGCTACCCGTACCTTGGGGCCGGAACCAAGACCATTCGTTCCCCGTCTGATGATGGCCTGGACCATATAGTTGCTTACTAGGCTCTCACGCCTATGCTAATGCTGGTTTGCACCCGCCGTCCCATTGCCGAACCCATCGAGCAGTCCGGCTTCGCGCACAAGCTCATAAAACAAGCCCCGCTTCCTGATCAACTCATCTGGGGTGTCAAACTCTGCTACCCGCCCTTGTTGCAGCACCACTATACGATCCGAGTCCAGGATGGTATTGATGCGATGGGCAATGGTGATGATGGTGCGGTTCTGGAAGATGTTGCTTCGAAGTGTGGCCTGGAGCATTCGATCCGTCTCCACATCCACCGCTGCTGTAGCCTCATCCAGGACCAGGATATTGCTGGGTGTGAGCAACGCACGCGCCAGAGAAACTAATTGACGCTGGCCTTGGCTCAGATTGGAACCTGCAATTCAACACATTCATAGTTAGAGGACGTGATCAAAAGAGAATACGCATTTTCCACGGGGGTTTTCTTTGGTGAAGACAGAGAGTGGTGGACTTACCAGCTTCATGGATGGCGGCATTTAGTTGGCCATCCATGCTCGAGACATGCTCCTTTAGACGAGCGTGTTCAAGCACACTCCACAGTTCCGTGTCATCATGCACATGGCGCGGGTCCAAATTGTCACGAATCGTGCCTTCGAACAAAGCGGCATCTTGAGGGATGATAGCCAGGCGCCGCCGCAGATCTAGCAGGCCGATCGTTGAAGTGTTCAGTCCGTCGATGCTGCAATAATAGGAATCAGTTAGCACCCAGCCATCAAACGCCACTTTTTCGTCTTGTTTTCACCACAGAGAGAACCTCTAAGGTCGGCGTGGA